CCTTACTTACGCCCACCTTTCCTACTTGCGTTCACCTCTTTCTAGCACTTTATGAATTGACGTTAACCCGGTGCTAGCACTTTATGAATCGACGTCTACTTAGTACTTCCTACTTCCTTTTATCGCCACGTGACCCCCTCTTATCTTCACGTGACTTTCTCTCTCCGTCACGTGACTTTCGACCCCCCCCTCTCCTCTCTCCCCCACCCCCTCTTATTTTTTTTTTTCTACTCCCCCCCCTACTCCTTCCTAACCCTTTCTAACCACCACCAACCACCGCCCCACCCACCCTATTTCCTTCCCTCCTATTTATACTCCCGCGTACATTCCTCGGACGCGCCATTCCTCAGTAGTGCCATTCCTCAGAAGCGCCATTCCTCGGACGCACCATTCCTCAGTAGTCGCATTCCATTGACGTTACCCCTTTTTAAAATAAATGATCTCTCATCCTACTCTGCCTCCTTTTTACGAATAGAAGATCTATTCAATTGACGTTTCTCCCTCTTAATAATTCAATCCTTTTTATTTTAAACAGAAGAAGCATCTCTCATCCTACTCTCTACTCTCTTCTCTCTCTCCTTTTTAAATCTTACTCTAATTTTTTTTACAAACAAAAAATCTATTCAATTCAATCTACTCTCTGAAAATAATTCAATATTTTATCTTAAACAAAAGTATCTCCTACTCTACTCTCTACTCTACTCTCTTCCTTTTAAAACTCACTCTAATCTCTTCTTCTCATCCTACTCTCTTCTTCTCATCCTACTCTCTTCTTCTCACGAACAGAAGATCTATTCAATTGACGTTTCTCTCTTTTAAAATAATTCATTCCTTTTTATTTAAAACAAAAGTATTTCCTACTCTACTCTCCTCTTTTAAATCTCCCTCTTCTCACTCTACTCTCTTCTCACTCTTCTCTCTTCTTTTTAACTTTAATTTTCATCTAATTCTACTTTTAACAAAAAATTCTACTTTTAATAAAAATATTTCTAAATTCTTATCTTTTTTACTTGATAAAAAATCAATTCTACTTCTTCATTTAATCGACTGTTATCAACAATTTTTCTATATTTCATTTTTAATTTCACTCTACTCTCTTCTCCCTCTTCTCACTCTACTCTCTTCTCTCTCTTCCTTTTAAATTCGAGTGATTGTCTTGAACAATTTTTTAAAATTATTATTTTCATTTTCATTTTTTAATTTTTAAATAAAAATCTTTTTAATTTTCATCTAATTCTACTTTTAACAAAAAATTCTACTTCTAACAAAATTATTTTAAAATTCTCTTCTTTTTTTACTTAATACAAAATCAATTCTATTTCATTTGATCAACTGTTAAAAATATTTCTAAATTCTCATTTTTACTAATGAAAAATTAATTCTTTTTTATTTGATCAAGTGTGAACAATTTTTTTTATATTTCATTTTAATTTCACTTTTAATTTCATGTTCATTTTTAAAATCCTTTTAAATTTCATCTAATTTTACTTTTAACAAAAATATTTCTAAATTCTCATCTTTACTATTGAAAAATGATTTCCTTTTTATTTGATCAACTGTTAACAATTTTTTTACATTTCATTTTTAATTTCATTTTCAATTTCACTTTCATTTTTAAAATCCTTTTAAATTTGATTTAATTCTACTTTTAACAAAAAGATTTCTAAATTCTTATCTTTTTTACTTAATGAAAAATCAATTCTATTTCATTTGATCAACTGTTAAAAATATTTCTAAATTTCCATCTTTAATCAAAAATCAATTCATTTTCATATAATTAACTTTCAACAAATTTTTTTAGATTTCATTTTTAATTTTAAATTTCATCTAATTCTAGTTTTAACAAAAAATTCTACTTTTAACAAAAATATCTCTAAATTCTTATCTTTTTTACTTAATACAAAATCAATTCTACTTCATTTGGTCAATTGTTGACAATTTTTTTTATATTTCATTAATTTTCATTTTTAAAATCCTTTTAAATTTCATTGAATTGTACTTTTAATAAAACCTACTCTAACCCTTCATTTCTCATCTTTACTAATGAAAAATCAATTCTTTTTTATTTGATTAATGATTAACAATTTTTTTACATTTCATTTTTATTTTTCATTTTCATTTTTAATTTTATTTTTTATTTTTAAAATCTCTTCAAAATTTTTTAAATTATTTTTAATGATATTTTTAAATGAACATCTTTTTTTTAATAAAACCTACTTTATCCTTTCATTTCTTATATTTATCAATGAAAATTCAACTCAACTTGTCCAATTTATTCAATTTTTTTTTTTTATTTTTATTTTCATTTTTAAATTTCATTTTAAAATCTTTTCTTTTTTTTTAAATTATTTTTAAATAAAAACATCTCTCAAATCAATCTCTTCTTCTTTTTACTATCAAAAATCAATTCAATCTTACTTGATCTATTCAACAAATTTTTCTAGATTTCATTTTTATTTTTGATTTTATTTTTTATTTTTAAAATCTCTTCAAAATTTTTTAAATAAGATATTTTTAAATAAACATCTTTTTTTTAATAAAACCTAGTCTATGCTTGCATTTCTTATATTTATCAATGAAAATTCAACTCAACTTGTCCAATTTATTCAATTTTTTTTTTTATTTTTATTTTCATTTTTAAATTTCATTTTAAAATCTTTTCTTTTTTTTTTTAAATTATTTTTAAATAAAAATATCTCTTAAATCAATCTCTTTAATTCAATTCAACCTTATTGAATGGCTTACTTTTATTAAATCACCACTAGCTTCGCCCTAACGACAGACTAATTTTTGCTAAACAGATGGATTCGTTTTTTTTCACAATAACCAATCTCTAACTCTTTTTTTATCATAATCATAGACTCTTTTTCATAAACAATAGATTTCACTACTTTTTTTTCAATCATTTTACTGGTTTTTTACAACAAACTTGGATTTGACTATTTTTTTTTTAAAAAAAGTAATAAATTTCACTAGTTTTTTTAAAATAATAAACAGATTTTATTTTTTTTAAATAAACAATAGATTTCACTAGTTTTTTTAAAACATGTAATAAATTTCACTAATTTTTTTGTAATTAGCGTAGAGTTAATTTTTTTACAACTTGGATTTTACTATTTTTTAAATAAGAAATAGATTTCACTAGTTTTTTCCAATAATTTTAGAGTTTATTAATTTTTTTTAAATAATCATAAAGTTTATCAATTTTCTTGGAATAATTCTACTGGGTTTTTACAACAAACTTGAATTTGACTATTTTTTTTAAATAAACAATAGATTTCACTAGTTTTTTGCAATGATCTTAGAGTTTACAGATTTTTTTTAAAATAATCAACAGATTTCACTAGTTTTTTCCAATGATCTTAGAGTTTACTGATTTTTTTAAAATAAACAATAGATTTCCTAGTTTTTTACAACAAACTTGGATTTTAGTAATTTTTTTAAAACAAGTAATAAATTTCACTACTTCTTTTGTAATTAGCCTAGAGTTAATTAACTTTTTTACAATAAACTTGGATTTCACTATTTTTTTCCAATGATCTTAGAGTTTAGTGATTTTTTTTAAATAAACAATTGATTTCACTAGTTCTTTTGTAATTAGCGTAGAGTTAAATAATTTTTTTACAACTTGGATTTGACTATTTTTTTAAAATAAACAATAGAGTTTACTATTTTTTTAAATAAACAATAGAGTTTATCAATTTTCTTGGAATAATTCTACTGGTTTTTTACAACAAACTTGGATTTGACTATTTTTTTTAAATAAACAATAGATTTCACTAGTTTTTTTGTAATTAGCGTAGAGTTAAATAATTTTTTTACAATAAACTTGGATTTGACTCTTTTTTAAATAACCAATTGATTTCACTAATTTTTTACAATGATCTTAGAGTTTACTGATTTTTTTGAAATAATCATAAAGTTTATCAATTTTCTTGGAATAATTCTACTGGTTTTTTACAACAAACTTGGATTTTACTATTTTTTTTAAAACAAGTAATAAATTTCACTAGTTCTTTTGCAATAATTCTACTGGTTTTTTACAACAAACTTGGATTTGACTATTTTTTTAAATAAGAAATAAAGTTTACTCGTTTTTTTTTAATAATCATAAAGTTTACTGATTTTTTTGAAATAAGCAATAAATTTCACTACTTCTTTTGTAATTAGCGTAGAGTTAATTAATTTTTTTATAATAAACTTGGGTTTCACTGATTTTTTACAATGATCTTGGAGTTTACTGGTTTTTTTAAAATAAACAATAGATTCTACTAATTCTTTGGAGTAATCATAAAATTTACATGTTTTTTTAAAATAATCAACAGATTTTATTTTTTTTAAAGTAATCATAAAGTTTACTCGTTTTTTTAAAAATAATAAAAGAATTGAATAAATCTTAGTACTTCTTTTTAAATGGACATTCAGTTGACTCATTTTGCAATGAAATTCTAGTGGTTTTAGAAGAGTCGGGTGATCTGGCTAGTCACTTTAGGGTTAGGGTTATAACTTTTCATGATCATTCCATTTTCAATCGATCTAATGTTTCTCTTTACATGAACCATCAAGTTCATCCATTTCAAATCGTCTTTCAATGGGTTCAACATCACAGGTTTCTTGGTTAGATGGATTAGGGTTAGGGTTAGGGGTTAGAGTTTCATGATAAATCCATTTTACAATCATTTTAGACTGGAGTCGTTGTTTATAATGAGATGAGATGGACTCATTTTACGCTGGTTTTACGCTGGTTTTATACTTGACTCTTTTTTTTTAAAATAATGATAACCCCTACTAATTCTTTAAGATACGCAGAACTCTCTTTTTTCACAATAATCCATTCATTCAACTGCTTTTACAACAAATTTAAACATCTTCTTATCATAAATTTTATTAGCTCTTTGATAAGCTTAAACTTTACCCGATAAAGCATAGTTTCGAACTAAGATTCTGTGTTAAAATTATTAAAACTTCATTTCATTCATTTACATTTTTATTATATATAAACAATGGATATATGCACATTTTCAATCTATTAACATTTTTTTCATTCATTTACATCATCCCCATAACAATCACTCCCAACAACATTATTTTAATCATATCAGGAACTCTTATTTTCATTCCCTCATTCGGTTTCACTTCTTCATCATCTTCTTCTTTCTGTGTCTCTTTGCTTGAATCGGTGGTACATTTGGTAGGCTTGCACTTGCGCATCGAAGTCAACGTCACTGTCGACGTCACCGTTGACGTACTCGTTGTCGTACTCGTATGCAATGACGTACTCGTCACCCATGTATCTGTTGTTTGTATCATTGTACACTCTTCTGTTACTTTTCCTCCACCTACTGACTTGGTTTCTGTAACAGTCTTCTCAACGGTCTTTTCATCAGCCTTGCCATCAGTCTTTGTTTCCGTCTTTGTTTCCGTCTTCGTTTCCGTCTTTGTTTCTGTTATTTTCTCTGTATGATGAGGCTTAATTTCTAATGGTTCCAGTTTACATAAATCGTCTATTTCTCCGCAAACTTTTTTAGATTCCTCACAATCCTCTTTAAAACCGCAATCTAATTCTAAAGCTTTACATTCTTCTTTCAATTCCAAATACAATTCCAATGCTATCGTCGTTGCATCAAATGCTTTTACTTCTACTTCTGATACTCCTTCAGCTACATATTCTCTTTTAACGAGTCCAAGGCTTGGATTCTTCGTCTCACCTGTTGTGCCTGGTGTTCCATCTGGGCTCCTGGTGTTACACCTGACGTGTTTGCCGTTCCGTCAGTTGATGGTGGCTGTGCTGGTGGTGGCCCTGGTGGTGCTGGTGGTGCTGATCCAGAATCACTGCCATTCTGCGCATTTGGAGTTACAGTTTGTCGAGGCTTCGATAGTAATAACTTAGCTTTCTCCGTAGATTCTTTTGCTACCTGTTTGAGCTCATCGTATTCTTTTTTCTTCTCTGTCAACTCTTTTTTCGCATTCTCCAGACCGGCTTTTAAAGTAGGACATCTCTTTTTTAGTTTTTCAACTAATTCTTTGCAAACATTTTGCTTATCTTTTTCACAATCACTAAGCAGAATTTTGAATGGTTGATTCTTTTTCAACTCAGTGCAATTCTTTCCTAATGCTTCTTTACATTTTTCTTCATTATTTAAATTTCCTTTCAACAGATGAGTCAAATCATCCTTCGCTTTCAACTTTTCAAAAGTATCCCTGCATTTTTCATCGAGTTTTTCACAGTTTTGATCATTGTTATTTTCTTTCAATTGATCCGGACAATTCTTCACAAGTTGGTGACAATGTCGGCCCCATGTTGTGCAGAGTTCTTCAAGTGCTGTTTCATTTTTATTTGCTTTTTCAATTTCTTCTAGGATTTTTTCATTCTTGATGTTGACTTTTAAACTACTACAATCTTGACTTGTATGGAATACCATATAACTACATGTTTCTTCTGGTAAAGCACATGAAACACTAAATGAATTCTTTCTCCTCCTATATAATTGATGGCATTTCTCATGCAATGCCTTTGTACAGTTTCCCTGAGTCATTAACGAATCATCCTTTTTTTCTAAAAATACTTTTCTAAATCCCTCTGTAACCTTAAAGTATTCACAGCGTCTTTTCAATGTTATACACTTTTCTAAATTCAATAATGAATCACTACCAAGTTCATCACACTTCTCCTTCAATTCAAGACAATCCTTTTCTAATGGAAAATCCCTTTGATCATCCAAAAGCACACTTAACTCTTTGGATTGAAGAAAAATATCATTTGAAAGCCCATAACATAGTTCTTTAGGATAAAGACATCGTGGAAGATATTTTTTATCAAGTTTTGTACAGTTTTTTACCACAGATTTTTTGCATTCTTCAGGATCGCTATAAAATCTTACAAGACCAAGCTTTCCCTTCAATTCCTTTTGAAAGAACTTATTCAACATCCTGTCTTGTCCCTTTTTATAGCACGCTGCTCTTGCATTTTGACACGCTTCACCAATCTCATTATCTTTACACGCATTTTCTAAATAGAAACATTCCGACTCAAGTTCTGCACACTCTCCCTTCGTAAATAATGTTGGCAGTTCTCTCCAGAATAAAGGATCTGATTTTTCATTATTATATTTTGTAGACAACCCTTTGAGATAAAGTTTTAATTTGAGATTTGTACATCTTTCTTTTACATTTACATCTAGTAATGCTTTGCATTTCTCTTGTTTATCACCATCTTTGCATAACTTTTTCAAATCAGCATCCAAATACTCAGAAGCACCACATTTTTCTAACGCTTTTTTGCACTTTTTATCTGTATTCTTATCATTCTCATCTCTGCTCAACACTAGCAAGAGATCTTGCAGAAATTTTGTACCCGACTTCCTTGGTAGATCCACTCCTGCTTTTCCAATAATAATTCCATCTTTTTCTGCGTTTTTATACACATCATCCAACCCAATACTTCTCAACAACGACGCCTTCGGTTTCACCGGACTAAAATCGGATTCTGGCGTTTTATATGTGAATCCTTTTCCCTCGCATTTCGTCTTATCCTCCTTACATTTCGCATCAGCACACGCTTCTCCGTAAAAATGACATTTCTCAAGTCTTTCATGACACTTTCCCTCTAATTCGTTATCTTTAAGCTTTTCTTTTAAAGGCTTGCAATTTTCTTCCAATTTTGTTTTCATATCTCCACATGTTTTAGCAGAATCAAGGCAGAAAAACATCAGCTCGTCGCTTTCTCGGCTTAACACTGGGCAAACCTTTTTCATTTCTTCTTGACATTCATTCACTACTTTAGCTTTTCCTCCGAGCGCCCTCAAAAGAAGCTCCTCTGCCACCTTTTCACGCTTCAATTTGTAACATCCTTCCCTCAACTGGACACAGTCATTCTTAAGATTAGTTGGGTCTGCTTCCTCTAAAAGTATACATTTTTCTTCATATTTTTCACATTCATCATCTTGTATGTCATCTGACAATGCTTCAAGTTCATTTTTAACTTTGTCTTTCAGTTCTTCGCATTTTTTCTCTTTCCCTTCACAAAGTCCTTTAACTTTATCATCCACATTCTCTAGTTTCCCATCTATTTTCTCCAAATCATCGCAATATTCCTTGAGCCTTTTTTTGCATTCATCCTTATTATCATATTTGTCCTTCACAATGAAAGCCAAAAGGTGTTTCTCATCAATCTCATCCGCTACTGCTCCTGCTGCTTGCCTCTTAACCGGCCGTGCCATTGCTGCCTCCTTGTAGGGAGTTTAGTGGGTAGTTTCTAAATTGAATATGGGTAGAGTGAAAAGTTAGTTATTTTGAAATGATTTTTTACGACAAACTTGGACTCGTTCTTATCATAAACTTTAGTTCTTCGATAAGCTTAAACTTTACCAAATAAAGTATAGTCTCTAATTAAGATTGTGTGTTATAATTAAAACTTCATTTCATTCATTTACATTTCTATTATATATAAACAATAGATATATGCACATTTTCATTCTATTAACATTTTTTCATTCATTTTACATCATTCCCATAACAATCACTCCCAAAAACATTATTTTAATCATCTCGGTAACTTTTATTTTTATCCCCTCGTTCGGTTTCACTTCTTCTTTTGATGGTTTATCCTCCACTTTCTTTTCTTCTTCTTTTGCTGGTTTATCCTCCACTTTCTTTTCTTCTTCTTTTGCTGGTTTATCCTCCACTTTCTTTTCTTCTTCTTTTGCTGGTTTATCCTCCAATTTCTTTTCAACCCATAATGGCTTGCAATTATCTTTCAATTGTAAACAGACTCCTTTTTCATCATGGCTATTGGAACCTTTTTTTAACGTGTCCGGGCAATTCTCCATAAGTTGGCGACAATATAGACCCTATGTTGCACAGAGTTCTTTAACCAATGTTTGATCTGAACCTTTAGTTTTACTCACAATTTTATGTTCTCCCATGTTCTTTTTTAAAATATCGCAATGATTCATAGCTTCTGGAACCATAAATTTGCATGTTTCTTCTAGTGAATTGCATGAGACATGATATAAATTCTTCTCTTTTTCAGATAATTTATCACATTTATCCTTCAAAGCTTTCATGAATTTTTGATTATCCGCTAATGCATCACTTTCTTCTTTCAAAAACGCATATTCCAGTTCTTTTCTAACTTTAAAATATTCACAGCGCTCTTTCAATGTAACACATTTCCCATTATTTAAACCTAAATCTTTCAAAATACCTTCACAATCCTCTTTTAATTCAATGCAGTCCTTTTCTTTAGGAGAATCCTATACTGCATTCAAAACATGTTCTAGATCTTTCAATTGAGCCGAAATAATTTCTTCAAGTTTAAGACATACCTCCTTTGGCCGAAGGCATCTCAAAAAAATATCAATATCATTATTTTCAAGTGTAGAGCACTTTTCCAATACTATTCTTTAGCATTCCTTAAACTTTTTAGCATTCAATTTTAATTTATTAATTTCCTACCTTTTTTCCTGGAAATCATTAGATTCAGTAATACCAGTGCCAATAGCTCTAAGAATAACTTTGTTTCCTTTTTTTTCTTGCCCGCATAGATAATACAATTTTTTAAAGCAATTGCAGTAGTCTGACTACCATGAATTTTTGTAGATTCTAAAAACAAACATTTTTGTATGTGTTCATTACAATCTTTACAAGTGATACTAGTATTCATAAATAGATATATATAATTACAAAGATCGTCTACTTTTTCATGAATCTTCAGTTCTGGGTTTTTGCATTTTTGTTCTATATTACCAGAAATTTCTTTAACTTTGCTATAAACTTTATTTAATTCTGAATCTATTCCTTTCAATTCTTCACAATATTCCTTAAGCATTACTTCGCATTTATCTTTATCTTTATAATCTTCTTTCGAAATATAAGCAAGGATTTCTTCTTCCCTAACAATAATTTCTAATAAACCTTTAAAAAATTAGGAAAAACTATTAAAAAATTAGGAAAAACTATTAAAAAATAAAAACCATTACAAATCCTGATTATAAATTTAAATGATCTTTTTTGTTTTATATATATTCCTTTTCATCCCATTCAATTGTTTTTTATAAAATAATATGTATATTACATTTTATTTTATTTACCGACTTTTAACATTTATTTTAATTCATTCCGAACTTTTACTACTTTTAATACTATATTATTATCCTTAAATCTAGTATATTTCTTATTTATAACTTCATTCAAATAATTAATTCTTAATTTTTTTCTTTAATCAATACATTGTTTTCAATATTGATTTATAATCAACACTTTTTTTGATCTTCATTTTTAATCAAAGAATACTCGATTAATGATGTTTGACATGTACTTTTAGTTTAATTGAACATATTATCCTCTCTATTTTTTCTTATATTACTTTAATTTTCCAGAAATGCTTATTTTTTCTGACTGCTTTCTAAAGCTTAGATTACTAAAAGACCCAAAATACCATCAGAAAATCCCTGATAACTCTCCATCTGATGCAATACCATTAGATAAGATTCCTTGATAAAGAATTGTCTTCAATTCTGCTCTTCCAAGATAAATAATTGCCGTATAACTAAGACTTTATAAATAAAGTTCATATTTAGTTAAAATATACCCAAAAGGCCCTGATCCAATGATCATCCCCTTTTTCATCAGAAAAAAACCTCTATAAAATATACTAATAAATATAATACCTTCGAGTGCATTCTTCTTTGAAAATAATTCAAGAAAATAGGATAGGATAACTGATTAAGCCATTTTCTAAGCAATTTCAACTTTCCTATGTTCTTAATGTTAAGATATAATATTAAAGTTGGAATAAGAAAACATAAGATGAATGATAGGTGAAGTAATATAATACATAAATATATTAGAAAAATATATACATAAATAGAATTAAAATTAATTATTAAAATATAAAGAGTACGTTGTTCATGTAGATCAAAATCGGCAGTATCACTAATATTGAATGAATTAACGGTTTTCTTTCAACATAGCAGCTTTTTCAATTTCTTGAGATATATTTGGATCAGAATCATCATTAAGTGCTTCAATTATAGAAAGTCTATCACTGAGATGTCTGTTTTCTTAAAAATCCTATAGGTTAAAAAGAGTAACCCAAAAATAAGAAAAAGAATAACAATAATATCATTTGAAGTAACAAATGCCTTTTTTCGAAGAATGAAAGATGAGAAGCACTTGATCCAGTAGAAACACCCTCAGTAGGAGATGGCCCTATAAAGACTGTTATAGTACATGAAGCTTTTCGAGTGGTTGATATTTTAGTTTTGCTCGATGAAGTCGTAGATGTAGATGAAGTCATTGATGTTGGTTTTTGTTCCGGTTGTAGTTTTGGTGGAGATGCAGGTGGCTCTGGTTGTGGCTCTGGTTGTGTCTCTGGTTCTGGTTCTGGTTCTGGTTGTGGTGGTTGTGGCTCTGGTTGTGTCTCTGGTTCTGGTTCTGGTTGTGGCTCTGGCTCTGGCTCTGGCTCTGGCTCTGGCTCTGGTTCTGGTTCTGGTTCTGGTTCTGGTTCTGGTTCTGGTTCTGGTTGTGTCTCTGATTGTGGTGGTTGTGGTGGTTGTGGTGGTTGTGTCTCTGGTTGTGTCTCTGGTTGTGGTTGTGGTTCCGGCCGAGGTGGTGGTGGCGGCGGTGGTGGCGGGGGTGGTTCTGATGAAGATGTAGAAGTTGGATTTGATGAAAGCGAAGTATCTGGATCTTGCTGAGAGCTAGGATCTGATGGAGGGTTAGAATCTGGTTTTGATGGAGGCTGAGGATCTAATGGAGGTTGAGAGTCAGCATTTGAATCTGGCTGAAGGTTAGCATCCAGATCTGGAGAAGGTGTAGCATCTGGATCTGGTGGAGGCGTAGTAGTTGGATATCTAGATAGAAAAGGATATGAAGGAGGCGGTACGCCTTCTGATTCACAAGACTCCCCGAAAAAATGAAGTTGCCAATCAAAAACTCCACCATCTAGATTCTCATCCTTTTTATCTTCAACATCGATAGTCCAATTACCTACAATGGATTCTCCCCTAAAATCATTAGTTATTATTTTACAAAATGAAACAAAATACCAATGCTTTACAGTCATAAAAGTCCAAAGAATACTGCCACCATGTTTATCACGATTACGTCTATGTGCTAATACTGAAGTAACTCCAGAAGGACTGGTAATATTAAACTCTAGATGACCTCTTCTTTGGTGCTGATAATGAAATGAAACACCAACATACTCTAAACTTTTAAATTTATAATGCTTAGGATATCCACGATGAATATAAAAACTGCTTGTGATATGCCCACCGTTTTCAGAAAATTTCTTATTAAGTGGTATTAGTTGAGTTGAAAACATTGTCTGAGGATTTAAGGTTTTAAATGTTCTTGCTTTTTCGACCATTCTATATGCATCTAGTTTTCCATAACCGAAAAAATTATTATAACGACGTCCAGAAGGAAGATCATCCCAATCAGGATGACTCGGATTAAATGGAACAGCTGTCTCCACAATCAAAGCTTGAATATCACGCCATGTAAGATTAGGACTAATTTTTTAGTCAAATAATTTTAATGATATTCTTACCATGCTGAAAGAAGAAGAGCAATAACACCCGCAGCAAGAGGTGTAGAAGCAGAACTTCCAGTATGTCTAATGCTGCATTCTGTCGTACCAACATCCGTAGTATACTAAAACGATCAATTTATTATAAAAAAAAAGAAAAGATTACAATATATGCACCACGCTTGCCAGAATACGTAGAAGCTAAAATACAAGGACATGGCTCTGAAAATATGAATCTTTTTTCTTCTGCATCTATAGCAGCGATAGTAATAGTATATGGGCTATTTGCATATCCATCGTAATTACAATTATCAAAATATCCACCATTTCCTGACCCGAAAACGTATATAGAACCAAGACCATTCCTTCCTTGATTTATCCCTTTAATAATTGCAGAATAAGTAGTATAAAAAATATCTTGAGTTAAATTCCCAGTATCGGCAGGTCCCCAGCTACAAGAATAAATATGATTAACATCATATTTGTAAATAAGAGCTTCTCCTTCAAGCCAAGACGAACGAGCAGAAGGCATAAATCGTAATCCTTAACAATATTAGATTGGTACCAATTAAAGAAAAATACCTGAAATATTAGATTCATATGCAACACCAAGCCCACAAAAATCATTCCTGGCGCCTGCCACTTCTCCTGCACATTTAGTACCATGCGTGTCAGAAGGTCCAGGTTTTGGGTCGCCAGTTTTAGAAGCAAAATTATATGAAGCGTTAGCATTCTGAAAAAAGTTAAAATAGTGATTTCATAATAGTTTTTCAAACATAATTTGGAGCCAAATCCTTGTTAGTATAATCTAAGCCATCATCTACAATAGCAACTGTTACATTTTTTCCCTTTATCCCTAAAATCATTAAAAGGCGAGTAACAACACAAATATCAAACCTTGTAACCATACACCTGTAACATTTATATCTACACCAGCTTTATCCTTATTGAACTAATTAAAAAATCAAATTTTGATGAAAAAAAGAATAAACTATACCAAATACCATTGTTTATCAAAATAAGGGTCACTTATATTTAATTCTTCTTTAATTTTCTTTATCTTCTCTCTTAAATCTACCGCCTGATCTCCCGTCGAATCTTTTACAACATTCTTAACAATTCTTCTATTATAAAGACCTTCATTATCAAAATATATATCGTCTCTTATCACACCCCTGTTTACTCGCTTGACCAACTTTTGTTTCTCATAATAAAAAAGTTTGTCACTATTAAACCCATCTATTGCATTTCTTCCTTTTTCTAAACCAAAATAATTCTCAATTTTTTCTTTAATTTCGTCTTCTAAAACACCCTTTTCTATGAAAAATATATGCTGGTTATCCAGATATTCTACTTTCATATGATATTTCAATCCTACCGCCCGCGAAAACTCCTCAATATCAACATCTTCTGAGAAATGAAAATGATAATAATCATTATTTTCAAAGTCTACTGGCTTCATTTCACATCTTACTCTAACTAAATAGATCCAGTATAAGAAAAAAGTAATGAGTATCTTAAAAATCATGATGAAATGTTAAAAAAAAAACTATTTATCTTAACTTTCTATTAGAAATTCTTAACTTTTTTAAAGTTTAACTAGTATTAAATTAATTTAGCTTACTTAATCCTAACCCTATCTTCAACAAGACCCTCTAATCTATCCCCTTGTTTTTACTAATAAATGATCAATTTATTTTCATCTAATCTATTGTCTTTAATAAAACCTTCTCTATTTTTTTCTCTCCTTTTTATTAATAAAAAATCAATTGAATTTTATTTAATTGATTATTCTTGTTTTTACTAATCAATTTCATTCAATCTTTTATTTTAAATAAAAACCCTCTTTAAATTTTGATATGATCTACTGTTTTTAACAAAATTTTTTTAATTTCATTTTAATTTATTATTTTTAAATAAAAATTGATTTGATTTTACTTTTAGTAAAAACATCTTTAAATTCTGGTCTTTTGTTCTAATTAATGAAAAATCAATTCAACATTATCCAATTTGTTACTTTTAATAAAAATACTTTTAAAATACTTTTAAATTGAACCATCCTTTTAATCTCCAATCAAACTCCTTCCAATTTACTCTTATCTTATCAAATCTCCACTAGCCTCTCCCTAACGACGGACTAATTTCCGATAAACAAATTTATTAATTTTTTTAAGATAATCATAAAGTTTAGTTGTTTTTTTTCAATAAACTTACAGTTTATTAATTCTTTTATAATGATCTTTGATTTTATTAGTTTTTTTTTTGATAAATAATAGATTTTATTAGTTTTTTTTTGATAAACAATAGATTTTATTAATTCTTTTGCAATAAACTTAGACTTTGTTGGTTTTTTAGGATAAGCAATAGATTTTGTTAATTTTTTCATCATAAAGTTTACTAGCTTTTTAAAAATAAACAATATAGCTCACTTATTCTTCTACGATAAACTTAGACTCATTCTTATCATAATCATAAACTTTACCTTATAAAGCATAGTCTCGAACTAAGATTGTGTGTTAAAATAATTAAAAGTTTATTTTTCATTTCATTCATTTACATTTCTATTATATATAAACAATGGATATATGCACATTTTCAATCTATTAACATTTTTTCATTCATTTTACATCATCCCCATAACAATCACTCCCAATAACATTATTTTAATCATATCAGGGACTCTTATTTTCATTCCCTCATTCGGTTTTACATCTTCTTCTCCTTCTCCTCCTTTATCTGTCTCTCTGCTTGAATCAGTAGTACATTTGGTAGGCTTGCACTTGCGCATCGAGGTCAACGTCACTGTGGACGTCACCGTCGATGTACTCGTTATCGTACTCGTATGCAATGACGTACTTGTCACCCATGTATCTGTTGTTTGTATCATTGTACACTCTTCTGTTACTTTTCCTCCACTTCCCGGCTTGGTTGTCGTAGTAGTCGTGGTAGTAGTCGTGGTAGTAGTCGTCGTAGTGGTCGTTGTAGTGGTCGTCGTAGTGGTTGAGATTTCTTTTTGCGTCTCTGTATGATGAGGCTTAATTTCTAATGGTTTTATTCCTCCGCATAACTCGTCTATTTTTTCGCAAGCTTGTTTAGATTCCTGACATTCCTCTCTAAAACCGCAATCTAGTTGTAAAGCTTTACATTCTTCTTTCAATTCCAAATACAATTCCAATGCTATTGTCGTTGCATCAAATGCTTTTACCTCTGCTTCTGATACACCTCCGTCTACATACGCTCTTTTAACGAGTCCAAGTTTTGCATACTTCATCATTCCACCTGGTGTCCCTGGAGCTCCGCCTGGTGTGCCTGGTGTGCCTGGTGTTCCACCTGATGCGCCTGTTTCTCCACCTGGTGTGCCTGGCGTTCCATTTTGTGGTGACCCTGGTGGTGGTGGCACTGCTGGTGATGATGGCGACCCTGATCCTGATCCTGCTGGTGCTGGTACTGGTCCAGAACCATTGCTATCCTGTCCACTTGGCATTGCGACTTTTCCAGACTTTGATAGCAATAACTTAGCTTTCTCCGTAGATTCTTCTGCCGCCTTTTTGAGCTCATCGTATTCTTTTTTCTTCTCTGTCAACTCATCTTTCGCTTTATTCAGTCCGTCTTTTAAAGTAGGACATCTCTTTTTTAGTTTTTCAACTAATTCTTTGCAAACAGTTCCCTTGGTGCCCTCTTCACAATTAGTAAGCAGAATTTTGAATGTATTATCCTTTTGCAACTCAGTGCAATTCTTTCCTAATGCTACTTTACATTTTTCTTCCTCGCTTAAACTGCCTTTCAACAGGTGAGTCAAATCATCCTTTGCTTTCAACTTTTCAAAAGTTTCACTGCATTTTTTTTCGAGTTCATCACAGTTATGATTATCTTTATCATCTTTTTTTTTCAACTGATCTGGACAATTCTCCACAAGTTGGTGACAATGTCGGCCCCATGTTGTGCAGAGTTCTTCGAGTGTTGCTTCATTTCCATTTGCTCCAATTTTTTCTAGAATTTTTTCATTCTTGATGTTGACTTTTAAACTACTACAATCTTGACTTGTATGGAATACCATATAACTACATGTTTCTTCTGGTAAAGCACATGAAACACTAAATGAATTCTTTCTCCTCCTATATAATTGATGGCATTTCTCATGCAACGCCTTCGTACAATTTTGCTCATTATATAATGAATGATCTTTTCTTTCTAAAAATACTTTTCTAAATCTTTCTGTAACCTTAAAGTATTCACAGCGTCTTTTCAATGTTATACACTTTTCTAAATTCAATAATGAATCACTACTAAGTTGATCACACTTCTCCCCCAATTCAAGACAATCCTTTTCTAATGGAAAATCTCTCTGATCATCCAAAAGCACACCTAACTCTTTTGATTGAAGAAAAATATCATCTGAAAGCGCATAACATAGTTCTTTAGGATAAAGACATTTTGAAAAGTATCTTTTATCAAGTCCTGCACACTTTTCTGCCACAGATTTTTTGCAACTTTTAGTATCGTTAAAATATTTTATATTAGCAAGCTTTCCCTTCATCTCCTCTCGAAACAACGTATTCAACATCCTGTCTTGTCCCTTTTTATAGCACGCTGCTCTTGCATTTTGACATGCTTCATCAATCTTATTATTACACGCATTTTCTAAATAGAAACATTCCGACTCAAGTTCTGCACACTCTCCTTTTATAAAAAAGGTTGGAAGCTTTCCCCACGATAAAAGTTCTGATTCTTTATCATCATATTTTGTAGACAACCCTTTCACATGAAGATTTAATTTGAGTTTCGTACATCTTTCTTCTACATTTAGTAATTCTTTGCATTTTTCGGTTTTAGTAGTTTCATTTTTACATAACTCTTTAAAATTATGATCCAAATACTTAGGATCTTTGCATTTTTCTAACGCTTTAGTGCACTTTTTTACTGTATCCTTATTATTCTCATCTCTGCTCAACAGTAGCAAGAGATCTTGCAGAAATTTTGTACCTGACTTCCTTGGTAGATCCACTCCTGATTTTCCAATAATAATCCCATGTTTTTCCGCGTTTTTATACACATCATCAAACCCAATACTTCTTAACAACGACGGCTTCGGCTTGACCGGACTAGAATCAGATTCTGGCGCTTTATATATGACTCCATTTTTCTCGCATTGCTCCTTATCATCCTTACATTTCGCACCAGTACACGCTTCTCCGTAAAAATGACATTTCTCAAGTCTTTCATGACACTTTTCCTCTAAATCTTTCTCCAATTTTGTTTGTAAAGGTTTGCAAACTTCAACCAATTTTTTCCCCAGCTCTCCACATGTTTTAGTCGGATTAAGGCAGAAAGACATCAATTCGTCGCTTTCTCGGCTTAACACTGGGCAAACAGTTTTCATCTTTAGTTCACATGTGTTTTTTTCTTTAGCTTCCTTTCCGAGCGCCCTCAAAAGAAGCTCCTCTGCCACCTTTTTACGCTTCAATTCGTAACATTTCTCCCTCAAACTGGGACAGCCATTCTTAATATCAACACTATAATCCGTCTCTTCTAAAAGTATACATTTTTCTTCATATTTTTTACAATTTTCATCTTTTATATCTGCCAATGCATCTTGAAGTTCATCTTCAAAAGTGTCCAATTCTGCTTCAACTTTGTCTTTCAGGTCTTTGCATTTTCCGTCTCGTTTTGTTTTATCACAAATTTCTTTAACTTTTTTATTCACATCGGAACCACCATCTATTTCCTCCAACTCTTCACAATATTTCTTGAGTTCTCCTTTGCATTTATTTTCATCTTTATATTCCTTCTTCAGAATGAAAGCCAAAAGGTGTTCCTCCTTAATCTCCTCTGCTGGTGCTCCTTGTGGTGCTTGCCTCTTAACCGGCCGTGCCATTGCCGCCTATTTGGGGGGAGTTAAACATTGTTTCTAAGTTGGATGTAGGCAGGTGAATGAAAAGTTGTTTTGAAACGATTTTTTACAAGTTAGAGTTCTTATCATAATCATAAATTTTATTAGCTTTTCTACGATAAGAGCTCACTAGTTCTGAGATAAGCTTAAACTTTACCAAATAAAGCATAGTTTCGAACTAAGATTCTGTGTTAAAATAATTAAAACTTCATTTCATTCATTTACATTTCTATTATATATAAACAATGGATATATGCACATTTTCATTCTATTAACATTTTTTTCATTCATTTTACATCATCCCCATAACAATCACTCCCAACAACATTATTTTAATCATATCAGGAATTCTTATTTTCATCCCCTCATTAGGTTTCACTTCTTCTTTTGATGGTTTATCCTCCACTTTCTTTTCTTCTTCTTTTGCTGGTTTACCATCCACTTTCTTTTCTTCTTCTTTTGCTGGTTTACCATCCACTTTCTTTTCAACCCAGAATGACTTGCAATTATCTTTCAATTGTAAACAGACTCCTTTTTCATCATGGCTATTGGAACCTTTTTTTAACGTGTCCGGGCAATTCTCCATAAGTTGGCGACAATATGAACCCCATGTTGTACAGAGTTTTTTAACCAATGTTTGATTTGAACCTTTAATTTTATCCAGAATTTCATGTTCTTGCATGTTATTTTTTAAAATATCGCAATGATTCATAGCTTCTGAAACCATAAATTTGCATGTTTCTTCTAGTGAATTGCATGAAACATGATATAAATTCTTCTCTTTTTCAGATAATTTATCACATTTATCCTTCAAGGCTTTCATGCATTTTTGATTATCCGCTAATGCATCACTTTCTTCTTTCAAAAACGCATATTTCAGTTTTTTTGTAACTCTAAAATATTCACAACGCTCTTTCAATTTAACGCATTTCTCATCATTTAATCCTAAATCTTTTAAAATACCTTCACAATCCTTTTTCAATTCAATGCAGTCCTTTTCTTTAGGAGAATCCCCTACTGCATTCAAAGCTTTTTCTAGATCTTTCAATTGAGACGAAATAATTTTTTCAAATCTAAGACATATATCCTTTGGCCGAAGGCATCTCAAAAAAATCTCAATATTATTATTATTAAGTGTAGAGCACTTTTCCAATACTATTTTTTGGCATTCCTTAAGCCCTTCATCATTCGATTCTGATATATTAAGTTTGTGCAACTGTCTTCCAACTAATTTAATGAAAAGTTGATCTTCTTTCTTTTTATAACATGCCAGCCTTAGATTTTGGCATTCAGTATTCATATCAGGATTGCATGATCTTTTAATATAAGTACATTCTGAGATAACCTCTAAACATTCATTTTCGGTAAATGATGTTAAAAACCCATCTTGATACAAAATTTGCGATTTTACTCCACCTTTAATTTCTACAAAAGTCCCATCTTGATAAAGTTTCGTTTTAAGATTTTTACACCTATCCGTTATTTCTGATATATCTCTACATTTTTCTTCTTTGTTATTTTTTTCACATAATTCTTTAAATTCAGAACTTATAGTTCTAAGATAACTACAGTTAGTATCTAGTAGTTTCTTGCATTTGTTTTCCATATTATTAGCTTTAATATTCGAAGATAAACGGATTAACATGTCATCCAACGTTTTTTCTAAAGTTCCAAGAATTAGTCCTCTATTTCTTCCTTCTTTATAAAGATTTTCCAGACCAATCTTCTCTAACAATGTCATTTCCCGCTCAATTGGATTAAAACCTTTAATTGGAGGACTATATATAATACCCTTTCCCTCGCATAGTTTTTTCAATCCGCTCTTTTTCTCTTCACATCTCTCTTTGAGAGGAGAATATATTCCGAGTTTTTCATAACATATTTCTTCTTTTCTACCATTATCAATAAGATCGCTTAAAGAACCGCAAAAACGATCAATATCATTATTGAAATCTTCAAATGAAATATTTTCAAGACATAATGAGGCTAGATCATCACCCTTTTTAATCAATGTTGGACAAATTTCCTGCTTTTTTTCCTGGAAATCTTTAGATTTAGTAATATCAGCACCAAGAGCTCTAAGAAAAACTTCGTTTCTCATCTCTTTTTGCTTGTGTAAATAACAAGTATCTCGAAAGAAAATGCAGAAATCTATGACCTGCTGATTTTTTGTAGGTTCAAAAAACATACATGTATCAAAATATTTATTGCATTCTTCATAAAAGATGCTTTTAGTAGCCAAAATAATGATTAATTTTCCAATTTCATCTATTTTTTTTTCAATCTTTGCTTTTATGTCTTTGCATTTTTGTTCTATATTATTACAGATTTCTTTAACTTTACTATAAACTTTATCTAATCCTGGATCTATTCCTTTCAATTCTTCACAATATTCATTAAGCTTTGATTTGCATTTCCCTTCATCTTCTTGATAATCTTCTTTCAAAATATAAGCAAAGATATCTTCATTCCCAGCAACAAAATCCCTAAACGGCGCAATTTTTGCGCTTACTTGAGGATCTCTAGCTTTCAAATGTGTGTTTTGATTGCTATAAGTAGGAACTATAAATAGTTAAAAATAAAAATAATCCAAAATATAATCACCAATTAAAATTAATATTCCTAGAACTATAATTTTATTAATTATGGAAAAAAACATCTTGCATTATTTCTGGATCCAAATATATAGCATAAATATTAAAAATATGCTTCTAAATTGGGTCCTTTATTAAGCTTGATAGTTATTTCATGAAAAGGTTAAGATTAATCTCGCAGTTTCTATTAAACCCTAAAAAATTAGGAAAAACTATTAATAATAAAAATTATTACAAATATTGATTATAAATTTAAATGATTTTTCTTGTTTTTTTCTATATTTTTTCTCATCCCATTCAATTGTTTTTTATAAAATAATATATATATTAGATTTTATTTACCGACTTTTAACATTTATTTTAATTCATTTCGAACTTTTACTACTTTTAATACTATATTATTATTCTTAAATCCAATATCTTCATTATTTTTAACTTTACTTCATTCAAATAATTAATTCTTAATTTTTTTCTTTAATCACTGCATTGTTTTCAATATTGATTTATAATCAATACTTCTTCTGATCTTTAGTTTTAATTAAAGAATACTCGACTAATGATGCTTGACATGTACTTTTAGTTTAATTGAACACATTCTTTTCTCTATTTTTTCTTATATTACTTTAATTTTCCGGAAATGCTTATTTTTTCTGACTGCTTTCTAAAGCTTAGATTAATAAAAGACCCAAAATACCATCAGAAAATCCCTGATAATTTTCTACATCTCTACTATTTTTAAGATATTAATAAAAGGTTGTTAGATCCTTTTATTCTTTTATTTTATGTTATCTCTCCACTTGATGCAATACCATTAGCTAACATTCCTTAACAAAGAATTAGCTTCAATTCTGCTCTTTCAAGATAAATAATTGTCATATAACTAGAACTTTATAAATAAAGTTCATATTTAGTTAAAATATGCTCAGAAGGCCCTGATACAATGATTACCACCTTTTTTATCAGAAAAAAACCTCTATAAAATATACTAATAAATATAATACCTTCGAGTGCATTCTTTGAAAATAATTCAAGAAAATAAAATATGCTAACTGATTAAGCCATTTTCTAAGCAATTTCAACTTTCCTATGTTCTTAATGTTAAGATATAATATTAAAGTTGGAATAAGAAAACATAAGATGAATGATAGGTGAAGTAATATAATACATAAATATATTAGAAAAATATATACATAAATAGAATTAAAATTAATTATTAAAATATAAAGAGTACGTTGTTCATGTAGATCAAAATCGGCAGTATCACTAATATTGAATGAATTAACGGTTTTTTTTCAACATAGCAGCTTTTTCAATTTCTTAAGATATATTTGGATCAGAATCATCATTAAGTGCTTCAATTATAGAAAGTCTATCACTGAGATGTCTGTTTTCTTAAAAATCCTATAGGTTAAAAAGAGTAACCCAAAAATAAGAAGAATAACAATAATATCATCTGAAGTAACAAATGCCTTTTTTCGAAGAATGAAAGATGAGAAGCACTTGATCCAGTAGAAACACCCTCAGTAGAAGACGGCCGTGTAGAAGTTTTTGTAGTAGATGAAGTTTTAGTAGATGAAGCTTTTCGAGTGGTTGATATTTTAGTTTTGCTCGATGAAGTCGTAGATGTAGATAAAGTTATTGATGTTGGTTTTTGTTCCGGTGGTCGAGGTGGTGCAGGTGCAGGTGGAAGTGGAGGTGGAGGTGCAGGTGGCTCTGGCGTGGCTCTGGTTCTGGTTCTGGTTCTGGTTCTGGTTCTGGTTCTGGTTCTGGTTCTGGTTCTGGTTCTGGTTCTGGTTCTGGTTCTGGTTCCGGCCGAGGTGGTGGTGGCGGCGGTGGTGGAGGTGGTGCAGGTGCAGGTGGTGGAGGTGGTGCAGGTGCAGGTGGTGCAGGTGCAGGTGGTGGTGGCGGTGGTGGTGGTTCTGATGAAGATGTAGAAGTTGGATTTGATGAAAGCGAAGTATCTGGATCTTGCTGAGAGCTAGGATCTGATGGAGGGTTAGGATCTGGTTTTGATGGAGGCCGAGGATCTAATGGAGGCTGAGGCGGAGGTTCTGATGGAGGTTGATACCCAGGTTCTGATGAAGGCGGAGACTCAGGATCTGATGAAGGCGGAGACCCAGGATCTGATGAAGGCGGAGACTCAGGATCTGATGAAGGCGGAGACTCAGGATCTGATGAAGGCGGAGACCCAGGATCTGGTTGAGGTTGAGGGTTAGCATCTAGATCTGATGGAAGCGTAGTAGTTGGTTCTGGCGGAGGCATAGTAGTTGGTTGTTTATGCACAAAAGGATATGGAGGAGGTAGTGCTTTACTTGAATTAATAGACTCTCCGAAAAAATGAAGTTGCCAATTAAAAATATAACCTTGTTCATTCCAGTTATTTTTATCTGTAACATCGATAGTCCAGGTACCTACAATGGGTTCTCCCCTAAAAATCATTAGTTATTATTTTATAAAATGAAACAAAATACCAATGCTTTACAGTCGTAAAAATCCAAGAAAAATAGCCACTTTCATTATCACGAATACGTACACGTGCTAATAGTGAAGTAACTCCAGATGGACTGGTAATTTTAAACTGCAGATAACCTCTTGTTCGGTGTCGATAATAAAATGAAACACCAACATATTCCAAATTTTTAAAGTTATAATGCTCAGGATATCCACGATGAATATAAAAACTGCTCTTGATACGTCTACTGGGTTCAGGAAATTTCATATTAACTTGTATTAGTCGAGTTGAAAACATTGTCTGAGCATTTAATGTTTCAAATGTTCTTGCTCTTTCGACCATTCTATATGCATCTAGTTTTCCATAACCAAAATAATTATTATAATAACGTTTAGAAGGAAGTTCATCCCAATCATAATACTTCAATCTAAATGGAACAGCTGTTTCCACAATCAAAGCTTGAACATCACGCCATGTAAGATTAGGACTAATCTTTTAGTTAAATAATTTTAATGATATTCTTACTTCACTGAAAGAACAAGAGCAATAATACCCGCAGCAATCGCTGTAGAAGCAGAAGTTCCAGAATGTTGAGTAGTGCAATTTGTCTTACCAAGATCCGTAGTATACTAAAACGATAAATTTATTATAAAAAAAAAAGAAAAGATTACAATAGATCCATTTTCTCCGCCAGAATATGTAGAAGCCAAAATGCAAGGACATGACTCTGAAGTATCAAATTTTTTATCTTCTGCATCTATAGCAGCGATAGTAACAGTATATGGACTATTTGCATATCCATCGTAATTACAATCATCCAATAATCCACCATTTCCGCTTCCAAAAACATATATAGAGCCAAGACCGTTCCTTCCTTCTTTTATCCCTTTAATAATTGCAGAATAAGTAGTAGGCATCATTGGCATAGCTACATATCCATAATCAGGAGGTCCCCAGCTACAAGAATAAATATGATTAAGATTCGGTTCATATTTAAGAGCTTCTCCCTCAAGAAGAAGCGCATAAGGAGAAGTCATAAATCGTAATCCTTAGCAATATTAGATTGGTAGCAATTAAAGAAAAATACCTGAAATCTTAGATTCATATGCAACACCAAGCCCACAAAGATCATTCCTGGCGGCCGCCACTTCTCCTGCGCATTTAGTACCATGACTTTCATCAGGCTTCTCAGGTTTTGGGTCGGAATTTCCAGCATGAAAATTATATGAACCCTCGGAATTCTGAAAAAAGGTTAAAATAGTGATTTTATAATAGTTTTTCAAACATAATTTGGAGCCAAATCCTGGTTACAATAATCTATGCCATTATCTGCAATGGCAACTGTTACATTTTTTCCCGTTATCCCTAAAATCATTAAAAGGCAATCAACAACACAAATATCAAACCTTGTAACCATACACCTGTAACATTTATATCTACACCAGGTTTTTCCGTATTAAACTAATTAAAAAATCAGATTTTAATGAAAAAAAAAGAATAAGCTATACCAAATACCATTGTTTATCAAAACAAGGGTCAGTTATATTTAATTGTTTTTTAATTTCCTTTAACTTCTGTGTTAGATCTTCCGTCGGGTTTTCTGCCTGATCTTCCGTTGAATTTACCGCCTGTTCTTCCGTTGAATTTACCGCCTGATCATCTCCCGTCGGATCTTTTACAACATTATTGACAACTTCATCATTATAAAGATCTTGGTTATCAAAATATATATCGTCTCTTATCGCACCCCTGTTTTCTTGCTTGACCAATTTCTGTTTCTCATAATAAAAAAGCTTGTCACTATTAAACCCATTTATTGCATTTCTTCCTTTTTCTAAACCGAAATAATTCTCAATTTTTTCTTTAATTTCGTCTTCTAAAACACCCTTTTCTATAAAAAATATATGGTGGTTATCCAGATGATCTACTTTCATATGATATTTGAATCCTATCGCCCGCGAAAACTCTTCAATATCAACATCTTCTGAGAAATGAAAATGATAATAATCATTATTCTCAAAGTCTACTGGCACCGTTTCACATCTTACTCTAACTAAATATATCCAATATAAGAAAAAAGTAATGAGTATCTTAAAAATCATGATGAAATGTTAAAAAAAAAAACTATTTATCTTAACTTTCTATTAGAAATTCTTAACTTTTTTAAAGTTTAACTAGTATTAAATTAATTTAGCTTACTTAATCCTAACCCTATCTTCAACAAGACCCTCTAATCTGTCCCCTTGTTTTTACTAATAAATGATCAATTTATTTTCATCTAATCTATTATCTTTAATAAAACCCTATCTAGTTTTTTCTCTCTTTTTTATTAATAAAAATCAATTCGTCTCCATTAACCCTGTTATTTTTAATAAAACATTCTTTAAAACTAATTTAATATTTTATTTTAAATAAAAACCCTCTTTAAATTTTGATATTATCTACTGTTTTTAACAAAATTTTTTAAATTTCATTTTAATTTATTATTTTTAAATAAAAATTGATTTGATTTTACTTTTAGTAAAAACATCTTTAAATTTTGGTCTTTTGTTCTAATTAATGAAAAATCAATTCAACATTATCCAATTTGTTACTTTTAATAAAAATACTTTTAAAATACTTTTAAATTGAACCGTCCTTTTAATCTCCAATCAAACTCCTTCCAATTTACTCTTATCAAATCTCCACTAGCCTCTCCCTAACGACAGACTAATTTCCGATAAACAAATTTATTAATTTTTTTAAGATAATCATAAAGTTTAGTTGTTTTTTTGCAATAAACTTAGAGTTTATTAATTCTTTTATAATGATCAGAGATTTTATTGGTTTTTTTGATAAACAATAGATTTTATTAATTTTTTCATTATAAAGTTTAGTAGCTTTTTAAAAATAAACAATATAGTCCACTTATTCCTCTACGAAAACTTAGACTTGTTCTTATCATAATCTTTACTACCTCTCGATAAACTTAAACTTTGCCTGATAAAGCTAAATTACTAATTAAAATGGCGAACTAAAATTATAAAAAGTTCATCTTTCAATTCTTGATTCATTTACATTCTCATCTTGGCTCAATGCTAGCAAGAGATCTTGCAGAAAATCTGTACCCAGCCTCCTTGGTACATCCACTCCTTTTTTTCCAATAATAATATCATCTTTTTCTGCGCTTTTATGGACATCATCCAACCCAATACTTCTCAAGAACGATGCCTTCGACTTCACTGGACTAAGATCAGATTCCGGCGCTTCATATCTAATATTTTTTTCCTTGCATTTCTTCTCAAAGTCCTGACATTTAGCATCAGTAGACGCTTGTTCGTAAAAATGACATTTCTCAAGTTTTTTATGGAAATCTTTTTCTAAATTTTTCTGATCCAATTCTTTTTTTAAAGTCTTGCAAACATCCTTTAATTTACTTTCCATAGTTTTGCACGTTTTAGTCGGATTAAGACACAAAGACATCAGCTCGTCGCTTTCTCGGCTTAACACTGGGCAAACATCTTTCATCTTTCCTTTACATTTATTCACTTCATTAGCATCCCCTCCGAGCGTCCTGAAAAGGAGCTCCTCTACCACCTTTTCACGCTTCAATTTGTAGCATCCTTCCCTCAACTTGACAGAGTTCTTCTTAAGATCATCATCACCCGCCTCTTCTAAAAGTATACATTTTTCTTCATATTTTTCACAAACTTCATCTTTTATGTCATCTACCGATGCTTCAAGATCCGTATCAAAATCTCCCAATTCATCTTTAACTTTGGCTTTCAGGCCTGTGCATCTTTCCTCTTCTTTTTTACCACAAATTTCTTTAACTTTCTCATTCACTTTGAAATTCTCATCTGCTTCCTTCAACTCTTTACAATATTTCTCGAGTTCTGTTTTGCATTGTTGTTCATCTTCATATTTCTCCTTTGCAATGAAAGCCAAAAGGTGTTCCTCCTTAATCTCATCTTGTGCTACTTGTGCCACTTGTTGTTGCTTCTTAACCGGCCGTTCCATTTCCACCTCTTTGTAGGGAGTTTAGTGGGTAGTTTCTAAGTTGGATGTAGGCAGGTGAGTGAAAAGTTATTCTAAAATGATTTTTTACAACTTGGACTTGTTCTTATCATTAATCATAAGCTTTACTAGCTCTGCGATAAGTCTAAACTTTACCAAATAAAGTATAGTCTCGAATTAAGATTGTATGTTAAAATAATTAAAACTTCATTTCATTCATTTAGATTTCTATTATATATAAACAATAGATATATGCACATTTTCAATCTATTAACATTTTTTTCATTCATTTTACATCATCCCCATAACAATCACTCCCAACAACATTATTTTAATCATATCAGGAACTCTTATTTTCATCCCATCATTTGGTTTTACTTCTTCTTTTCCTCCTTTATCAGTGATACATTCTGTAGGTTGGCACCTGCGCATTGAGGTCGACGTGACTGTTGACGTCACTATCGACGTACTCGTCACCCATATATCCGTCGTTTGCAATTTTGTCATTGTTTCTTTTATTATTGTCCCTGCATGACAAGGCGTAACTTCTAATGGTTTTATTTCTTCGCATAACGTGTCTATTTCTCCGCAAACTTCTTTAGAATTCGGGCAATCCTTTCTAAAACCGCAATCTAATTCTAAAGCTTTACATTCTTCTTTCAATTCCAAATACAACTCCATTGCTATTGCCGTGTCATCAAATGCCTTTACCTCTGCTTCTGATACTCCTCCAGCTACATACGCTCTTTTAACAAGTCCAAGTTTTGTATTCCCTTTCGTTCCATCTGCTGCGTTTGGTGTTCCACTTGATGTAGAAGATGATCCTGCTGCTGGTGCTTCTGGTGCTGCTGGAGGTGCTAGTGGTGGCTGTGCTGGTACAGAACCACTGCTATTCTGCGCACTTGGCATTACAGTTTGTCGAGGTATCAATAGCAATAAGTTAGCTTTCTTCCTAGATTCTTTTGCCACCTGTTTGGCCTTTTCGTATTCATCTTTCTTATCATTCAATTCTTTTTTCGCTTTATCCAGTTCGATTTTTAAAGTAGGGCATATCTTCTGTACTTTTTCAACCAATTTTTTGCAAAGTTCTTCGAAAGTTTTATCTTCACATTTATTAAGCAGAGTTCCGAATCTTTCATTCTTTTTCAACTCAGCGCAACGCTCTCCTAATGCTTCTTTACATTTTTCTTTCTCGTTTAAAGTGCCTTTCAACTCATGAGTCAGCCCATCCTCCAATTGTTTTTTCTTCCAGAATGGCTCGCAGTTCTCTTTCAGTTGTAAACAGACTCCTTTCCCATCAGCGCTACTGGAATTATTTTTTAACGTCTCTGGACAATTCTCCATAAGTTGATCACAATATGGATCCCATACCATGCAGGTTTCTTCAACCAATGTTTCATTTGAATCTTTAGTTTTATTAATAATTCCATGTTTTTCCATGTTCTTTTTAAAAATATTGCAATGATTCTTAGCTTCCGAAACCATAAATCTACATGTTTCTTCTGGTAAAGCGCATGAAACATGATATATATTATTTCTTTTTCTAAATAATTTATGGCATTTATTCCTCAAAGCTTTCATACATTTTTGATTATCCGCTAATGCATCACTTTTTTCTTTGAAAAACACACATTTCAGTTCTTTTGTAACTTTAAAATATTCACATCGCTCTTTCAATGTAACGCATTTCCCATTATTTAAACCTAAATCTTTCAAAATACCTTCACAATCCTCTTTCAATTTAATGCAGTCCTTTTCATTAGGAGAATCCCGTACTTCATTCAAAACTTGTTCTAGATCTTTCAATTGAGACGAAATAATTTTTTCAAATCTAAGACATATCTCCTTTGGCCGAAGGCATCTCAAAAAAATATCAACATTATTATTTTCAAGTGTAGCGCACTTTTCCAATACTATTCTTTGGCATTTATTAAATCTTTCATCATTCGATTCTAATTTATTAAGTTTGTACAACTCACTTCCAATTAATTTAATGAATAGTTGATCTTGTTTCTTTTTATAACATGCTTGTATTAGATTTCGGTATTCGTTATCCATATTAGCTTTGCATGATCTTCTAATAAAAAAAAATTCTGACATAACCTCTAAACATTCATTCTCGGTAAATGATGTCGAAAGCTCATCATAAGACAATGATTCCGATCTATCTTCAAATTCTGTAGAAGTTCCATCTACATAAAGTCTTATTCTAAGCTTTGTACACCTATCCGTCATTTTTGATATATCTTTACATTTTTCTTCATATTTATTTTTTTCACATAATTCTTTAAATTCAGAACTTATAGATTTAAGATAAGTACACTTAGTATCTAGTACGTTCTTGCATTTGGTTCCCATATTAATAACTCTAGTATACGGAGTCAAAAAGGTTAACATGTCATTCAACGTTTTTTCTAAAGCTCCAAGAATTAGTCCTCTACTTCTTCCTCCTTTATAAAGATTTTCTAGATCAATCTCCTCTAACAATGTCATTTCCGGCTCAATCGGATTAAAATCTTTAACTGGAGGCCTATATGTAATATTCTTTCCCTCGCATAGTTTCTTCAATTTCTCGTTTTTCTCTTCACATCTCTCTTTGAGAAGATGATATATTCCGAGTTTTTCATGACATACTTCTTTTTTATCATTATCAATGAAATCTTTTAAAGAATTGCAAAACTCATCAATACTTTTATTGAATTTTTCAAGTGAAATATCTTCAAGGCAGAATAAAGCTAGAGTATCACTCTGTTTAATCAATGTTGGACATATTCCCTTCTTTTTTTCCTGGAAATCTTTAGACTCAGTAATATCAGTAGCAAGAGCTCTAAGAAAAACTTCATTTGCCATCTCTCTTTGCTTGTATAAATAACAAAAAAATATAAGAGATCTGCAGAAACTTAAAACATATGCCTCTTTTGTAGATTCATAAAACATACATGTTTGATAATATTGATCGCATTCTTTATAAGAGATGTCTCTAATCGTATAATAAACGATTAAATCTGGAGCTTCTCCGACTTTTTTTGAATCTTTGCTTTCGTATCTGTGCATTTTTGTTTTACATTATTACAAATTTTTTTAACTTTACTATGAACTTTATTTAATTCTGGATCTATAACCTTCAATTCTTCACAATATTCCTCAAGCTTTGGTTCGCATTTCTCTTCATGTTTTTCATAATCTTCTCTCAAAATATAAGCAACGATTTCTTCATCCTCAACAGCAAAATCCTTAAACGGAGTATTTGCTGCACTTACTTGAGAATCTCTAGCTTTCAAATACGCGTTTTGATTGCCATAAGTAGGAGCTATAAATAGTTAAAAATAAAAATAATCCAAAATATAATTACCAATTAAAATCAATATTCCTAGAACTATAATTTTATTAATCATGGAAAAAAACATCTTATATTATTTCTGGATCCCAATATATAGCATAAATATTAAAAATATACTCTTATATTAGGTCCTTTAAACTTGATAGTTATTTCATGAATAAATTTTAAGATGAATTTCGCAGTTTTTATTAAACCCTAAAAAAATTAGGAAAAAAGCTAATAAAAATAAAAACCATTACAAATCTTGATTATAAATTAAATGATCTTTTTTGCCTTTTTATATATCCCTTTTCATCCCATTCAATTGTTTTTTATAAAATAATATATATATTAGATTTTATTTGCCGACTTTTTAACATTTATTTCAATTCATTCCAAACTTTTACTACTTTTAATACTATATTATTATTCTTAAATCCAGTGTCTTCCTTATTTTTAACTTTATTCAAATAGCTAATTCTTAAACCTTTTTCTTTAATTACTACATTGTTTTCAATATTGATTTATAATCAATACTTTTTTTGATCTTCATTTTTAATCAAAGAATACTCGACTAATAATGCTTGACATATACTTTTAGTTTAATTGAACACATTCTCTTCTCTATTTTCACTTATATTACTTTAAATTGCACAAAAAAAACATAAAAAAGGTGCTTTTCATTAATTATACATCATACAGAAACAGAAAAACAATATGCAATTTTTATAATAAACCTCAGGCAAAGGATAAATACGGGTCACAAAAAGCACCTTTTTATCGCAATGTTTGATAAAACTAACAGGAAATCGATATCTCTTTCTGATATCAACATTAACCCTAATCCTTGTCCCTTATCTTAAATGTTTATACAGAACATAATAGTATTATAAAATCTTACATTATATATATAATGTTTAAAATTGATTAATAATTGATATAAGTATATAATAACTTGATTTAATTTAATTTTAATATTGTTTTTTTCTTATAAAATTATAATATTTAAAGCGGAAAATTGTATTAATTCTTTTTGTTTTGAATAGTTTTCATATTAAAAATGTGATATTTTTAAAAATACTTTACTAAAATATTTAAATATTTATATTTGGATTTTATAATTGTTAAAGATAAAAATCTCATTTTAATATTATCAAACAATTGAATGTTAGAACATATTTCAATTTATAAATATTTTAAAAGCTTATTTTATAAATTACCATAAAATAATATTTTAAAAAAATCATGGAATTCAAATTAAATTAGCAGTAAAATTAAGTAATATTTTATATTTATAAATTCTTTATAAACTTCTAAATTTTTATTAGTTTTACGATATTATTGTTTTTAAATTTAATATTTAAAATTCTTATAGATTACTGTTTTTGCAGCATTCTCCCTATACTCTCCATTTCTTATTAAAAATTTTTAATTTAATGGAGTCGTGCTTCGTATTATCCAAAATATTTATATTACAAGGCGACTAACTTTATAAGAACATGGATATTTTTATCTGAGATTTCCGTGGTAACATTTCTAATTTTTTATATATAAAATTTAAGAACGATATTAGAAATTTCCAAAATAATTATACATTTTTTTTGTAAAAGTCAATAACTTTAAAAAGTATAATGTTTTTTCAGAAGTTTTTCAGAAATATCCTATTTGTTTCCAATTATTTTAAATAATACAGTTATCATATCCACATATAATTACTGTTTTTCCATTTAAATTATTAGTAATATAATATATAAGCTATTTCTAGGATTTAGATATACATTATTTTATCGGTTTCTTTACATATCTACCTTAGTAAAAGTGCGCCTTTATTGATTAATAAATAGTAAATTGTGTAAGTGAAGGTAATAAAGATGTAGTTAGGAAAAAAAGATTCGCTAAAAGAAGTTACATTAGTCTGTAAAAAATCCTAAATATAATAAAAATATAAAATGGTTTTAGAATTTTTGATCATTTTCAGATTTATCAATTTCACATGTTAAGAATCTAAAATATAAATTAATAATATTACAGTTCCGGAAATATCTTTATACAAAGTAAAATTTCTATATATATTACCTAATTTTGAGATTTTTTTAGTTTTTTTTAATGTTTTCATTTGTTAATATATTTAAAGAGTGCGATGGTTTGGATAGACATTTTTAATTAGAAGTAACTGTTGTTTTATCTAATTTTCTAAACAATTATTTTCATCTTCCTCGCTAATTGGTCTTGGAGATAATTCTCTTATCTGTGTTCTGTTGATTTCATCTGAAGTTTTATTAATAGATAAGCTTGTCTGCAAATTGACGGAGTCGGATATTATTAAACTATTGAACTTATTTTCCTCCAAGCTTTCAATATCTTGGTTTTCCTTAGTTATTGAATCAAAAGAGTTTTGAAAATTCTTAATTAATTCAAAATTATCTGGCGATTGTTTTTCAAAAAAAGAGTCAGAACTAAAATAATATTTACAAACATTAACTATTTTTTTCTCTGCATCGCAACTTCTGATATAGTCAAGAGTGACAACAGGTATATTCATAGAAATAGCTTTTTTATATTCGGAACCTGAAGTTCTTGATGTAATGAAATGTGTTGTATCTATTTTAACTTTTGATTGAATGGGCCTTGCACCTATTCTCTTTATTGTTTGTTCTAGTTCTTTTTTATCATTTTCATTCAATTCTCCTACACATACTGTAATACCACTTAGATCTGTTATCTCATGTGTACGAACTATAACAAATTCAGAAAAATAGGTGCCACCAGAAGTCTTTAGTACAAGCTGGAAAGAATACTCCGTATTCAATGCAAGACCTGATAGTTTTGTACTTGTAGTAGTAGTTGCTTTTGGAATTTTACCAAGGCGTAATCCATTTTTATATAACGTTAGACTTCGAAGTTCCGTAGTTCCTAATTCAATAGGATCCCATTCCAATACTACACTTGTTTGTGTTACATTTTTAACTCTTAAGACAGGAGTAGTAGGTTTTTTTATTCCAAATGTCTCATGTATTTTTTTCTGTAGTTCTTGAAAATCTTCTTTTTCCTTATTTTCAGCTTCATAATTCCGAGAAATAGATATATCTAAAATTGAACCTGTTTGTATACCATGAGGAAGTAATAGTGATGGGAATTCTACAAGGTAACAATCAGAAGTTAATAAAATTGCCTAAATCGTTTGAATAAATTTTTTTTATGAAAAATTTATAAACACTTACCACTCCTGCATCAACTTTACCAACTGTAAATTGAACTTTACTTATATCTTTGTTACTCATTTTTAAATGAAATATTTTTTAAAAAATAAATACGTGAAATTGAAAATGTTAAATATTAATTTTAAAAAATTTCATTTTATATAAATTTATATAAAAATATTTCATTTAAGTCCTTTTAAATTTTATATGAAAATTATTTTTAATTATTATGTATTTTTCAGTAATATTATTTTAATAGTTTATAACCGTTTTTGTTATTAATTGTTTAATGAAATTCATATAATTTATCATTATTATAAAAACATTCTAGTTTTCATTTAATCATAATCCATTTTATTTTCATTAAATCAAGATATTTGTGATGATTATTATTCATTTAATATTTTGTAATTACTTAAAAATATTTATATTATATTAACAATATATATATATATCCTTAATATTAGTCGAAGTAAAAATATAATCCATAGTTTTTTTTATTTCAAGTATTATTTTTTATGAACCCATGATGACCGCTAATCTTTAAGAATACTTGTGTATTAAAAATAAAAAAAAGGTTAAACATGGATAAATATGCAAATAAGGAGCTCTTTTCCAGATCGCTTCTTTTAGATGGGCCCAGTCTTCCAGAAAATTTATTATTTAGACCTCTACAGAGAAACGATTGGTCACGAGGTGTGATTGGCGAAAAACTTTAAATTAATAATAGATTTGTAGAATTTAATACTTTACTAAATAGTCTTTTCGAAGAAACTTTCGAGTTGAGTAAACAAGATTTTGAGGCGAGATTTGATCTTATGCAATCTGCATCCCCTGAATGTTATTTTATTGTTGTTATTGAGAATACTATAACAAAAGAAATTGTAAGTTTATAATCTTTAAGTATTCTCGGTTTATGCTATATTAACAATCAATGCTTTAGATTGCTTGTGGAACAGTATTTATAGAATATAAATTTCTAAAATCAGCATCTAAGGCTGCTCATATTGAAGATGTTGTTGTTGCCAAATCTTATCGAGGAAAAAATCTTGGAAAATTGTCAAAATTATAATGTTTAATACAATTCTGTTAATATAAATTAGATTAATTGAAATGCTTTCTAAGATCGCAAGATCAAAAAAGTGCTATAAAATTGTGCTTGATTGTAAAGAACATAATGTTGAATTTTATAAGAAGTGTAATTTTAACGTTAGTGGATTTGAAATGAAACAATATATTTAACAAATAAATGGTTATGTAACAGTATTTTATAGTTTATAAATCTAGAATTAATGTTTTAAATTGCGTAAAATATAACATAAATGAAGATTATACTAGTTGCATTTCCTTTAGTGAAAAATATTTTAAGAATAAAATTTTAAAATTAGTAATTATTTCATATAAAATCCAAAAACAAATGCAAAATATTCTTATACAACAAGCCATGCAAAAAATGCTAGAGCTCCTATAACAACTAATGCAGTTAAAAGTCCCGCAAAAACCTTATCTGCAATAGTAGGTGGTCTAATATCACCCAGAAAATATAGTGACCTATCTCTATATACATTATTTGGATCAGCCTTCGAAGTACCTCCTGTATCACTTGTTAATGGTTTCATAGCATTTGGCGCCAAAATTGCTAGCATAGTTTCCAAAGCACTCATTTGTGAGCCTAAGGAGTCCTTAAAATATAATTAATTTGTTTTCCTAATCATAAACAAATATACCCATCCATCATAATTAGAAGCTTGCCAATTCATTCCACAATGATAGCCAGATGGTGGACCACTACATGCACCTGCTGCTGCCATAGAAGATGTTTTAAGAAGCGGTAAAATGTGACTGATAGTATCGGGCATTAAATTCATAGTATATCCCATAAATCTTGAAAGATATGCTTTAAATGACATTTGATCCTGGTTACACGTCTTAATAAATTCACATGCAGGTTCACCTAAAGCAAAAATTAAATGTTTCATAAAGTATAATAGAAATAAAACATACATAAAATCCCATTATTTCTATAAAATGATTTTTTTGCTTTAAAAATATAACGATAAACCCTATCTTTCCATTTAGGGTCTTTTGTCTAAAAATATTAAATAATAAATAAAAAAACTGTTACTCACAAAATCATACATAAAAGCTGAACCAGCCATAAGAAGACCATTATTATAGCTCCATTGCACACGAGTTACTGGGTAACAATTAGGTATCTCTGCACCGTCATAAACAGCATATGTTGTTAAATTAATAAACTTTATATCTTCCATCCAAATATATGCTTTTTCCGCCCATTTTGCATATGTTTCGTTATTTGTATAGCGAGCAAGACGCGCAGCTAATTGAAAAAATGCTCCATTAGAAACAGTATTTTTGTACGTATATCCTAAATTATATGGAAAAATTTGCCATCTCAAACCACCACGACAATTCTGATCATCCCAACGGTCAACCTGTTCATTGAATACTGCTTGAACAAGCTCCAGCCATTGTGGTTGATCGGGCGGGGGGTTCTCAAGGTTTGTTTCTGCAGCAGTCATAGCTGTAAAAGCCCAAAATGTTTGATCATCGTTACCCTGTGATAATCTAAATTGTATAGGTAATAAGTCTCTATTTTCTCCTGCCTGCGAAAGAATTGCTTCGATAATAAGCTTATTCCATTTTTTATCGCCTGTATAACGAGAATAATCAAGAAGTGACTATGATTATATTAGTTATTGTATATTTAAAAATGCATAACATCGATTATATAAAGGAAATATTCATATATACGCGAATTTTCATATCAATTTTTAAACAATACATACGTTCCATGCTGCTCCTGATTGCCACCAATAAACAGGTCCCTTAAATAAGCCAGGTGTTCCAGAAAAATAATACATAACATTCTCTGTAATAAATGAAGCCGTTCTCTTGATACTTTCTGTAGGAATTTGTTGATGTTAGGTTATATTAAGTACTTTGATGTATATGCATGCTATTAAAACAAGCTGCATTAATATTTACCTGGATTATTAACATCTAGATTAATTGAATTAATTTGAGGTATTTTTAATATAAATAGAAAGCACAGCAGGTTTTGTATACTTCTAAAGAAAAAGTATACTATTTTCTTCGCATTCATAATTCTTTCTATTTATTTATTTCTCCAAACAATAGAAATACGTCTCCTTAAGAAAGAACATATAATTATATTGAATATATATTTCCTTTTGTTAAATAAAACAATTGATTGTTTTTAAAGATTAAATTAAATTTTATCTTGGATTTTTTTTTGAATTGACGATAATCGGATTTCTTGTAAGGTAAAACTTATAGATTTGTAATTAATGGTTTTATAATATTTATATAAAAGGGTATAATATATTTTATAAGATATTTAAAATATTAAGGTATTATAAATTAGTTAACATTAATCAAAAAAAATAAAATAATATAAGATTAATATAGTAAAATAACGATATGATAAAGTGTATATCGCGCTTAAATATTATAAATGAAAATTTTATAAAAATACAAAAAAATATAAATAACAGTTTTATTTTGAAGAATAATTACGATGATTATATAAACTAATGTCTTCTAAAGTTCTATTTATGTTACACCCATGAAAATTTGTTATTGAAACATTATGTTCGTATATTGTCCTATTGTTTTCTTGAAATTTTTCAAGATAATCAAGATATTTTTCGTCTATATTAGTAACATATTCACCAGTAAACACACTAGTCTCAAACCCTGAAACGAGCGAATTATGCTGACATGATTTATATAAATCTTCTAGTGTTTGATAAATAACTTCATCTGCTCCAATTTCTTTAGCTATTTCGGTTTCTGTACGCTGATGTGCTATAAGATCCTTCCTGCTTGCTAAGTCAATTCCATAAACATGTGGATATCTATTATATTATTAAACATTAATAACATTAAGATCGTGTTTATAACCTAATAGGAGGTGCACAGCTTGCAAAGTATATTTTTTTTGCACCTGCATCCTTAGCCATTTGAATAATTTCTTTACTTGTTGTTCCACGTACAATAGAATCATCAACAATTAGCACATTTTTTTCATTAAATTCAAGTGCTTGAACATTTAATTTTCGACGAACGCTTTTTTTTCTAATGAAAGTAAATATTATTTATAAAGTATTAGCTTTTACAAACCGTATTTGTTGGCCAGGCATAATAAATGTTCTTCCAATATAGCGATTTTTAATAAAACCTTCTTTATAATTTAAATTTAAGGTTTGTGCCAATTCTAATGCCGCATTTCTACTAGTATCTGGTACTGGAACAACGACATCAATTTTATTTGCAACATCTTTACCAAATCTTTCCTGTACAGTTTTGGCTAAATATCTTCCCATCTTTAAACGTGCACGATAAACACTAATTCCATCCATGACAGTATCCGGTCTTGCAAAATAAACATACTCAAATATATCTGGGGTATATCCCAACTGTTCATAAACCTGTCTTACGATCGGATGCTTTTGTGATTCAGTAGTCTTATTCTTTTCAATAAATATTGCCTGCCCTGGTTTTACGTCATAATAATTAGCGAATCCTAACTGATCTAATGCAACACTTTCACTTGCAAATAAATAATCTTTCCCGTATTTACTTTCACGTTCCCCAAAAACTAAAGGACGAATTCCATTTGGATCACGAAATCCTAAAATTCCATATCCTGCTATCATTGCTACACAAGCATAGCCTCCTTGACAATGTTTATAAAGTGAAGATAGAGCTTTAAAAAGATCATCATATGTAGCTCTTGATTTTTGGAACCGTGATAAATATGATGCAAATATATTTAAAAGAAGTTCTGAATCTGAATTTGTATTTATGTGGCGATGAGCAATTTCGTCCAAATATTTATGAAGCTCTTCAGTATTTGTTAAATTTCCATTCTACTATTAGTTTAAAAAAACTAATTGCTATAATAATTAATACTAACATGTGCAAAAACGATTCCGTAAGGCGAATTTACATAAAAAGGCTGAGCTTCAGAGTTTGCAAACGAACCCGCTGTAGGATAACGAACCAAATAATACTATCAGATATAATATTAAGTTATAGAAGGATTATACCATGAGCGATCGCCATATTTCCATATAATTCCCGCAGTTGATAATCACGAAAAATGTCTCTAACCATTCCATTACCTTTACATTGATAAAAGCGACCCTGAGATCCACATGTTACAATGCCAGCCGCATCCTTGAAATTCTTAATAAGATATCATAAAAGTATAATTTTCTAACCTGACCACGATGTTGAAGAATGTTTAACCCTTCAAAAATTTCTGAACATGCAAAACCAGATGGGTCGGCTAGCAAAAGTCCAAGAATCCCACACATCTAAAAACTAGAAATATTAGATTTTTCCGTAATAATTATAATAGCAAAAGTAATATAAACAAATCAGTTAAAAAACATCTACAACTATAATAAGTATTCAGTAGTCTAATATCTTATAATATCCCATCATTGAAATCAAGACGAAATGAAAATTCAGAACTATAGCATACTTTTGATCTAATTTTATATTTTTTTAAAGATTTGCGATTCTTCAAAAATCATATTAAATTCTCGAAATTTAGATTTTTTTTATAAATTTGATTTTAAAAAAGTACAATTATAGTATAAATAAATTAATAATAACTAATCATTTGTTTTGTTTTAATATATAGAAAATGTTAAATAAAGATAAATTAATAATGTTAAAATATTTTAAAACCTTTATATATTTTAAAAATAATTTTCACCACTTGATAAATATTTTTTTATATTATCTATAATTCAACTGTGACATTATATTTTTAATATCAGATATTGAAATACTATTAATTTAAAGATGATACAATATTTAAATAAATCATAAGATTTGCATAATAATATATATGTTGTGTTATATAAAAATCAAGATTATCCATTTTTATTTTTTTATAATTTTGATTTTATCTTTGAATTTCAAGATTATTTTAATATAAAATGAATCCTAATGAAATATAAAAATATTAATGTTTTTAATGACATGGAATTTAATATAAAAATTTATTCTTGAATATATAGTTCAAACATAATCTTTAATAATATTATTTTATAAATGTTATTATTAAATATTGTTTCATGAAAATATAATTAATCTTAAATTTTATATACTAATGGATTTTATGGACATGTTAATATAAATAATTGTTTTTTATATTTATTTAAATAATCTATATGAATTATTATTTTATTCTGTATTCAAATTAAATATTATTCTAAATAGGTATAAGAATATGAAAAAACGTTTAATGTATCTTCAAAATAGTAATTTGTCTAAAATTGAATTTATTAGGTACGTATTAAAACATTACTGTTAAAGACTAATTTTGTTTAAGTGTTATAATATGCTTTTATTAATATTCATTATAATTTTAATAAAACATGACAGTTTAAGATCTCGGATATCATGTTTATAGAATATCAAGTTTATATACTCTGGTTTTTTAATATACTCATGAATATCAAAACCTAAGAATTTCTGAATTACATTTCAAATTTAATAAGATTATAGATATTTTTAAAATTAAAAAACAGCTTATAGCTGAATTAATAAGAAAAAAATACCCGGATCTTATGTTTAAATTTATAAACAAAAGCTAATATATATATGGTTATGCTAGATAATATAAATGATCCCTATAATATATAATAATAACTAATGTAACAAAGATATATTTTAAATAATTATAAATTCTCTTGTCTATTTTTTCTTAACTATAAAAGGAACCTATATTATCGTCAAAAAAAAAAAAAATCATTCAATAAATACAATAATTATTGCTAAAAGTATTATAATTCCTATAATATATTTAGAGTAGTCTATCTAATACAAAAAATATCATACCAATGATAAGACACATACGCATTTTAACATCTATGAAAATTAATAAACATATGATATAAAAACCAAAATACCTTTCCACCACATCTGTTTTCTTACACGATTTGCGCCACGGCGAAACCCTTGAGCAGATGTTGCAAGATTTTCCGTCTTATCCTGTAAAATATCAAGTCGTTCACCCCGTTGTGCAACCTTAAATATTAGTTTATACTCAATCTATCAACAAGGACAACTTTGTTAATATTTTCCCTCATAATACCAACGGTATCATCTATTTGCGCTTGAATCATCGCAGTCCTTGAATTTCCTGGAGCATAAGACGAATTATTTGGCGCATGCGATCCTAATGGCTTGTCTGATCTTAATTTTTTTCAAAAACATTAAATGTTTAGACCCATACCTCATGTGGCTCTTCTGGAATCATGTTGCTTTACTTAAAATATCTAAAAAACCACTTTAAAAAAATATTTTTTCCGTAAAACTCTTATTAGTATATAAATTTTTCGTACCGAAAATCGTAGGTAAAATTTTATAAAAACTTAATTATTCAGTTTTATTATTTATCATAAAAAAAATCAATTAATATATAAAAGCTAGATAGCCTATAATTATGTATTACATAAGACGCAGTATAAGCGGCTAAATAATAATATAATTTGATATTTGATATTGCGATATTTATAATTATTTGAAATATTATAGAACCCTCAGAAAAATATGTATATTTATATATTTAAGTGGATTGTAATTATTATTAATCTATATAAAATATTATAAGAGTTAAAGTTTTTATCAAATTGTTTTAAGCTCAGTATTTTCAATACTGTTTATATAATAGTTAGGTTCTTGTTAACTCGTTAGGTTTTTTGAAATGTTTTTATTACATAGAGTTTATTTTTAAAATTTTCATTTATATCATTTTTAACATTTTTTGTAGAAAGTATTAATTAAAAAATGTTGATATTTTTTAAAAGCTATTTAATATAAAATAAATATAATTATTTTTTAAATATTATCCCATTAGCAAAAAAATAACATCTATTTTTCCTTCAACATTGAATAATTGTTTAGTATTGTTATTTCTTAAATTTATACTTAATTTCTGTATTTTAAATATGCTATAATATTAAAAAGAAACTTAAGAATTTTTGTAAATTCATTTAAAAAAACCTAACAAATATCTATAAAAATATATTTGAATAATGTTTTTATTAAGGGAAATATGAAATCTTTTTGAAACAATAATTAGTTTTATATTAATTGAAAGTAAAAATATTGTAAAATTTCTAAAAGTATTCAATTAAAGTTTGTTATCATTTCTCCCTTTTTCTTTTAAGTTTTAAATAATTTCGATATTATCCATTTATGCTTGAAAAACTTTATTTTTAATTAGGTAATTTTTTGTAGTATTTATAAATATTTTTTATTTAAAAAATTTCAATATAAATCCCGTATTTCTTAAAAAAAATACTTGTATTGAATATTATAAAAATGAAACTTTCAAAAACAGAATTCTAAGATTTTGAAACATTTGTCTTTAAATAAAGTATGTATTGATAATTAAAAGAAGTTTATAAATGATGTTAAGTAATTTGCGTTTGATAAATGAACATATTCAAGACTTCGCCTGGTCTTATAAGAATTTTCATATACATGAGATTGTTTTTTTTCTGAAATAACATTAGTTAAATGTAATTAGAACTTATTAATTAATTTTAGAAATATTCAATACTTAAATGTTTTTAGGTAGGTTATAATATATATGATTTACTCAAATTGGAAAAATGATGATATAATTATTCATGATTATAAATGATAATCTACTAATTATCACTAAGATCTCTGAGTCTTAATTATTTAATTGATTTTAATAATTTATTAATAAAATTATAAACAACTCCTAATATAATCTAGATACAATAAATAATTTTTAAAAAAATATATTTGTATATATTTTTTAAATTATAAGATTCGTTAAGATATTAAATTTCCATTAAAATCAATGCCTTTGTTAATTTTAATAACAAATGACAGACTTAAAAATCGAAGAAACATTATGCCATTTCATTAAATCTTAAATGCTAAATAGGTTAATAAACCAAAAAGTTTAAGATGCTAAAAGATATAGAAAATTAGAACTATGCTTCGCAATAAACAGCTTAAAACTGAAATCAATGTTATTGAATTAAAAAATTATCCAGCAGTTCAACAAATTCATAATCATTATATGTGCAGTGTTTCTATTTAATGTTAGTAATAAAAACGTTACCGTTTTTGGATGATTAAAAAACATAATTTTATGTTCCTATTTATCTAGGTTTCAATTTTTCTTTGTATATTATTCTAATTTCTTTTCTGAATATTGCTCCATTTTTTTTTCTGCATATTGATTGAAATTTATAGAAATATTATTGGAATCTTTAGTATCTTTCATTTCAAACATATTTAAATGTCGTTGTTCTCTAATAATATCAATATCATTTGGATAGAATATTTTCTGAACTGATTTTATAGTAAATTGTGGAAATATTGAAACAACAATAGTTAAGAGACACATGATCCAAAAACTTGGAGTTTTTAAAACATGATCAGCAATTTTATAAAACTCAGGAGTAACAGTAAATTGCGAATATACTATAGTCCACAACCTATATGAATTAATATATCTAAGAAAAAATTTGTAATGCTACCAGAATAAGAAAACGGAAAATATCCATACTAAAATAAATAACCAATCCCATTGTTGTTGGTTCATTAAAATAGATATATTTACTACCATAATTGCTGGAGCTGCAATAAAAACTCCTATATCTTCTATTCCATTCAAATTAATACCATTTAAAGTAACAAAAGTTCCTTTGTAAAATAAAAAATAAGGAAAATAAAAACATATAATTGATTGATAAAAGCCATTTAAAATATAAATCCTAGAAAAAATTAGTAAAATAACACAATTATCAATTGTTTAGTTACCAAAATCGCTTCATTGACCAATCTAACTGTAATATTCCACGCCTATATAACTGTGGTACTTTCATAGATATTTTTGCATCAACATCTTGATCAAATGCGCCCATTAAAATAACTACCAAAGAAGTAAACGCTAAATTATAAAGCAAAATATATCTTGAAAAATTAGCAATAATATGAAAACTAAAGAAGAAAAAAATACGTATAATCAAATAAGTAACCACCATTAAAATTATTATAAATCTGATACCAAAATAAAGAAAAAGTCCATACAATATTCTAAAATCATGAACATAAAAAATATTCACTAAATTAAACAAACCTTATAGAAAAAATTAGCAATCATCCCACTAAGACGGCGATATGACCATCTTCCATGAACTAATAACAATTTACTTAAAAATCTAAATTGACCAATTGCATAATCAGCAGACATAACAGCTTGACGCCCTTCTTCTCCAGCAATTCCGACACCCACATGTGCTTCTTGAATCATAGCAACATCATTAGCACCTGGAAAAAATAAGTAATTTTTTATAATTTAGTTTTTATAACCATCTCCAATAGATAATGTCATAACATTCAACCCCTTCTTAATTATAGAAACTACTGCTGCTTTTTGTGACGGACTCACTCTACAACACAAAACTGCCTTACATTGTGTACATAATAATAAAAAATTATCCTTGAAATGTTTTTCTAGAAGTAGTTTAAGAGTATCTCCATCTATTACAAGAGCGTAACTCAAAGATAGATTATCATAATTTTCTGAAAAAGTATCTTTTCTACCAGTTTCATTAAAATTAATATATTTTTTTAGGTATTTTTGAATAATTTGATCAATTTTCTCAGTTTCATAATGCCCAGATGCCAATGTCAATATTTCCATATTATTGGAAAGTAGATTACATGAAAAGCCAATATTAATGGCAGTTTCTACTTTGTCACCAGTAAGAATCCATATTTTTATACCCGCTTCAGCTAAAAGTGAAATAGTTTCAGGAACTCCATCTTGTAGTTTATCTTCAATAGCTGTCCCCCCAAGCAATTCCAAATTGCATTCTATTTCTTCAAATATTTGATCTATTTTTTCTTCACGGTCCTCGATTGCTGATGAAGCAATAACATAGTGTTTATTCCAAGAAGCATATTCTTGCTCTGATAATTTTCGTCTTGCTACAACAAGAGTACGGAAACCTTCTTTAGCAAATTCTCTAAGATCATTTGTGGTTTTATTTTTAAGTTTAGAATCGTCTGTTAATGGAAGAATCGTACTATCTGCACCTTTACAAAACAAATATATTTCATTATTTGGTGCGCGAACAATGATACTCATACGTTTTCTGAAAGAACTAAATTCAAGAATATTGAGAATTTTATATATTTCTTCCTTTCCATGAACATTTAAATTAATTGAGGTTTTACGTCGAGCAGTCATAACATAACCCATGTCCCTAGCGGTTGCAACAAGTGTAGCCTCATCAGGAGATTGAGCCTTATATTCTAGTCTAAGTTTTGTGTCTGGTACTACCTCAGCAATAACAGAATGACAGAGAGCCAATGCAAGCATAAAGTTATGACATGCAATTGCTTGATCCTTCACATCTGAAGCTTTTAAATCATTTATAAAATCAGTAGATATAAATGTAAGTTTAGATTCATCCAAATATGGATTATTATTAAAACTTCGCAAACCAGATATCATAGCAGTCTTTTTATTAAAAATAGATGCTTTAGCTTTTGTATCGGCTTCATTAGCACTCATTCCTTGCTTTTGCATTTCAGCGGATATTTTAGTATACGTATCTCCATATGATACACCATTTATAGTACATTTTTTAAATTCCATAATATTTTGAGTAAGTGTACCTGTTTTATCGGAAAAAATGTATCTTATTTGTCCTAAATCATCGGAAATATTCCAATTTTTTGGAGTACATGGATAATCGATTTTATCATAATACATCTCAATATCTGAATAAATAAAAAACGCCTGAGCAGTCTTTACGATTTCAATAGAAATATATAATGAAATAGGAACTAGATTCTGAAAGAGAATAAGGCATGTAACAAACGCGATAATGCTATCCAATAACGGCTTCCCGCCTATTGAGCCATATTCAAAAAACCCAGCAGAAGTCTCTTTATTTTTCCATGATGTTCCTGACATAACACCCGATATAAAGCACATACAAAAAAGAATTATGAAATTAACCATGATCTAAAAAAATTAATATATATAATATAGATCATTAGTAGGAAAATTACTGTCCAATTTAAATTCTTAGTAATTTTACTTCGTTTACTAGGCGTAGCGCCTGCATTTAGCATAATTTTCGTTTCTTCTCCTGTAAAAATAACAATACCAATTACCCATTTTGTATTTTTGAGTTGGCACCCACGAAAAAGAGTATTTTGTATAGAAGCCTGCTCAGAAAAACCCCTTTGTTCCTCTAAATTCTCATCGACAAATTGCGTCCAACGGATAACTGCATTATATTTATACAAATTAGAATTTGGATTTTCACTTTCTATAATAAACGTTGCCTTTTCGCAATCTGCTGCAGTTTTTATTTCGTATCCACATCTTAAAGCATGTCGTAATTTTAAATTTGTTTCTCCATCTAAGTTTTTTGTTTCTACATAGCATGCACCATCAGATTCACTTGTTGCAAGAATTAAAATATCTGCAGGAATTAAATCATCACCTCTAAGTCTAACAAAATCCCCAACTCTTATATTTTTCCAAAAAGTTTGCTTAAAGCATGCCTTTCCAGGGGTTTGTTTATAATGATCAAGTATTGTTCCAGTCTCTTGCTTTGATGCAATTTCAATATTTCTTCTTGCATTCATAAATTCGCTAGATAATTTACAATCCAACGAGGGTAGTTGCATCATAGAATATGGATCCAGATTTTTCTCGCAACTTAATCTTCGACTTTCAACACTTCTTCTTCTACTTTCTGCACTAATCCTATAAGAACTCATATAGTCAAGTGACAAAGGATCCTCTTTAACGCCTCTTCTTCTCGCCATAATTATACGTATAATTCTACTTGTTGCTTTTTTTAGTCGACGCCATAGTGAAATGTTTTCATCAACAACATTATTATTATGCCAGTTGTGCAACATATAGGTTTTCGTATTGTTTAGCTCGTTATCAAGCACTGTTCTTCTCCAATCTTCAATGCCGTCTTTAATAGCAGTAACTACAATAATAACGACAAGAGGAACAACTGACAATCCTGGATTTCTTGTACCAAAGATTGAAAAATTCTATACATTAATTAAATTCTATCGAACATCAAATATTATAAAAATACCTGTAAGATAACAATAATAAAAAAATAAATGTTAGCAACATTATGAAATTGATAAAAAAGGTTTTTTGGAATAAAAGAAAGAGGCGTATATTTTGCAGTTCGGATCTTATTTCTTGGATATGATTCTCTAGGTAACCCATATTCATCCTGCATATCTTCCGTTAAAGAAAGATTTACAAATATTCTCCGTGTTTTGAAAGTTTCTTCATTTTCCGCAATATCATTAACCTGATTTGCAGAAAAATTATTTCGTAAACCTGAATCTAAATATTTTAAAATTGATTTTGATGATTTGTTTCTGAAATTATGTAATGCTGTCCAAAGTATAGTGACCATATTGAAAGGATTCAAAATTTATTAGAATATTTTATTAATATCCCCTATAAGTAATAATATTTCTTTTATAAAAATGCAATAAAACTGTTTTAGTAGAAGCCGTTTATAACTTTAATATCTATCTTTATAAAATCTAATAAACTGTTAAAAAAGGAAACGTCAAGATGAAAAAAAATTCACACATATATTCTATAATTTTGAAGTATTATTTTTAATAAAACGATTTTTTAAATTTTATCCTCTATTTTTTACTTATAAAAAAGAGTTTAATCACTTATATATATATCTTCCTTTTTAAGAAATAATAACTTTCTAATGTTGTTCCCTTTTTTTTGAAATTTCCCAGTTTTACTTCATTAACAAATTTCTAAACACTTCTAATGATTCAAAAATATAACTTTTAGATTAAAAAAGATCCACCAATTTAATATAAAAACAAGATTCCTTATAAGAAATGTATTTTGCACGAAATAATAAAAAAACTTTTGTCCTTTTCTAAGGTCTTTTTGCTTAAATGCAAGTTCATATGACGATTTTTTGTTAAAATTGGAACCCGATCGATACAAAGCGTTACGGATGATAATTATAAAAATACAATTATAATATATAATATAATATATAATATATTATATTATATTATGTAGTGATATACTCTTAGATCTCTTGTTTCCTTTTATCTGCTTGCTATAGTTTTAGTGGCGTGTTATTTACAGAAATTATAAACTATATACGATATTAACATGATAAAAACGATAATTTATTTTTATATAAATATTGATAATAACAATAATAAGTATATTGCTGCAATATATGCATGTATAGATAGTTTATATGTATTATATTAAGCTATAGTGTTTAAATGCGATCAAATTGGATCCATTTGAAACGTTATTAAACGTTTAGATACAATATTAGATTAATTTAGAATATAAAACAGTTCTATTAATATATTAAAATTATGAATTTTAAATTGAACTATTAATAATTAAAATGGGTTTAGAAGAAAAATAAATACTAATTTTTCTATATAAACTAATATATATAATATACGAAAATTTATATTTTAATTGCAATTTTATAAAGTATATATGCTAATAAAAGATTTAGTATCTGATTTAAAATTAAATATTTATTTACTGTAAATGTTTAGCTTTACAAAAAATTGAATCATAGGAAATATTTATAAAAAGATTGGGAATAACAAGAATTTTAGATAGCTTATAAACTTATAAAATAAATGATTTATAGTAATGTATATTTTTATCACATTTTCATTGCATTTTACATTTTTAAATGACTTTAAATCATGTTTTTTAATATTATTGCATGTATTTAAAATTAAATTGTTAGATTATTGAAAATATAAATATGAAAAAAAATATATAGAAATTTATATTTAAAGTAAACTATTTAAATATAATAATGAATTGTTTTCTCTTTATGCCAATTGATTGTAATACTTTTCTAAACTTTCCAATTAATTATGATTTTTCAATTTTAATAAAAATATTTATTTATTGTTTAGATATAATTTTTACATTATTTTAATGTTAATTCTTTTTGTTATTTTATTATCTTTTGTCAGTAAGGAGGTTCTCAGATTAATATAGATATAAAACTATATAGATAATTGTTGTAATTTCATCGAAGTTACATTTATTTATAAACTTTTTTATCAAGGTATTAAAATACTATGTTTTTATAAATCTAAGATATTCTGAAGGATAATTAGATATTTGTAGCCATTATGGATTTTTTTGTTAGTAATAATTCTAGGTAGAAATTTTATAAAATTATAAATACTGAAAGAAAAAAATCATTAAATGAGCCTTTTTATATTAATTAGAATATTAAATATGAAAACTAACTTATTTTTGCTTTTACAAAATAGAATTTGATATTTTAGGTGAAATAAACTACTTATCCACTTATAATCCCAAGTTTTAAGCAATATTTTCTATTTTTCTAAGTTTAAAATTTGTCTATAATTTACATTGTTGAAAAAATATATTAAAATTAATAAATATTTAGATATAATTTTTTTCAAAACTTCTCTTTTTATAAATTGGTTAATTTTTTCTAATATTAACATTTCTAGGTTTATAATCTTTGTTCTAAAAATATGAATGGAAATAACTCGTTCTCAAACATTGATAAATAAATTTAAATTTCATAATTCTTTTAATTTGAATACATTATGATAGTTTCATATTTAATGAATCTTAATTATCAATTTTCAATCTTTCTGATTGATAGTGTTAATATTAGAACATAATTGAAAGCATTTATATATACATATATATATGTATATATATAGTGAAAAAGTGATTTATGATGCAAAGAAAAAAAGTTTAACAATTAAAATCAAAGATTCATTAATTTTTATAACGTTCTCTTAAAACAATAAATTTTAAACATGAGAAGTAGTCTCAATTATCATACATTCCATTAGTTTTGATCATTACAAAAGGCTAATTATAATATTAACAATAGCAATTGTGGGTTTTCAATATCTTAGTTTAAAATTGATCATATAGTTAATAATAATATTAAAAAACATTTTAATAATTAGAATTATGTTAATAAATATGATTGATTAAATAATTAAATTTTATAGACTTATTTCTTAAATATTTTTCAAAGTCATAATTTAAATACTTTTATTAACAAATTTATAAAAAGCGTAATTATTATATTTTAAATTATTTTTTGTTTAAATTTTTTTATAATGTCATTAAATGATAAAAGTTCTATAAAAAATAGAAAAACTAAAAAGTACTATTAATTTTTTTTTATAAAATTAATTTAAAGTAGTACGATAATAACAGATTTTTTTCAACCAAAAAGCTGTTCTACGACATCAAAGCTTTCAGAATTTCATGAAAAAAAGGATTTTTTAGACAATGATAAGGGTATAGTTAATATATTATTTGGATTATATGGGTAAATTTCTATACTAAAAGGTTCAGATTTAGAAAATAAATTAACAATCAATTATGATTTTGAAAAGCTAAATAATCAAAAAAATCAGTAATTTGATTTTCATGTGTATTTTGCGTCATTTTTATCATTTATAGGGAGGAAACTCTTAAATCTACTACTTCTAATTACCAATTTTCTCTTGAAACTCTTTTAAAAGATCAAGAAAACAGGAAAAAAAGATATGAATCATTTAATCGTCTGGAAAAGTTTCTTAATAATGAGACGACGCATTTGGAAAATAGCTCTTCTCATATTGGTTCTAGAATTGAAATGGTAATTGGAAAGAAAAAAGGACAAGAACTTCAAGCTGTTCTTGATGATATCAATATTTTTAGAAAACAATTTCGTTGGTCTTTTTTTGGTAATAATATAGAAAAAATGGTTCCAGAAGACATACCAATTGAAGATTTTGGATTAAAAAGGGATATTTTAACATTTGGTACTCATTATTATTTATTAAAACTAATATTAATTAAGAAAGAAAAAGAACAATTTCCATTTCTTCTAATCACCGGTTATTTTTCAGATATAGTAGATTCTGGTAAAAAATTTTCAATGAAATTTGTACAATGGTTGTTAGACAATAGTATTGCTTTAATGATATCGTATTGATATACTAATTGATCTAGTTTCATTAGAAAAAAATGAAATGATGCTTTATGGATATTTTTCTGTTCTTTTGAAAATATATGTCTGTTTTTGTATATGTATTTTTACTTTTATTAATGTTTTTAGAGTTCACCAGAACAAATGCACGTTTTATCAGAATTCCAAATTAGACGAGTTTTTTTATTTCTTGGAGCAGTGGATGAAGCAATAGATATTAAATCACCAATTAATTCTGTAAATATAGAAGACATTAACTGTACGTTTTTATATTTAAAAATATTATTAAATTATTTTTAGATAATATAGATCGAAATTATCATTCTAAAATAATTAATCTTAAACTTGTACTAGATCTCTTGAGGACCGCATTATTGTATGTTTTTTATTTCTTTTGTTTAAGTTTATTTTTTTATAATATTTATATTAAATTATAGGCATAGTCGTATAAAAAAACATCAAACTATTTTATATATTTTTTCAATTATACTTAAGCTTTATATGGATAATAATTGTTCATTTTATTTGGGATCTTCTTTATATCTATGTTTTTTGCAACTTTTTGATACTATATCAAATGCAGAATTTCAAACTATGGTATACGTTTAATGTTTATGTTATTTCTTTATTAATTTCTACTTAAAGGCATTAGAATTGTTTAATGTTGCTTATAATATTACAAAAAACTCATTTATGAGATTATCTATTTTGCAATCGTTACCTATAGGGCACGCTTATGGGAGAATATTACGATTTGGACTAGCATTTTCGATGTTACTGAATATTGATGCACCTCCTAACAATTTTCCTCATAGCGTTTGTTTTTTCTTTTGTTTATTATTTTCTAATACATATGTATTAGTATGCATTTCCTTTTTCAAAGATTTTTGATCATATACAAATGTCACGACCATTTTTTCCAATAGATTCTGATACTGATTATTTTGAATTATGCATTGCTATATACTTGCTAGATTATATATTTTTTCAACCTTCATATCAGGATGATCAGGATATTAAAAAAATATGTAAATTATTGAAACATATATATGAAAAAATTTCGGATTGTAGAACTGCTTTTATTGTTAGAACAGAGGTATCAAATACATAATATAAAAATAATTCTAATTTTTTAGGCTAAAGCTAAAATTCAAAAATTATTATTAAGATTAACTCATACTTATGAGGATTCCTCAAAAATCCATCAGTCCACTCTTGAATATCATTTTAATAAAATATAATTGTCATAAACTAGGACATTAGAGCAGAAAAATAGAAAATAATTTGAAATTATAAACTAAGGACATGTATATATAGCAGAAATGTAAAAATAGTGCAAACGCTAAGATAAATTAAACAAATGCATTATCTAAAACATCTTTTTAATCTTAAAATTCACAGGTTTCAGATTTACTAAGAATTTATAAAAAAATTATTAAAAAGTTTTTACCCAAATAGTATTTGTCGAATAACGGGCAACGTTTCTTTTTTTAATAATTCTAATCTTTCAACAAACGTATTATTAACTAAAATATTTTTATCTGCTTTAAAAATAATGATCCCTCCATATCTAATAAAATATAAGTAATATAATAATATATATATATATATAAACCCGTCAGATGGAAGACATTCTTTATCAATAGTTACATTCAAGTCCATATTCGTTTTACTTTTAAAAGTCTCAATAGTATCATCAATTGCCTTACTAATTAATCCATGATCTGATGCACGACCACGAACTATAACATTTGTTTCCATTAACTGCAAAAATCCCTAACCATCTTAGATGTTTACTTAAACCAATAATTTTATAACTTGTAAAATAAGAACTTTTAAAAGTTCTTGATAACGTTCTTCGTCCTCTGAGAATTTAAAAAGTACTTCCTTGACCTCTTCAAAGATCTCATTCAAAATATTTTCTTTTTCCTTCAATAATCTTAATCTCGACTTATTAACAATATTTGACTTTAATATTTGTTGAGCTATAGATGCACTCTTCATCTTTTGCTTATAAAACTCATCAATCTTGGCTGTTTCTCCATATACAATCTTAGCTTTTTCAATAGCAAATTCTTCATTTGACTAGGCATAAATTATGTTCTATTTTAAAAAACAAACAAACATACTTTAATATGAATTTCTCGGGCCTTTTCCATAGCCTCAATCTTTATAAAGTTGATTAATCTTTGCATTTCTGCATTTACTTGTTCATCTGAAAGTGCCATTTTATTCAGAGTTAACTTGAAAGACTCGAAATTAACGTTAAGTTGATTTAAAGTCTAAAAGATCAGCAGATATATTAGATATTTAAGATCTTTTAAAAATAATTTATATATAGATTAATAAATAGTTATTTTATTTTTATTCTGCAAAGGATTTATTGTTAAAACCAAGTTTTAAGATAATTTATAATATGAGAATAATGATAATAATATATACATAAATTTATTAAATATGGAAATAAAGTTATACAAATGCAAGGCCTATTTATGTTTTGAATGTTGTTAAATTGTCCTATAAATGATTTTGTATTATTTATGATATGAATGAAATAATTAATATTTTTATTGTAAATTTAAAATACAGACTTAAAAGTTTGATTGAATTTATTAAACTTATTTAAAAATTGTGAGAGAGACTTGTCTATCTGTTAATTCTAAAACATTTTTATGAATTGAAATCTAAAGATTTGCTTGTTTTTAATACAAAAATGAAATTATCTAATTTTAATATTTTTAAGTACAAAAATATTATAAAATACATTTGTTTCTTGATTTTCAGGGTATTTTGAATTATTTAAATATTTTACTCTCTACTTATATTTAAATATTTTATAATTTTTTTCAACGATTTTTAATATATATAATAAAAGGTATGTTAATGTCTAATAAAGAGCTGTAGAAATTAGATTTTTTGTTTCTGCACACAAGACAATAAATATTTTTTAAATAGAATAAGAAGAATATTTATATTAATTTTTTTTTTTTGCATTTATTAATCATTAATTTTAGATGGTCAAGGCAAAAAATCATAATAACCATAGAAAAAATGTTGAGATTGAGAATGATGCATCGTCATCATCATCCTCCTCCTCATTGTCATCATCACCAGATACTAAAACTAATGATATGTCAGCGGATTCAAATACTCAAGTCTTTTCTCGCTTAGAAGCTAAAGCACGTAAGCAAATTTTGAAACATGGACTTAAGCAAGTTCCGGGTGTTGTTCGTGTTACTCTTTCTCGCCCAAAAAATGTAGATTTGATTATTTTGATTGCAATGCAACTTATCGTTATTAGATCTTAATTCTGATATGCAATCCAGATGTATATAAACATCCAAATTCTAACACATATATTGTATTTGGACAAGTTAAAGTCGAAGATATTAGTTCTCAAGAACAATTAAATGCTGCACAACAATTGGCAGATAGTACTATTCAAAACACAAAAGAATCTATTGTATCTTGTACAGCTGCAAATATTAAAGAAACTCCTTATATCGAAGAGGTTGTTGATTTAGATGAAACTGGATTGCAACCAAAGGATATCGAATTAGTAATGGATCAAACTAAAGTATCACGTCCTAGGGCAATTAAAGCCTTAAAAGAAAATAACGGAGATATTGTAAATGCGATTATGTCTATTGCAATTTGATTTTAGAATCTTAAAATATTTGAATTTTTTCTCTATAACTATATAAATGTATAACTAACCCTAACTCCTCTTGTCCTTAACTAGCCCTAAACCTTATTCTTGATCCTAAACCTTTCATTATTCTTGGTTTTTTCAATTCTTAAATCTGGCATTATGTAACCCTAGAATAACCCTAGAATAACCCTAACTAACCCTAACTAACCCTAAAATAACCCTAAAATAACCCTAAATAACCCTAAATAACCCTAAATAACCCTAAGATTACAAGGATGATCCCGGTTAACCCTAGCTTAACCCTAACCCTATCCTCCGTCGTTCCTGTTTACTTACCCCTAACCCTCAAGCACACAAACCCTACTAACTTACCCTAAACCCTTTCCCCTTTCTTAACCTATTCTGATCGGGAAAGGAAAAAAAATCGAGTACAAAGTAATACCGAAAGGGAAAAGCCAAGTAACAGGATTGTAAAAAGGCCAACGTCGATTCGATAAAAAGAGGCAACGAAGTAATCAGAATCGTCATGACGCAGAAACGAGGCGTGGAAGAAGGGGAACAGTTGGGAGGATCAGTCGAAGAAGAGGGAAAACGTGCACGAATGGAGGATGATGATGAAGATAAGGTGAATCGTGAGCGTATGTATTTTTTTTTGAATGATTTGTGCCTTTTTTGGCAGAAATCATTATGAATAGGCGAGGAAAGAAGACTAATATAGTGGTTAATAGGACGTAAGATTGAAATCAAGTTCATTGAAGATAAGAGTCGTCGTCATATTACATTTTCGAAGCGAAAGGCCGGAATTATGAAAAAGGTAAAGAGAGATAAGGAAAGATAAAATAGAGTTAGACTAAAATGGGATATTTTAGGCATATGAATTATCAGTTCTCACAGGGACACAAGTTTTATTACTTGTTGTATCAGAAACGGGTCTTGTTTATACGTTTACAACACCTAAACTTCAGCCCTTAGTAACGAAAGCTGAGGGAAAAAATTTAATACAAGCATGTTTAAATGCACAAGATTCAAACACTGGAATTCAGGATGAAGCAGAACCTAATCTTATTAATGGACCGACAAATATTGGTACAACAAATCTTCAATCATATCCTCCGCCTCCTCCTTCAATGAGAGCACTTTATTTTAATCCGGATCAAGCTGCTGTTTATCAGCAGTATATGGTATGGATTGATTATAAAATCATTATATATATAATGCATATATTTAATTTTAAATAGCAACAACCTCCATATATGCAACCTGGGCGTATGCTAACTCAGCCGCCTCCACCTCAACATCATTTACCTCATCTTGTGCCCATGGGAGGACACTTACCTCATCATATGAATGACGTACATATTCGAGTTGATAAATAGTCATACAACAGTTTTGCAAATAAAAGATCGAATAACAGTATCTTGTATTGCTAAAACTGACTTATTTTTGTTATGATTTTATTTTCTTAAAACACTGGATTTAAATAGGCAAAAAGTTTTTGTGACATTTTTGAATTATACAGGTCTTGTATTTATCGTTTTTAATTGATTTTGTATAAGTTTACTTTTATACCTGGTTAATATTGAATATATATCAACTTTAACATTAATTTATTGATTACGTTTTTATATGTTTTTATATTATCAAAACATTTTTGTTTAACTTTTTTTCTTAAATTTCTATGATTGTCTTAGTTTTTCATATTTTCGGTAAAGTTTTGTTTTATTCATTAGATTTAGATTAATAATTGTACTTGATAGTTTTCAGAATAATTAACTTTAAGTTATGGCTTCATTTCCCAATCTTTTTTTAATTTTGTTTAGTAGAAAAACATATATTTTAAATAATCATATTTTTTACAAGAAAATCATGTGAATATATTTTCATTATATTTAGTCTTACAGATTCTGTTTATTGTATGTATTATGAATTATTAATAACAAAAATATAATAAATATACAAAATCTAATGCGTTTTGAAAGAATATACTTATAGATCTGATATCTAAATTCGGAATCTATTATCAAAAGATATCAGGAAATTATTGTATTTTGATTTATATATAACAAATCTATTTGTAAAGAAACATCAATAGAATTTATTGTATTAATGTTAATGAAATTGAATATATTATCAACATAAATTAAAAATGTATAAATATATATATTATATATTTGATATGACGTTTTGTATTTTTTATGTTATTAAATAAATTAATGTGATTTATTTAACCTGAACTATTTTATTTGCATGAATAGTCTTTAAATTTATTTGATTTTTATCAATTTTATTATAATAATTATATCAATATAATTATATATATATAATTATGTATATATAATTATGTATGTATAATTATGTATATATAATTATGTATGTATATATATATATACATATATTTGGATAGTTTATTTGATAAATTTAAACCTTTATTGTTTATAGTATCTGCTTTGTTTTATCAGTATTAAATATTTCCCATAAATACACTTTTTGTCCTTGAATAATTTTACTAATATAGTTGCTAAATTATCAGTAAAATTTATATTCAATTTTAATAAGAGAAAAAAGAAAGAGCAATAATTTTTTCAATAGAACCACGTATCCGCTCCATTTTTAAATAAGATATTTATTATCATGCTTAACAATTTTTGCATATTAATTTATGATCTGTAAAAAGATAAAAAATTGAACTTAATAAGAATTCAATTTCTTTTTTGAAAAATAAATCTATTGAATTATAAGTCAAAGAAAATATATGCATAAATTTTCCTATATAATACATTTTATAAATCATATAATAATAGTAAACTATATCGATCTTTATATATTAGATTAATTCCATTTTATAAAAGATTAGATAGAAAATCGGTTACAAGCCTTTTCAATATGATATGTAATAGTAAATAGTCGATATATATCTATAATCATCTTGTAAACAATAAGTTTATGCATTTTTCTAAACATTATTTTACTCATAAATTTTAAGTATAAATAAATAAATAAATAAATAATAATTAAAACCACTTCTGAAACATTAAATGATAGTGTATAATATAACCAAGACAAGTAATTAAGTAATTACAACGATTCTTTAATAATTTTTAGATAAGGATTTTAAGCGCAATAAAAAAAATTTGAAAAAAAGGGATACTAAAAGCTAATTGATTATAGTATATTCGGAAGATTTACTTAATTTTTCTATATATATAATAAAATATTAATAATCATTAAATTTTGTTAAATTCATTTAAATTGAATTAAATCTAAGGAGATTTTTAAAATAAAATGATAACTTTAATATATACAGTATAATAATGAATACTTTAATTTTCACTCTTAGTTATTTTTTTTTTTGAAAATTTATTAAGATCTTAATGAAGTAATATTATATTTTTTTTTAAAAATAATTATCTTTCAGAAACAAAGCAAGATGTTTTTTGAAAGTTATTAGTTTCTTATCTTAAAAAAATTTTTTATTATTTTTAAATAACTAAATGAAATGAAAAATGGCATTAAAAATTGCATTAATAAAAGTCATTGATAAACATGTTTCCAAAATATAATATAAACTTATGATCATTTGAAAAAATATAACCATTTAAACATCAAAATATATTTTTCCTGTCAAAAATAAAAGAATTTGACATTTTTAATGCTAAATATTTTAATATATTGATTATATCATATCTGTCCGAAAGACCGATATAAGATTTGATAGATGAATAAATAGTCAAAACAATATAGTTTTCAACTAAAGAAGAGCTATTATGTTAATTTTAAATTATATTCAAAATTTTGTATTAAAATATAATAGGAAAAAATAATTTTATTCAAATTCAATATAAATTATATATGAGAATGAATAATCTTGATATTATTTATAAAAAGAAAACTTTAAATTTTTATTAACATACATTTTATGTTAAAGGAACTATTGAAAAGAATTTTACAAGTCAAGTGAAAATGATACATATCTTTAATTTTATAATTCGTTGATAAATATGTTACACTTACATAATAGTATAAATAAATTATTCAAGAGACAAAGAAAACTTGTTTCTCTTCAAGGAAATCTCATATTTTTTATTTAGAATACTATATTATTATTTTAAAAAATTCTGATAGAGGGTTAAAAACGACTTGCTAATTCTTTTGCGTTTAGCTTTACTATTTCATTTATATACATGATTTTCTTGAAAATTCTATTAAGTATATATTTATAATTTGATTTAAATAAAAAAATGTAAGATTTTATAAACTTTAAAAAGAGATTTTTACATTTATTCGTTTTTTAATCATTTTTTGAAAATAAATAAATCTCCTTATATAATAGATTATATAAATATTATAAAATATATTTAATTTCCCAAATACTACGGATCAATTCTAATAATTGTATTTCATTTTAATAGGAAATATTATTAATTAAACCATATAAAAAATTCTCTCAGATATCATCGATATCTGCATTATCAAACTCAAAATTGCATTCTTCCTCCCCTTCTCCTCCAAATATATCTGTCTCATTAATTTTTGCTGTATATTTTGTTAATCATCATTTATACAAAATATATCATAAACTTACTGTTTTCTGGTAACTCTCCATAATTCTTAAGATCACGTGCCTCATCTGGCGTATATTTTAAAATAACATCTGCCTTTTTGTCCTGATATTCTCGAAGAGATAATAATATAATATCTCCTGTATTAATCCAAACTTTTTTACGAAGTTTTCCACGAATATGTGCAAGTCGTTTTTCTCCATCAAAACACATTGCCTCCAAACGCCCATTCCCAAGCATCTTAGTCACTTGTGCATATTCTTGACCATCTTCTTTAAAGATAAGTTCACGTTTTTCTGCCTCGTTCTCATTCTTGCCTCGGCGTCGGTTCTTTCCACCCTAATCAACAAATATATCAGTAAACTCATATAATAACATATATATTGCGTTAATCAAATAACTTACCTTTCCTTTATTTTTTGGCATTAAGAAAGGTTATTGTAGCCATAAAATTAGGCAATTTTATCAACAGTTTTGAAAAAAAAGCGGACACGCAAACAGTCATCGGCGAGCATTATTGAAAAAACACATTGATTCTCTATAAATCTAATAAAAAAATAGTGATTTTATTTTAAGTATCATTATTTCATAATAATTTCCTGTATTTATAAGTAAAATTTGTAGGAATTTATTGGGATTTTTTTTCATATATATTATATTGACATTTGTTATGCTTTGTTTATAAAAATGTATGGACATCAGGAAGATAAAGATCGTAAACCTTTCTTGATGTACGCACCTCAACCGGATTATTCTTCTACTTCTCGTTCATCACCAGTTCTTGGAAAACAAAGTCCTCAAACACAAAATCCATATACTAGTTATTTGGGAGTGAATAATGCAGCAGCACAAATGGGACTTCAAGTGGGTCGAAGTGCTGTTATGGCAGGCCAAGAATATGTAGAACGGAATGTAAGATTTTAGAAAAGGGTTTAAAATAGTGAATTTAATTATGGGTCAATTTTTTAGATGGGACGTTTTATATCAATGATTATGCTTCGTTATTATTTTAATGTTTCGAATTATTATGTAATCAGTAAAATAAGCGTAGTTCTTTTTCCATGGAGACACAAGGTTTTTATTTTTAAAAAAAATTAATTAATAATCAAATTATCTAATATGTTTTATGGGAAAAAGTGTTGGAGTCGTCTTACTCGACATTCTGAAATGAATGAAGCAGTTGTACAAGGATTTAGGTCACCAAGGGAGGATATTAATTCACCTGATATGTATATTCCGGGTATTTAATCAAGTTTTTTTTTAAAAAAGTTAATATTTTTTAAATAGTTATGGCATTTGTTACATATGTTTTATTGTCGTCATTATTGGCGGGTTTTAAAGGAGATTTTCATCCAGAATTATTAGGTACAACGGCATTAATGGCATTAATAGTTGTTACTTTTGAAATTTTTGCAATCAAATTTGGATGTTATATCTTAAGTATTTATAACCAAACTCAATTTCTTGATCTTGTAGCATACAGTGGATATAAATTTATTGGGTAATCAAAAATATATAATAGTAAATAAAATATTGGCTAATTTGACCTAGAATAATTGTTACCATGCTATCAAGCATATTTCATAATTTAATATTAACATATCTTGTTTTTTTTTATACATTTATCTCAACTGCTTTCTTTTTGGTATCTTCAAATTGGTATTATGAATAATATTTTTTAATTGATATTATAATATAGTTACGCTCATTAAGATATATTGTTCTTCCTGAGTCAAATATTTCTTTAAATGCTACAATGAGCTTATCTCAGAGACGTAAGAGAATATATTTTCTTTTTGGAATTTCAATGGCTCAAATATTATTTATGTTTATACTTATGTGAAATTCTTTATAGAGTTATCGCTAATATTTATCTTTGTGATTTTTTTTTTTTTATACTAAGATCTTTATAATTTTGGAAACAAACTGAAATGTTTATTATTAAATCTATTAAAGAGGGTAAAATTATTTCATTAAATTTATACACATAATTCTCAAGCAATAGATATCTCAATATCAATCATAAACGATAAATTTAATGTTAAAGTTTGAACTTAATATTTTTTTAAACCTCCAATTTTATATTATATTACATAATCAACCCTTTAAAAGAAATATATTTTATATTATTAGGAAAGATATGTCTTTAATATTAAAATTGGTTAATATTTTATTTTATACACATTTTACTTAAAATAAATACTACAAAAATCCGGATATTTTAATAAAGTTTAATTGTTTAATCTTGTTATATAATTAATATCAAAATATGATGCTAATAATATTAATTATAAATATTTCTTATTGATACCAGTATTAAAAGATAAAATAGATAATTTCAACTATTTCATAAATAAATATATGCAGTTATAATAAATAAAATGTCGTTAGTTAAGGTATTTCACATGATCTAATAAATGTATAATTATATCGAGAAAATAAAACTTCTCCAATAAATATGCCAATTAGTGCCGCAAAAAAATATCCAACATTCATAGTCATTACAACTATCATTAAAAGAAATGAAGAAAAATATGAGACAAATTGTAAAAATGCCCAATAAAAGTCAACTGATAATCGAAAAGACGGTACCGTTCGTATATATTTATTATTTTCATTCCTCATGATTTCCGGCCGATAATAAACATCTATTTCTCTTAATTTAGAGCAGTTCATGCAAATTATTTTCTGTTTGCATTTCCATTGTGATTTATAAGCTGAAATCGCTGTATAAAAAATGCTCAAGATGATAATAAAAATTAATGTTAAATAATATTGTACATTATTTTTAGGAACCCACTCTTTTATAAATAGAGGGGTTTCCATATCCATATTAAATGTCATAGAATCGTGACGCATTAACATTTTTGTAGTTTAATATTTTATAATAAAATTTACTGTTTATAAAATTTAAAATCTTAAAAATTTTAAAACTATTTTTAAAATTAAATATTTTAATTATATAAAGAAATTTAAATAAAATTCTAATTACTATTTAATAACTGTAGAATATTCTATTATCACAATACAGTTAATGGCATTGTTATTTATTTCTGTATCAAAATATTTAATCAATATTTTGATGTTTAATACCTTTTTATAAACAAATCTAAGCAGCATGTTTATTTTTTTAATATTCTTTTGAAATAATTTTTATAGACTTGACTAAAAAAATATTTTAATTCTCTGTATTTTTATCCTATAAAAATCTTTAAAAAGAGGGTTTAAATGAGTATTATTGAAATATACGCGTACAAGGAGGCTCAATTATATGGGAAAAAGGTGTTTATTGATGTATGAGAAGTTTGGATAAATTGACGGGTTGAAATTTACTTTGTAAAAAATGAGCCAAGAAAAAGAAGAATCATCGCCAATATCAGCTCATCTTTCATTAGTTTTAAACTATCAAAAGGTAATAATCCAGGAAATTTATAAGGAAGATGGTCTTGTTATTATTGCAAGAGGATTGGGATTATTAAATATTGTTGCAAATTTTCTTCATACATGTAATCTTCCAAAGACGCTAACTTTGGTTATTGGAGCAAGTGGAGAACAAGAAGAATTTCTTAAGGAGATAGTAGATGAATCGGGGGCATTGGATAAAGAAGTATTAAGAAAAGAATTTAAAATTATAAATAATGAAAGTGGATCGCCAGATAAACGGTTTGTGGACATTATTTTGTAAGAAAAATATGTGAGATTAGATCAGTGAAGCCATGTATGATAGTGGAGGTATTTTTAGTGTGACATCCAGAATTTTGGTAGTAGATTTATTGACAGGTATTCTTGATCCTAGTAAAATAACAGGAATTATAGCGTTGAACGCAGAAAAGTAATTGATTAAATGAGTAGTACTTTGATTTATGTTGAATAGGGCTAATGAGACATCTTTGGAAGCATTTATTTTAAGGATATTTCGAAAGAGAAATAAAATAGGCTATATTAAAGCTTTTTCTGATAATCCTGAAGCATTTTCCACAGGATTTTCTACATTATCAGATATTATGAAGTCTTTTTTTTTGAAAAAATGTTTTTTATGGCCAAGGTATTTTATTTATGATGATTATATTTGTTTTTTATGTTTTATAAAGATTTCACGTTTTAGTTGCTGAATCTCTGGAATCTAAAAAAGTCGATGTTATAGAGCTAGAAGTACCTATGACTGAGGCAATGAAAAATATCCAACAAGCAATATTTGAATGCATGGAGATTTGTATTTCTGAGCTTAAAAGCGCTAACTCGGATAAAATTGATATTGAAGATTGGAATGTAGATAATGCGTTACACAAAAGTTTTGATCGAGTGATTCGTCGTCAATTGGATTTATATTGGCATCGTATTAGTCGGAAAACTAAGCAGCTTGTATCTGATTTGACGACATTAAGACGTATGTTATAGTAAGGAGATTTATGTTTTTTTCTTTTTTTTTAATGTAACAGTTATCTTTTATCTTATGACTGCGTATCTTTTTATAAAATTCTGGAAATAATATTAATAGCAGAATCTTCATTAGAAGATATGAAACAAGAGCGCTCTCCATGGCTTCTTCTAGATTCAGCAAATATAATATTTAAACTTGCTAAAGAACGGGTTTATAAAAGAGGTACATCAAAAAATACATACGCACAAGAGTCGTATAGCTCTATATTGCCTGTTTTAGAAAATCAACCTAAATGGTTTGTTTTAAAACAGATAATGCATGAAATAGAAATGGAAATAAATTTAAATCCTGAATTACATAGTAAGTTAGCTTTTTATATTTAATTAAGATTAATTCTTTATATAGAAAACAATAATTGTTCTGTTCTTATAATGTGTAAAAGTGAATATACATGTAGCCAAATTCAGGAATATCTTAAAGACTTTGATAGTAGTAATGTTTTTCCAGATGGAAATGATGATTCAGATAAAACTCATTGTCCTTTTTTAAAATCACGATTCAAAGATTATTTAATTTGGAAACAGAATCTTTCAAATGTAAAATTTGATTTTAATAATAATAGTGACGAATACATAAGTAGTAAGTAACATATGATATTAATATTGAATTGGATTTAAGTTTTATAGCTACCTCTAATGATAGAAATTGTAGGTCTCGTCACTCGCATCAATTTGTTAGTAAAAGAAGACGTATGCGAGGTGGCTCATATACTTCATCAAATACTTCTATCAATTATGCTTATATTTCTTTAAAAGATGACTTCAATCATAATGAAGTGTAAGTTTATTTTTTATGGAATTTAAATAATTCTTTTTATATAGAATAAATACTTTAACTATTTCTCAAAATGAGACTATAAGTTCTGATAATTATTCCTTTGATGATGAAGACAATTGTTTTGAGATTTTAGATTTAAATGATTTAGTAGTTATATCACCTTATAATGACGATATGGATGATATTCTGTTTAAGGAGCTTAAACCTAGGTTTATAATTTTATATGAGCCAAATGCTGTTATTATAAGAAGAATTGAGGTATTTTTTTATCTTACTGTTTTTTAAATATTAAAAAATTAGTTGTATCATTCCATTTATAAAAACGAGCTTTTACGTGTATATTTTATGTATTATGGAAATTCTGTGGAGGAGCAGAAATATTTGGCTACTGTTAGAAGAGAAAAGGATTCGTTTGCTAAGCTTGTTAAAGAAAAAGGAGTATGTTTATATACATTTATTGTATTTAACCTAAGATGTGCTAGAATATGGCTATATTATTAACAGAAGATAAAAGTAATACTAATCCTGAATCCTTACTCTCGAAGCCTGTTAATCTGAAAATTGAAGGAGGGGTTAAATCTATGGCTAATACAGAATCATCAAGAGTATACATGTATTTATTTATATTGTTCTAATAAAATTAGATAATTGTAGATATCCGTGAGTTTAGAAATCCGCTGCCATCTTTGCTATATAATTATCATGTGAATGTTATCCCATGCCAATTAACAGTTGGTGATTACATTTTGTCATCCTCATTATGTGTTGAAAGAAAAACGATAAGGGATTTAATTAGCTCTTTAAATAATGGAAGATTGTATCATCAATGTGAAATGATGCAGCTATATTATTCTACCTTTATACTTCTTATTGAATTTAGTCAAAATAAATCATTTAACTTAAATGTAAGGATTTTAACATATATATATACATATTGACCGACATATTTTAAAGAATGCCAATGATCTTTCAAGTAATATTAATGTTAATACCCTTCAATCAAAACTTGTACTTTTAACTATAGCATTTCCAAATTTAAAAATTATTTGGTCTTCTAGTTCTTATGCTACTTGCGAGATTTTCCTTGAATTGAAGGTCTTTATTTATTTTATACTTGAGTTTAGCTAATATTTTACATTAGAAAAATCGAGATGAGCCAGACCTTGCTAAAGCAATATCATTAGGCTTAAAAGATGGAGAAGATAATGCAATTTCTAATCAAGGGCCTCAAGTATGATAGAATTTGAAAATTATAATGCTAATGTTTAAGGATTTTCTTTTGTCTATTCCTAAAATAACTCTGAAAAATTATAAAAACATTATATATAATGTTGATAATATTTGTGATTTAAGTAATCTTGAAGAAAAACAAATAATCGATTTAATTGGTCAAGAATCAGGAAAGGCTGTTTATTCATTTTTTAATAAAACTATTTTTTGAAATTGATATTGGTATTTATAGATTATTTTATACATATTATGCAAACTTATTTAATCATTATTCATATAAAATGTAGGCTTAATATGATGATAAAATGCAAATATAATATGCTATTCTCTATATTTAATGAACGTTTGTTCTTTTCCCCATAAAGAAAGTTTTTGAATTTTTTTAATTTTTTTTAAACCAAGAGTTCCAACGATTGTAGCTACAGCAAGCGCAAGAGAGGATATCATGGGAAATGCGTATGACCAATGCTCCATGAAATTTTTTAAATTCATACCTAATAATCCAGTAACAATGGCACCCGAGCTAGTAGCAAGTGTTAATACGGATATCTTTTATAAATAATAAGAATTAGAAGCATTAAAAAACTATTTAAACCTTTAGCTCCATCTGCATCAATGCATTTCGGTTTGTATCAAGAATAATATTTACAATTTCTTCAGTGTTTTTAATATTAGAAACCAAATTATTCACAGATTGAACAATTTCATCTGTCTGTTTTAAATATGATTCAAGAAGTAGTTCTATTTCATCATGTTGATCAAGTGGACGTGTTTTTCCTTGATATTTTTCTGTAAGATACATAGCTGCTAAATCCTCATCTTTAACATTTAGCAGGAAAAAAGTATAACTCATTATAATACCTTGATCCAAAATCTCATTTAATGTATTTCGTATTAACGTTACCTTTTGTTCAAAAACTGTTACTTTTTTTGAATATGTAAGTAAATTTTTGATATGCTGATGATTGACATCTTCTTCAAGTCGTAATAATACATCTTTTACTAAAGAATTCAAAAATTTCATTTCTTCATCTAATGCAGTAGAAACACTAATTAAAATAGCTTCTAACGCTCTATTTATAGTCAACTTGTGTATTTTTTTTTCATAAATTTTTCTCTACCTAAATTCATATGGTAATCCACCTATTGCTTTACTTCCTTGACGAAGTTTACCTTCTAAATCATACATAAATACACTCTGCGTATGCGTATCAGTGCTCCCATATGCGTTAAATAATAGCACTGAATCTGCTTTAAGAAGCGCTCGAATATGTAACAAATTAACAAGAATAGAATTTTTGCGTACTAAAATAGATGGTATAAGTGATTGAGCACCTGTATCGATCTTTCTTAGATCACGAGGCATTAATCCATGCTAAACACTTGTTTTAGTATATATTCAACTTAATACAATCTCTTTTAGCTTTTTTTTCTCACATTTTCGCTTTTTAATCAATTTTTTAACATTCTTACCTTAAGACAAAGATCTATTTTTTTAAATTCACCTGATACAACCCTTACACAACCTTAATATGTTAGTATTATGCCTTTTCCTTTTAAAAAAATACCCGTTGCATCAAATTCTGTGCCTATATAAATAAGCTTTAAGTTTTTATATTAAGTTTTTACATTTAATGAGAAATTCGTTCTTTTTATTTGGATTTAAAGCTTTCTCAAGAACATGACGAGTATTATTTAGCTCCTGATTCTCTAAAAGAACAGGTGAAGTTGTTCTAAAAAATGTACTTGGTTTAAATTCAGATGCAGATGTATAAGTACGAGTTGATTTCTGAAAAGCATAATGTAGATTTGAAGAAAAAGCACAATGACAAAGTTTGTATGAAACAAAAAAAGGTTTTTTCATGTGAAAGAGCGATTAAGCAGAATTGCCGGTCGATATCGGTTAGTCATATATCTTCGATGATTATGTTTTTTTAAAGCAATGAGCCTTTGATAGTTTCCAAGCTATTATCTTTATCATTTTATTTATCCTGAAATTCTCTTGTTTTTCTGTATGATTTAAGCAAGCAAATTAATATATGTTGTTCCTTAAGCAAATGTAATAAAAATATAAAATATGTTTGAAAATATGCAAAAAATATGATTAGCCAGATATGAATGTAAAATTAGCTAAGCTTAATCCATATATCTTCATAAGGTTTAGCTTGATGAACTGTTAAAATATTACGAGAAGCTAATACTAATTATTTATTAAAAAAAATGATCAAATAATCTTTTTTTGCCTTACATAATACATGACAGAGCGCTTGTGATGCAATTGAGCGAGAACTATTAGATATAGGAACTAATTCTTCAAATGTAATTGTATGACCTTGTTCTTTTCGATGAATACGTGCTTGTGTATATCTATGGCATTTTAAATCAGCAATTATAGAAAAAGATAATAAAAGATATACTCTAGAAAATTATAAGACTCTTTTTCCATAATGGCTGATTGATTATCTTGTAATATTGGTTGAGTGTCAAGATTTGTAGCTATTATTCATTATAAAAAGATCAAAGAGATAATAAAATATACTTTCAAAAATTTCAAAGTCTTCCATTGCATCTTCTCCTATATTGATATTGACATCTTCCAGTGTATCAGCAAGGGGACTTGCTATTAATTTGTTTTTCCTTATGGTAGAAGAAAAATGACCAGTAGCGCTTACTGAAGGCGTATCAAAAGAAATAGAAGCCATTCCCGAACCTACTGATCCTACACGAGAAGAAACATGGGATTGATTCCATGGCATAAGAGAAGATGTTCGACGTGTGAGTTCTTCATCAACATGACGTCCTAACTCAATTTCCTAAGATAGATATTAAATTATATTAAAATAATTAAATAATATGACTTCTTCAAAATTAGAATTCATGCCAGCATGTATTTTTCCTGTTTGTTGATGGGTTACGCTATCTCTATTATCAACAGATTCATCATCAAGTTCGCTTTTGGTTCTTTTTTTATTTTTGAGTGAATCTTTTTGCTTTTGATGATCTAGAAACATGGCTTTTAAAGAAGGATGCATTAATTCCTCTGAAAAACTCCAAACGAAAAAGTGCACATTATTAAGAGCTGCCTTTTCCTGCAGTTTTCGTGTCTTTATCACAGATTGTTTCTCCATACTTTTGATATAATTGTCACGCCATGAAATTAAATCTTCCGAAGGAAGTTCTGTACGAATATCCATCTTCATTCTTAGCAATTTTCTTCTTTTTCTCTGTTGATTATCGTCTTCATATGTATTTGAACTAGTTTCATGGTTCCTGTTTTGAGGTGCAAAAGATGGATCTCTATTATCAAAAAAATCGGTCTCACCAAGTTCACCAATCATAGATTCATCTACTTCCTCATACGCCATCAACGTTTTTTCAAACTACATGTATCAATCATGTTAATAAAATAATATTCAAAAAAAAAAACCGTATGATTAAATTTTTTTCGCCTTTTAGCCTCTGCATGTTGAGATCTTACCGTTTCTTCCCCTTCATCTGAATCAATTCTATACATATCATTTCTTTTTTTATGAATTGATGAACTCAAATCACTTTGTTTTTCCTCAATCTTTCTTATTTCTCCTTCTGCGTCAAATTCAAAGTCAAATGAAAGCTCCCCATTCATTGATCCCAAAATATCACTATCCCTTTCAATTATTCCACTCATACTCATAGCTGAACGTGAAATTGACTCTGAAAAATCTAGTTTAGACATATGATTATTCATAGAAACTGATGATCTTGGTAACGTATGTTGTGAAAAAGATGCTGGTGTCATAGAAAGTTCATATGAACTAGAATGGCTTTCCCTAACCCCCAATTCTACATCAAATGATGTTTCTGGATGCCATGAAAGCGTTATAGCTTCCAATCCATATTCATTTAAATCCGGCATAAATCCCGGGTCATCTGCAAGCGTAAAAAGATCCGTTCTGTCAATTAAACATTCTATTTCCATCCTAACATATAAAATACCTTGTCTTCGCCTTCGGAAGATCAATATTTGCCTTTTCAAGGTTTATTGTTGCAAGTTCTTTACGGATTTTAGCATGTGTTAATTGAACATCAGCTAATCCCCTCTTAACCCTCTTTTTACTTTATAAAACCCTTCTCCTCTACTTACTATAGAAAAATCCATATTGTTGATCAAAAATTCTAGTAACTCCCATCATTAAATTACTTGATAATCTTAATGCCAATGGTTCTGGCGGTTCTGACAAATATTCACATGCTTTAGGCACATTTACTGATAATATTTCTTTTCTCTGGAGCTTCTTAAATGAAGTCTTAGATCCAAGTGTAGCTGCAAGCCTATTTTAATGTAAATATTCCTCTTTTTTTACCCTTTTTCTAACCAAATCACTCCTAATCCACCTTTTCGACGCGTTAAAATTTCCTGTGAGTAAAACATACTTTATCCTCTCCTAATAGACCTTTTATATGTTTATTTTCCCTTTAAAAGCTGCTAATCTCCTGTATTTATATAATTCTACAGTTTCTTCTAAGTATTGGGTTAGAGTAATATCGCAAGGTCAGATAAGATAAAATTTAAGAAAATATATAGTAAGTATGAAAGAGATTTTGTAGTCAAAGAAGTCATTTATTCATAAATATCTATATGTATTAATAAGAAAAAAGAGATTTGTTATATAAAAATACAAGAAGTGTATTTATAATTTAAAAAGTATTTAGAAGACTAAAAGTATTAAGAGGAGTTTTTGATAGATAAATAGTGATTAATAGTTTTTTTTTTAAGTGAATGATTAAAGTTTTGTTTTGTTTGAAGTATTTTTTACATAATTGCTAGATCACCAAATTTCTAGTAATTTATTAATTATTTTTATAATTATATTAAAAAATAACCTCTTTATAACCAGGAACAGACCATTTTTCACGTTTTACCATCTCTTCAACTTTTTCTTCAATTTTAGGACATGCCGTTAATACATCTTCTACTGTTAGTTCGTCAATTGGTAATGCCTGTTGAATATTTAATAAAGCCGTTTCAAGTTCTATAAGTTCTTTATTTGCGTTTTCTTGTACTTTTGTAGCATTTTCAATCTACAATATATTATATTGAAGCGGTAGAATGGTTAAAACATACCGCTTTTGTTTCAAACTGTTGAATAGCTTTGATTTGTGGATTTACTCGGTATTTTACTGGACGAAATGTCTTAAGATCCTTTTCTATCTGGTTAACAATAGATTTATTCTTTAAAATAGAGCGATAATAGGTAAAATCTATATCTTGTAGCTGTTTCTCTAAAATTCCTATTTTTGCTCTGGTATTAAGATTCCATTGATGAAAGGCAAAAAGAGATGATATGACTGAGGAACTTAGACTATAAGATGAACGAAGTTTAATCCAATCAATCTTGGCAGCAGCATAAGCCATTTGTATATTTTTTATAAAAAAAAGAAGTTAGAGGTTTGTATATCGATAGAATACTTAGAAAATATATATTAATAGTTTTTGTATAAGAAAAGATGGTAATTTATTATATAAAAACATGTAATTGTGTTGTATAGAAATATAGAAAAAGACAGGTATAAAAGAGATTACCAATTTAAAACAATGTTTTAAAAGTGACTTCTCTATTGTGAAGTTTATCTATTGAAGTAGGAATATCCTGAATATGGTTATTTTCAACAACTTTCTGGTGTCTATGTAGGAGTTAGAATAATTGTCTTTTTTTTTTTTTTAATATTTATACTTGTATGTGAATCCAACAAAAGTAGTCAAGGGAACTTTTTCATGACGATCTTCCATGGATTCAACGGAGGATTGTTTTTCATAGACTTCTTTATATTTTAACATATCATTTTCGTTGGTAAAATCATCAAAATATCCATGATCAAATTCAGAATCAAGATCGGGTACAAAAGGTGCCTATAAAAAATCATTAATATTTATAGGAGTAAACCATTAGATTATTTACTTCTTGTTGACGAAGTGTTGTCCAATCGATATGTTTAAAGTATTTTTGTTCTTTTACCTCTTGAATACTGGATATTCGTCTTCTCGGACTTGTGATGAGTCTAATAAATATTAAAAAAAAAGTTTTTAAAGTTTATTTATACTTTGTGATAATTTCCCAAGCATCATCGTGAATATTGAATTCTTTTTCTTCATAAACAGGTCTGATTAATGTATATTTCCAGTTTTTTAGATTGGACCATGTTTCATTCATATTTTTACCGGAGAATGGTGGATAACCTGTTAAACATTCAAAAAGTATACAACCAAGAGACCAATAATCCACAGTAAAATCGTAATCATGGCCATTGAGGATCTCTGGTGCCATATAATCTGGAGATCCAACAATCGAATTAGCCTAAATTGTCTCAGATTCATGATACATTTTAAAATAATTAACTTACATAGTTTAACTCTTGCATTTTTAAAGTTCTATGAATATCTCTACGTTCAACAGCACTTCTAATAGGAACTTCTAAATCTTTGATTTGATCGAGCTAATAATTATAAGCATTACTTAAAGACTATATAAAAAATATTTACTTTAAGTCTTAAAGACTCTATTTTTTGGGAATTAATAATTCCAGATGCAAGTCCAAAATCTGTAAGTTTTATATTACCCTTAGAGTCAATAAGAAAGTTCTAAATCCAATAAATAAATAAATAAATATTATACATGCAATTATTAACCTCTGGCTTTAGATCTCTATGAATATATCCAAGACGATGAAGAGAGTCTACAGACATGAACATTTCCGAGAGATAAAATCTTGCATGCTCATCACGCAAAATTCCACTGTTACATAAAAGAGAACGAAAATCACCTCCTGGAACATATTCCTAAATTTTTTAATTTAATTAAAATTATAAATAATGTTTACCATAGCAAAAAATAAATAATCAGGATCCTGAAAGGCATAAAGGAGACGAACAAGCCAAGGAGATGTCGAATTTGTTAAAATATCCCGTTCTGTAAGTACGTGACGTATCTATTTTTGTTAATATGTATATATTATAAATATATATATATATATATATCAACCTCGTCCAATTTGTGTAACAATTTTTTGCTCATTTTTTTAAGGGCAACAATTTCTTTTGTATCTTTCATTTGCGCTAGATGAACACTTCCATATCCTCCTTGACCAATTTGTGCAATGATATGGAAATTTTCTTGCTTCATTTTTGCACGTCTTTTTCGAAGAGTACTTCGTTCTGTATGGCAATGACATTTCCATGCAGCTGTATACTCAGATACAGTCAATTTCCCCTCTTCTATTTGTTTTCTTGCCCACTCATGAAATTTTTCGGTCCTTTGTCGCCTTTCATAGAGATAGCGTAGCTTATCAAAATAATGATCAAGAAAAACTTAAAATCTATTAGAAAAAAAAAACGAATTCCAATCATTTATACATATTTGACAAACGTTAACTAGTCTTTTTACACTTTGTTTTGTTATTTTTTCTATTTCATTTGATGTAAGCTTTTTATATGTATTCCATGTCTGAAATTCCGAACTTGATGTTTCCGTTTTTTGAATTCCTTGAATTTTCGTTTCCTTCGTTCCATTCTTCTCCGGTGACTTGCTTCTGCCTTTTAAAGATGCATTGTCCTTGGATTCTAAAGAAAAATCAACCTGTCCTTCGTTTTCTTTTCCCGCCTTTTTAAAATGCAAATTCCCGAAACGATCTGGAAGATCTTGTAAGTTTGTTGTATAATTCTCTGGAACCGCAACTAATCCTGATCGACTGCTCCTTGAAAGTGGTGAATTTGCATTTAAATGACCTTTTGATGCTGAAGAAAGTAATGGTAATTGAGAATTACCATTCAATATAGGAGACCTTTCATAATCTTCCTGAGCTTCAGACATCTAATAAGGTTTGTTTATTGCTCAAAATAATATATTTCTAATATCTTTTTTTTAAAGAAAATTTTAAAAAGCTGTATATCGTAATGTGTAAATAAACAATGCTGCTATAGTAACGAATCTAATCGGATTAAGATAAAAGTGTGGATTTTTCTAGGAAATGGCAGGTTTTAAAATTGATTTAAGGTGAGAATTGTTCGCGTTTCCTGTGAAAAGATAATTTGCATGTTTTTATATAAAAATATTGCTTTGTAAATTCAAGATAAAACAAGCCGCATATTTTGAGTATATATTTAATATTTACAATTCCTACTAAATGCCTTTTGACTTAATAAAATTACTCGAAAAGTTCTTGTAATTCTTCTAAACGCCGTTTTGTTACATCTTCACGTGACTGACATTCTGTGACAGAAACATCTGCAAGCATAAGTTTTCTTTTGCAAATCTGGATCATTTTTTCTTCTATTGAATCTTTTACAATAAAACGCACAATTTTGACGGGCAATGTTTGACCTATACGATGTACCTATAAATCTGTAAGCTTCTTAAAATTTCATGAATAAACCAACCCTATCTATAGCTTGATTTTCCATACCAAAATTCCACCTAATTAATATAAAAATATAACCAATTATAACCCTAATACAAACCATGGGTCTAGAATAAAAACCCAGGACGCAGCTGTTAAATTTAAACCAACAGAACCTTTAAATGTTCAATAATTGAAATTACAAGTATAATAATATTACCAGATCTTATAGAAGCTAATAAAATTAGCCCTTTTTTTTCTGTGCGGAATTTCTCTAAAACTATTGAGCGTTCTTTCATTGACATTCCTCCATCTAGACGAAGGAATTCGAAATTATCTCTAAGAAATTATAAAACGAACAATGATTAGATTTATTTACCGCTTTATAAATACTTCCACCAGGTCAAGAAATGTTGTAAATTGGCTGAATATTATTGATTTAGCATAAGGATCTGACATTTTCAATGCAAACAGTTGTTTAATTAATGCATCTAATTTTGAGGATGAAATTGATGTAAATTTACGTAATTCTATACGACAATTGCTATCATTGACGTCTTGACTTCCTTTTCGAATGATTTCATAAATATTTTGTTCATCAATTGGTGATCGACACATATGACATAAAGGTTTTTTGTTATGAGATTTTTGAAACTTAAATATCAAAAAAAAATTACATTATCTAAAATGAAATCATACCTCTATATGCTTTTTAATGCAAGATTTACATGCTATATGCCAACATGGTGTGATAGCTTCTTCAACTATAGGGCTAGCAGAACAAATAGAACATTCATTCTGTGCTTTTTCCAATATACTTTTGATAACACAAGTTTTATATGTATCTGTACTCTGTTTTTCAATATCTTGATTACAAAAAGGTTCGATTAGATCTTTAAGATCTATGATATCATCGGTATTAATGGAATTTTTAATATCTTTATCAAAAGGTAAATCAAGGAAATCGCTTTTCTCGCCACGTTTAATTAAAGATGGATGACAACAACTTTGACGTAAACGTAGTAACATTGTTAAAATTGTTATATAATTCTTAAATACAGTGCCTGATGCTGAGCTCTCAATAAAAGCTTGTTTTGCTTTAGTATAAATAAAATCATATATCTCTCTTTCTTTAGGGGAAAGGTTAATTTCTTCTGTTATAATTTCTTTAGATGGAAGTGTAATAATCAAATTACCATGTATATCTTTTGTTGTTTTTGTCCGACGCAAAATTAGATTTTCAAAAATCATACGAACGTTATTTAATGCACGAGGTATATCTTTTGACTCAAACGGAATAGTGATAAAAGTTTTCCAAAATACAAAATTTCCCCAAGGTTCAATTTTCAAAAAATGAATAAGACTAAAAAGATCTTCTAATTTGTTTACTATTGGTGTTCCAGTTAATACCCATCGTCTTTTTGCATTCAAAGAAGAACATGCTTTCGCTGTTTTACTAAGTCTGTTTTTTATATAATGTGCTTCATCCAAAACTACTCGATAAAAATCAATTGAGAATAAATTAAAAAAAGTTTTATTATTTGTAGTCATTTGTGACCATTCAGAAAGAACAACACCATAACTTGTTATAAGTAAATCTGGTTGATTGCTAGTTTGGCATTGCACCAAAACATCAATAGATTTATCCGTTCCATAATAAATTTGTGCCTTCAAGCTATTTGGTTTTGAAGCAATTTCTGCCTCTGAACGCCATTGATCAAGCAAAGACAAAGGTGCCACAACCAATGTAGTTCGACATGATCGAATGGATGCATTAGAATTCATAATAAATGGTGTAGAATCTAATGACGTTACTGGCTTATTAGAATGAATAAGACTGAGAATTTCTATGGTTTTTCCAAGTCCCATTTCATCTGCTAATATTCCACCACAAAAACTCTGGTCTGCTCTGGGAAATTCAAGAGTTAGTTTACCAGAATATGGGTTAACATAAAACCGATTATCAGAATTCTCTAAATCCAACTTTTTTCCATTTTCGTTATAAGAAGGCCAGTAAAATACTTGCCATAACGGATGTATGGTATTTTCTTCTTCTGACAAGTCAATCTCACGTTCTTTGTTCATCATCCAATATAAAGCCTAAAAAGATAAGAAAAAAAATAATAAATTTATGTAAAATTTCCTGTTTTTGATAAGACTTGAGTTCGAGGTTAAAAGAAGAAGAAGGTGATACTTCTTTCATGCTGGGATTATATGATTTCGCGTTTTTATATATATAATTAATATGTTCTTTTTCAAGTTCTTTACTTTCTTCTTCTGAATCTGAACCATTTTCTCCACAAGGGTTTAGATACCCCATTTTTGATAAAATTGAGCTTGTGTTTTTGCTCGCTTTAACCACTTCCTTAAAAATAGTTCTACTATCTGGAGTTTTTGAATCATCTGGCTCAAGTCCAACTTTCGTTAAAAGCCATAGAATGGCCTGTCGATGTTGTTCACGTATTTCCTCTGTCCTAGATATCTCATAAATATAGTTTTCTCTGGAAAATAATGACTCCTTCATGGTTGTAAATGCTTCTTTGTGAATAAAACATACTATTTGAAGTAGTATCTTGTCGCCTAACATTAAATAACAAAAATATAGGCAAAATATGATTCACCTATTTTTATCTTATCTGGAACATAAATACATGACGCTGTGAACGAACATGTTTTAAATTCAAGTAGTGTAGATATATGTATAGCTGATTCCTGAGGAATACGACCTATCTCTATACCTTTTTCTGTACAAAATCTAATAATGCTTGATGAATTTTGCCTAGAATTTCGTCTTTTTATCGCTGATTCTGAAAAAAATGGCTTCGATTTGCTTTTTTCATTCGTCTTTTCCTGTTTTTTAAGTAAAACCGCTTCTCCTGCTGACAAAAAACCCGTTCCAGAAACATTAGCCCATCCTTCCATTCCAAAACTTCCAATATATTTCAAATACCATGATTTCTTGCCTAAAGATTCCTTATTTATGTATTTTTTTTCTTTTTGATTTTTTTCCCATGTTTTATCAAAATACATATTTAATGCCATTTCAATATTTCCTTTAGATATTTGAACTAAATATTCAAGAATCTCTGTTTCTACATCGTCTCCTATAATTACTTTTAATTCCTTTATCATTGACTCCATTTTATCACATTTGTCCGCTCTGTCTTCTTCATGATGATAAAAAGAATCCAATTTAGGCCTTTTTTCCAGCCTATTCATCATTCTATTAACAATGAAGCCCCAATATACAATATTTTATGAGCTTTTCTCTAACAATTAGCGCCGAAACAAAAATCAAAGGTCGCATTGATACTGTATAGAAGTATTATACCCTATATATGCGCAAAATAATTAGATATATACGTCCCCCCTGTTAAAAACTAGCATATCTATTTATATATGCGTGCAAAAACAATCATATTGCATAGATAACCCTATGTTTTTTTTAGTAATTTTTATCTCGACTTGGCTTTCTTATATAAACCTCTTAATAAACTAAATTCCTGATTCTAAGACTTATTACTCACAATATATACATCATATCCTTTATATATGCGCGTTATTTCCACGTTATATTCATTCCCTTATTTATACGTCTTTTCTAGCCTTCTGGTAATCTTTTATATCGTATTATCTCGTATCACCTTTTTTTACCCGCTTCTCATAAATTTATTAAAATATTCCCATTTTCCCTATAAATGACGACCTGGATAGATTATCTTCGTCATCCCAGCGAGCTTAAGGAGGTATGCCAGTATAAGTTGTTCTATACACCTCTTTATCAGAGACGACCTGATGAAGAAACATTAAATTGTCGCGAATGTTATGAATTACTTATACAAACAAGCCGTAGTTTTGGGCGTGTAATTCAGGAATTAAGGCCAGAACTGCGTAAATCTGTAAATATAGTTATTTATTTTGAAATAATGAATTGATATTTGTAGGTGATGGTCTTTTATTTGGTATTAAGAGGACTGGATACTATTGAAGATGATATGAAACTTGATTCAAAGAAGAAGAATGAACTTTTGCGGATGTTCTATACGCATATTGATGAAAAAGGATGGAAATTTTCGGAATGTATGCGTAGTATATGCGTTAATTTTTAGAAGCTGATTTAGAAAAGCATCATTAAGTGCAAAAGATGGGGTGCTTTTAAGGTCTTTTGATAAGGTTATTGAAGAGTTTCTTCTTCTTAGCAAAGAAAATCAAGATATAATTCGATCGATAACGTATGAAATGGGAAATGGGATGGCCGATTTTATTAAGAATGCGCATTTTAAGACGCAAGGGATTCAAAGTATTCGGGATTATAATTTGTATTGTTATTATGTAGCAGGACTTGTTGGAGAAGGGTTAAATCGACTTTTTGTGATAAACAAGATTGAGCATGATTTAGAGGGTCTTACAGAGCTGTACGTATTTGGATTATCAATTTTTTCGAACGATTTTTTTTAAATTATTTTTAGTTCACATACAATGGGGTTATTTCTTCAAAAAACGAATATTATTCGTGATTACAGAGAAGATTTACATCAACAACGTATGTTTTGGCCAAAGGAAGTTTGGTCTAAGTACGTCGATAATTTTATAGATTTTTTGGCGCCAGAAAATCAAGAAAAGGTATTCTCTTTTAATAATTTATTGATTTTTGCATTTTTTTTAATATTTCGGGAATTTAGGGACTCCATTGCTTGTCTGAAATGATTTTGGATGCCTTGACACATGTACCTGATTGCCTGTATTATCTTTGCAGTCTTCATGATCAATCTGTCTTTAATTTCTGCGCAATTCCTCAAAGTATGGCAATCGCTACACTTGCATTGGTATTTCGTAATCCGAATATTTTTCGTAAAAATCTTAAGATTCGCAAAGGAGAAGCTTGTTCAGTATGGCTTATTTTTATCTTAAAATTTATTTAGATATTAATATTTTCTATAGTTAATTATGCGTACTACCAATCGGAGAAATTTATGTGCTCTTTTTCTCAAATATATACGTATAATTCATCAAAAGAATACTCCAAGCGATCCTAATTTTTTTAAAATAAGTGTCGCTTGTGGCAAAGTATATTCATATTTTAAAATAATGTTTTCATAAATTGTTTAATCATCTATATAGATTGAGCAATGGGTTGAAAGTGTTTTTCCTTCTGATAAATCATCTGTATCTATCTGTTCTCAGAAACCCTTGCGTGAAGGTTCTACCGATTCCATAATGGATAAGGATGCTTTATACATTCTTATTATTTCTTCCATATTTTTAACTATCATTGCATCATTAATGATTTATTTAGCACATTTATTTGGTGCTAAATGGAATTTTTCTCAAGGTATCTCTTTAATATTTTTATTCTTCTTAATCATAATTAGTTTATAAAATTTTCGACTTTTTAAAAAGCATTTTTTCTGATACTTTATCTGTTGTTAAAAGAGATGAGATGTGAACTACTTTTTTTTTTACTTATGTTATTACTAAATTAGATATTACATTACTATCTAACAACTTATACATGTAATCTCCTGTAACTGTCTTTTCACTAATTCTTTAATTTTATGTTAGAGTAAATTACTATACATATTAATCTTTTATTTTAATCCTATTTTAACCCTGTTTTAACCCTGTTTTAGCCCTGTTTTAATCCTGTTTTATCCTGTTTTAATCCTATGTTGCTATGTCAACGTCTTATTCGATAATATTCCTCTCTATCGTTTAATCCTCACTTTTCTTTGCTTAATGAAGGCCTCTGTTATACAGATTCATTGGCATATAGAAGCAGCATCTATTTATTCAGCTCATTTTGAGCCTTGTAAGAAGGGAAGACTTGCTACAGCAGGTGGAGATGGTAATGTACGGGTATGCTTATTGTCTTTTATATTTTAATTAAGTAAACTATCTTATTATTTATTAGATTTGGCGTGTAGAACGGTCTCAGGTAGTTTCACAATTGTCTAATGAATCAGGTAATATGACGCATACGTCATATTCACCACGTTTAATTTATCTTTCAACACTTTCAAAGCATACACAGGCGGTTAATGTTGTCAGATTTAGTCCACGAGGTTAATTTTTCTATGATTGATTGTATTTTTTTCATATTTTTAAGGAGGATTATTAGCATCAGCAGGTGATGATGGTAATGTGTTAATTTGGGTTCTTTCGGATGGGATTCATCCGTCATTAAGTCTTGGAAACGAAAAAGAATCGGATGATAAAGAAACATGGAAAATTTTTCGTTTTTGTCGCTCATCAGGAGCGGAAATTTATGATTTAGCATGGTCACCAGATGCAGCATATCTTTTGACAGGTTCAATGGATCATGTAGCACGTATTTATAATGTAAATGAGGGTAATAATGATATTTTTATATTTATATTTCAAATGAGTGTTTATAGGTCAATGCATTCAGCAATTGAGTGAACATACACATTATATTCAAGGTGTTGCATGGGATCCATTAAATACATATATAGCAACGACAGGAAGTGATAGAACGGTGCAGATTTATCGTATAGATACGAAACCTAAATTTTCAGTGACATTACATGCTAGTTTATCACGAATGGAATATTCTACTGCAGTTGGAATGTATCATAATGAAACGCTTTTATCATTTTTTAGAAGATTAAATTTCACACCTGATGGTAATTTATTGTTGGTGCCAGCAGGGCAATATCGATACTTAAATGAATCAGAAGAAACACTTAATACTGTTTATATATATACGCGGGCAGGATTAAATCGGTATATAAGTTTTTAAAATGATAATATAATATTGATAGGCGATAGATCTCCTGTAGCACATTTACCAGGACATAAACGTCCAGCTATTATCGTTTCTTGTTCTCCAAAATATTATACTTTAAGGAATATTGAAAAAAAGGATGAAGTGACCAAAACATTACCAATTGTGAATACAGCATCACAGAACGATTGTGTTTCTGATTCAGTTCCTGACTCTATTTTGGATACTTTTACTGATACTTCTAAATCTGTTTTTGATAGTGCACCTATCTCATTTTCTTTGGATTATCGAATGGTTTATGCCGTTGCAACTCAAGATACAATTGTATTATATGATACTCAACATGTGAATCCTATTGGAATGTTGAGCAATTTTCATTATGCTACATTAACTGATCTTGCTTGGTAATAATACAATATGCGTTGATTTTTGTTTTGTTGAATATTTCAAATAGGTCTTTTGACGGAAATGCATTGCTTATAACGTCAACTGATGGATATTGTTCAATTGCTCTATTCGATGAAAATGAACTCGGCGAAGAATATATAAGTCCATTTTCTTCATCTTGCTCCGAACATCCTACTTTGCTAAACGATCCTTTAAAAGTCTCAATTGATAAGCCTAATTCAATGACAAACATTCCTTTTCAACCCGTTGTTAATTTACAATCTAATGATAAAGATGATGTATCTTCGCATAATTTAGAAAATCCTCTTTCGACAAGTAAGTTTTTCTATATACATATTTTTTCTGATAACAATAGCTACAATTGTTAAAGAAAAAAAGAAAAGGATTGCACCAACTCTTGTTCAGTTTTTTGATAATAAATAACAAGTTAATTGATCTATCTTTCGATATATGAAAAGCGATAATTAAAATTGATTCATTTTAGACTTGTTCTAAAATGAATATCATTATAGTCTTTTATAATTATTCTTGACTATACATAGAATAGGGAGATGATTTTCTTCTTACAGGATTATATTTCGTATTATGATATAACTTCTAAAGTCTGATGCAAATCGCTCAATTAGATTTAATATAAATCATCTTTTTCCTTTTCTTGAAATATGATATATTTTCTAAGGCTTTGGACTTGTAGATATTCTTATTTACAATTTTTATATTGCGCTATAAATGTTTTGGGCTTTTTATTATTAATCTTTAAAAACATAGTAAGAGCATTTGATGTTTTATGAATTAAACTTATTTAATCTTTTTATCTTTAGAAATTTTATGTATACGTTAAAGATTTCAGTTTATCACATTTTATATTTGCACTTAACAATTGGGTATTCTTCCCTTTTCAATATCTAATGGTCATTCAAATATGATTCTTTTTATTTCAAATAACCAAATAATTCTTGTCATCGAATAAATATGTTTAATTTGTGTATTTTTTATTTCATCATTTTGGATTTTGTATAGGTTTCTTTTCCCACACGACCTCATAAAAACTTGATATTAAATGGATAAAGAAAATAAGGTAGAAATATTGAATTATGGAAGAAAATTCCAAAGAAAGATTTTATTCTTGATTATATATAAGTTATTTTTTTTCTAATGTTATATAGGCTAAACAACTTGCTCAATTATCAGAAAAGCTTGCAGTAGCAAGGCTTGAACATGAAGTTAAATCATTGGAAACGGAAGTTTTAAACATATTAAAGTCTTCTTTGTCTAAAAAAGCGTTTGTTTTATCTGTTTTTGATGCTTCTGCATTAATTGATTCATTAAAAATCATTAAAAGTTGGATTGGGATAAAATCAGTGAAAATTGTTATTCCTTTCTTTGGTAGAACATTATTTTGTGCATACGCATTTTTATTGATGCTTTTATTAGCATTAGAGGAACTAGATAGATTAAAAAAAGGCACAGATGTTGTTAATGTTAATGCTAGAAGTGTGATACGTTTTTTGGAACGATTTTCGAATAATACCCCTGATGAATGGACAATAAGGATGCAGAAGCCATCAGAAACTGTTGATTGGCGGGAGTGTGTGCCTTTATTTTCATTAAATCCAGAATCGCTGGATATTTTGTTAAAATATAATACGAACCAAAAAGGACAATTCTTAATTGAATCCAAATATACAGAAACAATTACTGCGAATAAAACTCCAAGGAGTCTTCGTTCTTTAATATGTTTTATGGTTTATTTACAAAAGAATATTGGTACAGAATTTTCATCTTGTCAATTAATTACACACGACCCGATCACTATAGCATGGGCAAAATTATTTTCTATTCAGACATTTACTGTAGCAGAATTAACTTCAAATATTGCTTTAAATAACAAGGAACATGACAATTCCAAGAAAAAATATAATCCTTTAAAAAAACGGTTCAAATCAACCTCAGCTAATCCGTCTTTTTTATATTCAGAAGAAAAATAAAAAGTATCCTTTGTATACTATTCAATCAAATATACAAAGGCTTTATTATATTTATATACCTGATAAGGGTGTACCCTACACGGTTTTTGATATCGTCAAAAAATCAGTTTTTTGGATACTTAAAATTTGCAAAAAAAGTCATGAGAAATGAGTATTTGTAAAGGTGTCGACTGTAATCAGGTGGCTTTATCTCTTCAATGTCCTGTATGTTTAAAACTTGGTATTCAAGGGTCTTTTTTTTGTTCTCAAGATTGTTTTAAAAAAAATTGGGTAAGATTTAAGAAATATATAGAAATAAATTAAAGTTATAGAGTTTTCATAAAGAGATACATAGTTCGGGAAACTGTGTTTTTAATTCATCTTCTAATTTGTTGGTTTTGATAGAAAAATACTTTTTTTCTAACATTATAATCAGAACATATGATCCCTTTCCAAATTTTGCTTATACAGGGACTTTAAGGGCATGTTATCCTCTTTCTCCCCGTAGAAAGGTACCTCTTAATATTAAATTACCAGATTATGCAGAGGATGGGATTCCTCGAAGTGAGCAGGCACAATCTCGAAGTTTTAAAGCAATGATTCTTACAAAAGAGGAGCAACAAGGCATGCGGAAAGTCTGCAAAGTAGTTTAGCTGTTTATGAGTGTAGCACTGATGATTGAAGCTTGCTCGAGAAGTTCTTGATATTGCAGCAGCTGCTTTAAGACCAGGAATAACAACTGATGAAATTGATGAAATTGTTCATATGGCATGTATTGAAAGGGATTCTTATCCAAGTCCTTTGAATTATTATAATTTTCCTAAAAGTGTTTGTACGTATGTGATAAAATCTTTACATTTTTATAAATAGGTTGATTTATTTTAGATCTGTAAATGAGACGATTTGTCATGGCATACCTGATAAATAGTATTTTACTATTATCATCATTATCATTATGTTTTCTGATTTTTTAAGTGTTTTAAAAGATGGTGATATTGTTAATTTAGATGTTACATTATATCATGGAGGTAAATTTTTTAAGAGGAAAAGAGAAATTATGGATTTAAGATGTATTAGGTTTCCATGGGGACTTAAATGAGACTGTATTCTGAAATTTTGTTTTTGAAAGCTAAATATATTGATTTAAATAGTATTATGTTGGAGAAAAGGCGAAGCAAGATGCAGATAGTGTTAGAGTTGTTGAGACAGCTCGCGAATGTTTAGAACGTGCAATAAAAATTGTTAAACCGGGTACTTTGTTTCGTGATATTGGTTCTGTAATAGAGGGTTATGCGAAATCAAGAAATTGTTCAACTGTTAGAACGTAAGTTTTTCTTTCTTAATATGAAAAAAAAAGAGAATTAATGGTAAAAGTTATTGTGGTCATGGGATAAATAAATTGTTTCATTGTTTTCCGGAAATACCTCATTGTAAGATTGTTTTCTCGTCTGTTTTTTTCTGACATTTTTAGATGCAAAAAATAAAGCCGTAGGAATTGCAAAACCAGGAATGTGTTTTACTATTGAGCCAATGATTTCCCTTGGAGTATGGAAGGTAATTTAATCCAATTAATATTTGCATTTATTTAAAAGAAAGGATGTAACATGGTAAGTCTCACGAATATTTTAAAAATCTGGTATTTACTTTGGTGGGCCTGATAATTGGACATCTACAACTAGTGATGGGAAACGAAGCGCGCAATTCGGTAAAGTTATTTATATGATATTAATAAATTTATACATAATAGAGCATACTTTGCTTGTAACTGAAAATGGAGTTGAAGTTCTTACCGCCCGAAATGAAAATTCTCCTGGCGGTCCTATTCCACTATTAGATGCTAAATAATTTTTAATAACGTTTAATCATAATGTAATATTAAATATTAAATAATATGATTTAATTCCATATACGATTTATTTTTATCCATGATTTTTGTGTTTTCCAAGGGTATTATAGTTATTTATATTACTTCTTTTTTTTAGTAGAATTCCGCATAAGTTCTTCGAAAACTCTTCCTTCATCTCCAGGGTCAGGTTGTGTTTCGCAGAATATAGCGCCTATCATTATTAAAGCACGTGCACGTTCTATACGTTTTTCTAAAGGAATTGATTTTGATAATACTTTATCACATACATCTCTAATAATAATAAATATAAAATATTATATTAAATATAAAACCCACCTTAAAACTCCAGAAACCTCAAATTTTGCACCACGCCAACTTGCTAATAATATTTTTCCTATATTATATAAACATCATGTATAAATATTATATAAATAATTAATACCTGTCATTTCTTTTTCTAATTCAGTTTTACGTGTACCATCCCGATCTTCACCTTTTTCTTCCAGCTTAGATAACTGTTCTGCCGTCATCTGTGCATCTAATGCACTTGAAATAGTGCTAAAGATGTCTTTAGCTATAGTTCCTTTTTCTTTTATTTTACTAAAAATGCCACTAATGCCTAAAAATTTTTGAGATTTAAGCAAAGATGTTCCTTTTTGTATATATATTACACCAATAGCTATAATTCGTAAGTTTTAAAAAGCAAATATCACATCTAAAATACCATTTAATAACTCTACGCCAAATGATTCCATTTTAAGAATTTCTGCTTCATACTTAAAATATATAAATTTATAATCAATATAAAAGTTCCAAAAATTACCTTTATTTTTTCTTGAAATGCTTTAGTAGTATGCTCATCTTTTGTACTTTCTGTCCATATATTTAATCGATCTACTAACTTATTCGCAAGATGCTCAACACGCTTTTTTCGTACTGATGCCTTTTCTTTTTCAAAAGCTAATAATTCCTCTTGTTGCTCTTTTGTTAACCCTCTTTTTTTATAACTCTTTTGTGTATTTTTTTCTGTTTCTGATACTGTTGAAACTGGTGATGATGGTGTTGAACATGTAATAGCTTTATCTGCAAATGTTGTTCCAATATTTGACTTTACCGATACATTACTATTTTCATTCTTAGACTTTTTTTCCATTTCTGAGATTTCTAGCGCTTTTGTAAGATCTTTAATTAATGATATTTCACCAATCCTATTTTTATATCTTATATATATATATATATGATATATCAAAAATACATACAGATCAACAAATGCCTCCCCACCAAAAAGATTAGCAAAAAAGTCTGACGGATCACCTGTTTTTCCTTATCAATTCCTTTATCTTTAGTATTTAATCATTTACTAACAAAATCCTTGATCTGGTGTCGCTTCTTTTTTTCCATATATATCATACTTTCTCCTAAGCTCCGGATCACTTAGAACTTGATAGGCCTCTCCAATCTACATTAATATCATGAGTTTAATCCTTTTTTTTTAACAAATACACACTTTTTGAAACTTTTTTCTAGATTCATCTGGATTATCCGGATTTTTATCCGGATGAAACTTAATAGCAAGACGTCTGAGATCCTATTAATGCCTTCCCTCCTATTTATATACTCTTATTATACCTATAAGCCCTTTTAATTGTCAAATTGTCTGCTAATGGGTCCACTTCTAATATATCATAATATTCATGATCAACAACTCCCACTATAATTTATTAAAAATGTTAAATAAAGTGTTATTTTTACTTTTAAAATGTTAATATTTTTTCTTAAGTTTGTTAATTTTTTTAAAGAGATGTTAAGCCGTTCGTAAAAAAATTTAAGTGTTAATTAGTAAGAATAGAATGCAGAGTAAAATGTTAGTATGTATTTTGTAATAATTTTTAGTTTTTTGAAGATAAGAAATGGAATTGTTATTGATAATAGTGTGTATGAAATTTGTATATTTTTGAAGTAGATTTTTTTTGTATATAAAGTTGATAGAAAGAGAATAATATAGTATGAAAAGTATTGTCTTGAAAGCCGATTTATTGTGTCAGTCTTTTTTTTTGAAATTAATAAAGTCAATGGATGATGAAAATGATTTGAAAATGATTTAATATATAAATGTATTTTAATGAGTAGTAAGAAGTATTGTTGTTTGATAATGAGTGAAATATAAATATATATGTGTGTATGTTTATGAAATTGTTGAGTTAAATGTATTTTTAATAGAGAAGTTTTAAAAAATAATAAGTAAAGATGATGAATAAAAAGATTGCGATATAGACGTCCCAAAGGTTTAATATTTCTAATATAGAGTTTAATTGTATCCTTCTTTTTAATGTAAAATCGCCAGGAAAATGACCATGATTAATAAATTGAAAGAGAAGTTTATCTTTTTCTATCCATAAATTATATAACCAATTTTTGAATTGATCTTCATCATCAAGAGGTATTGTATCTACAGAAAATCTTCTTAAGTGCATATGAACATTTTTTGGGAATTGTCCCTCAAAAAGTCTGAAAAAAATAAGTATAATGATATTTATTTGTTAAAAATTTATACATTGACTTTAAAGTATATATATCCTGGGCATAAATATTATGTGTAGTACCCTCGTATCCAATTGTGCAATCATAAAGATATTTTGTAGTTTTATGGAGATTTTTTAAACAAAAATAGAGTCCTTTGATTCTTGGTAATAAGACATAATCCAATACAGGCTATTGAGTATGAATTTTTCTAAAAAAAAAAATAAAACAATTTGAAATACTTACCAGATCATTTTTTTTTACATAAGCTAAGCTTTGATTTTTTGTATATAAAGAAATGTTTGTACCTTCTGGATATAATAGTAATAACATGGATTGATCAGTTAATAATGATAAATCTTTGAAATGATTATTAAATCTTAAATGATCCTCCTTCCAAGATCTAGATAAAAAAACTAATAAGTGATTAGAAAAAAGGATATTGTTTTAAATAACAATAAAAATACTAAAACCAAATGTTTTCATTCCTTAACTTGTGTTAATTATCTAATTATTAAAAAATAAGAAAAAATACCCAGACCAATGATAGGAATTCGTTTTAAACTGTCCTTAAGAACAATAAAAATCCCATTATCTATTTTTTTTAAATATGCAATCCACCAAACATAAAACCAATCAATATAAATCTTCAATTCTGTTTCAATACTGATATATACAACATTCATACATTATACCTGATGATTACTAATAAATATAAACCGATTAACCTCTTCTGTTTCTTCTTTTTTACTTAAATCTTCTTCAAAATCTGATAATATTATTTTCTCTCCATAAAAAATTACATAAGATGGTAATAATAGTTTCGCAACCACAATACACATAATTCCTGCATGTTTCTTTGTTCTTCTCCTAGTTTTATTCATAAATATTGCTTTTTTATATCTTTTTTTATATACATATATCTATAATACCAATTTTGTTTATATTTGCAGGAAAACGTTGCTAAGAGCTGCAGAACAAGAATAGCTATAGATGCACTTATAAATCCAATGAAAACTAATATTCTTCTGATCCATTGACATAGTATTATTGTATTTTTAATCAATTTTTTTTTTGCATATCTTTTTAATAAAAACATATATTTAACCCTTCAAAATCCTCAGATAAATATATAAATATGTTTTATGTCTATAAATAGTCTAAATCTTCTGTTTAAATCCTTAATTTCCTGTTATTATAAAAAAATTTTTGTTCCTTTTTAACAAAAATATTGCTTATTCATATAATGTTTTGTATGAAATTCTGTTAATCTTATAGTTTTTATCTGAAATAATTCAATTATCTACTAATAACAAGTCTTTAAGACTACGATTAACCCTATGTTTACGTATATAAATCTTGTATATTTTATTAAATTTTAATAACTCTTGTTTTTCTTTTTTATTATGTTAATAGATTTAAGATTTGAGGTGGTTTTTTTTTTTTTATTACAGCTATTTTTCTTATTTTTAGACGTCTTATAATGCTTCACTTATTCCTGCACGAGGATCATGGTTACGTATTTTAAGTATTACACTTCGAGATCAAGTGTTATTACCTTTTGCTCAAGGTTTTTTATGGGCAGCAATGGTTATAGGTTTAAACTGGGCTCAAAGAAGTAGCCGTAATCGAGGCTTTTATTGGGGATTAATGGTTAATGAATGGTGGAAGTCATTAAATATGTAGTTATAGCATTAAATAAAATTTATTATTTATGTTTAAAAATAAATTTAAATGTTTGTTTGTACATGTTATTTAAATTATGCTTTTAAAGGATTATAGTAAATATATTTTTAGAGAATGGTATATGGAATCTAATATTATTATTAAATATTTAGATCTGAGAAAAATGAAATAATTAAATTATAATTTTATAAAAGTTATACCTTGATCATATTAAATTTATAGAATATGCATTGTGAAAACAAAGTTAGGAACATTCGAATGGGTATTATATAATTCACATATATAAGTATTGATATATATCCAAAAATTATATATTACTTCCAATGTTTATTGATAATTGATTTTGAATGTATATAAATATTAAATTTATACTTCATTGTTATCTTCAGTTCCATACAAGTCGAATGTATCATAGTCTAATATTTCAGATAATTCGTATTCCATTGAATTATGTATTTTGTGTTATTGTATTGAGTATTTTATATTCTAGCAGATTATTTATCTTCAATTGTATTTGAAGTTTCATGTTCGATTACAATATCTTCTTTATGTTCTTCTGTATTAGATGTATTGTTATATATATCTGAAATTTCTTTGTCTTCATTTTCTACTTCGTCGTCACTATCTAAAATTTCTCTTTTAGAATTAATTTTGGATAATTTTCTTCTTTTTTTCGGTTGCTCAGGTTTAGTATCTTCTTGTTTTTCATCATCATGAGTATCTTGTTCATTGAATTCTTGATTAAAAGATTCTGATTCTTTATTTTCTGATTTTTTTTGTTTATTCTTCTTTAATTTATTTCTCTTTTTTGATTTTCCTTGATCATCTGGTTCCTTGTTCCTTTCTATATCATGTTCTGCCATTTCATATTCTTCTTTCTTTTTCATGGCCCATTCTTTTACTTGTTCTTGCATAAGTCTTCGTTCTTCTGTTAATTCTTTTTGTCTTTTTTCTTCTGAAACACGCAATGCTTCTGCTTCTGCATTTCTTTTCTCTTGTTCCTCTTTTCTTTTTTGTCGAGCACAATCTAACTTTGCTAAATTGTTACTTTCAAATTCTTTTTGTTGTTGTATTGCTCTCTCAAGTTGTCTAAGTGTAGTATTACGACCCATATTAGCACGTTGCTGAATATCTTCTTTAGGATATGGAGGATATTTAGAATTTGCCAGATCTGAAAATGTTTTAATGGCATTGTCCAGATTTTCTAAAGCATATTTTAAATCTTCAATAGACCTTTTATTTTCAGGTAATGTCCTAGCTATTTCAGCAAATTTAAATTGAATAAAAGCAATATTGAAGATAATAGCTGTATTAGAAGGTTGCAGTTTTAATGCTTTTTCTGTAAATTTGAGTGCTTCTTTCAATGCAGAAAGGCTTCTTTCTTCTTTTCCTTTTTGCAACCAAACTTTGCCAAGTGCAGAAAAAGTCATAAGATTGCTACCATTTTGATATTCGTTTAATGCTAATTCATATGCTTCTATTGCTCTAGGATATTGTTTCATTTCAGATAAACAATGGCCCATATTTATATATACTGTCTCATTTTTTAATGTTTCACGAATTTTACTTAATATTAACAAAGCTTTTGCATGTTGTTTATTTTCTGCTAATGCAATAGCAATTCCTTGTGCAGCATATGCATTTTTAGGATCAAGTTGTAAAGCTTTGTCAAAGAATTCTACTGCTTTTTCATACATTTTATGTCTTTTTTCCTTTTCTGCATCAGTAGTAGGACGAAATTCTCGAGCTATACGTAAATGAATATTGCCCATAGCAGTTAATGAATATCTATCATGTTTATCAAAATATTTTAATGTATGAGTATAATGTTTTTGTTCTGGATCTTCTCCTGAAGTTTTATTCCATTTTTGATGACTAAGATACCATCCAAAATATGCTCTGACATCTAAATTACCTGGATTAGTTTCTATAAGATCCTTTATTTTTTTAGATGTATTTTCTGTTCCTTCTCTCATTATTTCCATATGACATAAACGAACACGTGCTAGAAGAAAAGTTAGTAAAGTTTTTTTGGCTCTAAATTATACCTTCTACATAATCTGGATGCCTTTGTAACAATTCTTCGTAAAACTTTTTTGCTTCTTCATAATTTTTAGCTTGTTCTTCACAACGTGCAAGATTATATGTTAATGTTGTTACTAGTGCATCAACATTAATAGTATTATTCTCTTGTTGTCCCATAGAAACGCAATGATTAAGAGCATCTTGATAAAATTTCCTAGCATTTGCAAAATCTTCTTTAATATGATGAAGTACACCTATATTATTTAACAATTGAGGAAGAATATTAGTAGAAAAATTCCGCTCCAGGTCCAATGCACGTTCATATGCTATAATATTATAAGAATTAAATGATAAAAGCGCATGATCTTTACATTCTAAACTAACATTATTGCCTTCTTCTTCACAAAGAGCTGCTAGCGCTACGAAAATTCCAGAACCAGAAAATTCCCTTTGTTCAGAATTATTTATTAAATGTATTGCCCGTTCTAATAGTGATTTTGCTTTTTGTCGTTCTAGTGATTTATCATTTCTTGAGCTTGAAGATAAAGTTTCATGCGTATAGATTGATCCAAGTATGGTAAGTGCTTCTATACACTTAGGATATTGTTCTGTAATTTTTTCAAAAATTAATTTTGCTCCAATAATATCATCTAAATGTTTTTTCCAGTAAATAGTAAAAAAATGTTAATAATTTACCTTGAATAAGCTTTATCTGCCCCATTCCAATTGCAGAAACAACACTACTATCTTTGATACTATATGAATGTTGATATAATCCAGAAGCTTTTTCATAATTTTCCTATTTTAATTATAATGTTTCTAAATATATTATATATATATATATGAACCATATAATGGTATGCTCTTGCCATCAAAAATAAGCTGTTATTTATTAAATAATTTGTATCTGCGTATTGTAATGCTTTTTCTGATAGTTTAATTGCCTGTTTTTTCATAAGAAAATATAGAAAATTGATAATCATTCTTACCATATCCATATTTTTCTTTGAAAAAAAATATGATGCCAAAATGTTTGCAGAATATGGGTCTGTTTGGGATTGTTTGTATGCATTTTGAGCATATCTTAATGATTTTTCGTATTCCTCTAGAAATTCAGATGTACCTGTCTTAGAAGAGGCTGAATCAAGATAATACAATGACAAAAGTGTATTTGCTGATATATTTTTCTCATTCTAAATTAAAAATCGTTAGTAAGCATGTATATATTTATATTTATTTATATAATACCAATTCTAATGATCTCAACCATGCCACTTTTGCATCTTCTTTCATATTTAACTTCCAAAAACAAAGACCTACTCCGATTCTTGGATCAATAACAAAATCCGGCTTAGATGATAAAACCGTTTGATAAAGTTTTAAAGAACCAACATAATTTTTACGTGAAAAAAGAATTCGTGCTTTTCCAAGCATAGCAAACAAATTACATGGATCTGTATTTAAAATATCATCAAAATATTTTCCTGCTTGATCAATTAAACTCTTTTCCCCCGACGATCTCATAATATTCCAAACTGCTAATCATAATTCATTAATCCTAGACTTAATCTTCCTTTTTTCTAAAAAAAAACCTCGTATAAGAATATTTGGCAAAAATGAAAAATCAATTCTATTTGCTTCATTCAACGCCTGCGTCGCCATTTGATGATAATAATCCTTTGTATGACCCTCCGAAACTCCTTCTTTTTGTTCTGCCATTCTAGGTGCCCTTCTTGCTTTCTCTAAATATAATGCTGAAAGCATAGAATATAACGGTAATTTGCTTTCCTTCTGCATATCCACTTTCATCCTTGTATAAATTTCACTTTTTTCAAAATTTTTTATTCTACCTTTCAATCCCCGTATTAATATATGGATCGCCTGATCTATATATCCTTGACGTCTATATTCATACTATGCCCCATATTAACTAATATAAAACTTAAATCCTCTTATAATATACTGAAAACTGGACCCAAAACTCTTTTGATGCATTTTCACACTCTAAAATTTCACAAAGTTCCTCTGAATCCTCTGGAAGTGTTGTGCAATCAATTTCAACAAGTTGCCCATGATCCTTAAGAGGAACCTCTATAATTCTATGCTCTTTTTCCTGTATTTTTTCTTGTTTATTAATATCTTGAGATATTGGCAGAGTATTCATTTGCTGCGGTCGTTAGAGGAGGTTAAGAGGTTAAATAAGAGGGTTTAATAGAGGAAATGAAAAAGATAAAGAAATATACATAGATTAATGATAAGATAAATGAATTTTTTATGAAAGAAATGAAGTTTAGTTTTTTCTTGGAAAAAAGAATAAGATTTGATAGATGTAAAGGGTTTAAAGATGAGAAGTTAAAATAAGATAATGAAATAAAAAGTATGTAGAAGAATGTATTGTTAACATTAGTAATTGTATTAAATGATGTATTAATTTTAACAATTGTTTTTATTGTTTATAGTTGCATCGTTTAAATCGAGAAGTTTTTCCATATATGAGCAATAATCAAAGATTGGACATCCGCGATCTTCATCATCAATTTCGACATCATTTCCTTGTAATTCGGGCATTTGAGAAATTAGATATTCAACTTCAGCCGATGGAATTAAAGATTGTCGTAGATCTAATTCGGTAACATATGGCTTTAAAATAGTTAGTTAGAATATTTTATATAAAAAATGAATATAAAAATACTTTTCCATCTGCTACGTCTCTGAATGCTAAAAGAACTTGATCTGGTGAATCATGATCTTCCATTTCATCAACCTTTAATTGTTTTAATATAAATATTAAAACGATAGATTAATAATTACCAAAAAATCGATAAATTGATTATATGTAACAACACCGGTTTCATTGCTTGCTTTTGCAATGATATCTTCCATTTCTTGTTCATCATAAGCAAGACCAAGAGCAGCCAATGCTGCAGTAAATACGTCTCCTTGTAATGCATTGATTCCATAACGATCAAAATGTTTAAAGACACAATCAAATTCTTTCATTTGTGCTGAAGTAAGATTTGTTTTTTGACGAGTTGTAATCTAAAATTTTAATCTTTAAAAATAAAAATGTAAATGTTTATACCTGATTCTCAATGAATTGTATTTTTTTGTGAATCAAATCTGACGCTAGGTCTAATTCATATTCTAAATCATCATATGAAAAATTTGTATAATCATTTTCTTCAATTTTGGCTTCTTTGCATTCTTCTTCTAAACGTTTTAATTGTAATAATTCACCTCGAAGAGGAGTAACATGTTCTTTAAGAAGGTTAATCTTGTCTAATTGTTCTTCAAGATCGCCTTTAAGCCCGCTAATTTCAATGGATAATGTATTAAGCATTAATGAAAAGTCGTTTGCCCTTTCAGCAAATGATTGACGAAGTTTTTCTTTAATACTATAAATAAAATAAGCATTATGATTATAAAAAGGTTTTATTACTCTTTAATTTTATCATTTATTTGTTTCGATCTCTGAACCTCTGCTTTCATAAGTTCTTTCCAAATAATATTTAAATCTTTTAATTCTAAACCCTTTGGAGGAATATAAATCTTTAAGCAATAGGTTCTAAGTTTTGTTTGAATATCATGAATTAAAGATTCTAAATCATGTTTTAATTTAACCCAATCTCTTTTTAATGTTTTTTTGTATTCATTAAATTCTAATGATTGACGTTTTGCATCTGCATAAGAATCATCAAAACTTGACATATCCCATAACGTTTGCATCTTAATGATTGAATTAATTAACTACATAACATTAGAAATATTAAACAAACAATATGAAAAATAATACTTCTTTCATTTTTTCCTCATATTCTTTTTGCATGTTAGATGCTGATTGCATTGTTTTCGCAAACTTTTCAACCCTTCGTCCTGCTGTTTCTACTTTATCTATAAAATGTTATTAATCCAAATATTTCAAAGTTTATTCAAACCTAAAGTAGAGAAAGCATGAAAATATTGAGCAATATATGTCATAACTGATTTTTCATCCGGTTTACTAACATCGCAAATATCTTCTACATCAAGCAATTGCTAGATTAAATTAACATTTTTCTTCATCCTTTTTTTCTTATTTTTACTGGAATTCCTATAAATTTAGAGGCTACCTCAAATGCCATTGATATGTTTTTTCGATGATCTCTAACATCCAATTCATGAAAATTCAATAGATCCGGTCGATGCTTGTGAATCAACGCACAACTTACTTAATTAGTTTCCTATAAAAAAATAAAATTTCTTATATATATATACAATGAAAGCCCATCTGTCCAACTTTAAAAAAATTATTATAAATCTTCTTATATCATTCTCATTAATCTTTTACCTAGTAGTAAAATCACATATATTTACATTCTCATATTCTGCCGTTTGTCTTTGACACCAAAGTAATAACCCTTCTTTAGCCGTATACCCTTCCTCACTAAATTATTAGATTTTTTTTTTCTAATTATACAGAAATAAACTTTATATCTGCAATTGTAAATCTCAATATAAGCGTCCATAATAATCCAAGAATTAATTTCAAATTTCCATCAATAATATCTATCAAAAATAAGACTCCTATCTTTTTAAAACACCATTCAACCCTCTGCTCCAATATTCGTAAGAGGTATTCCTTTAGATTTTATATAATCTAATGCCTTATTCACGTTCTCCGCTTTTTGAATACGTAAACGCGGATTTCTATTATATTTTCCAAGTGTTTCATCTCCAATAATCTCCTAACCCTATAAATCTATAATTATACTTTCATACCCTACAAACCAGTAGATTTATCAGTCGTATACCGTCTGAAAGATCTGTTTTAAGACTAACTGCTGGTGGTAATTCGTGACCTGAAAGCTTTGTATTTACCCTATTTTTTCCAATTAAAAGCCTCATTTATGCTACAAATACTTACCATTTAGTAAATGTCTTGTGCTGAACGTCTTGCCATGAACGATCAAGCAGAGACATCCTTTTTATGCTTTGTTTCTTTCTTATAAAGTGTTTGGTTGAAAATACAATCTTCGTCGTTGATGTCGGTTCATCACATAGTTTCCATGGAAACTGTTGTTATGACAACTCGGGCTAAGCTTATAAGGGATAGTAAGGTTATCGATAATCTTATCAGAAGAATGGAGGGAAGAATGGAGGGGGGGAGGAATGGGGGGGATTGGAGGAAGAGAAATTGTATTATATTAAGAGAAATTATATTAGATAAATTATATTATTTTTTTTTGATAGTATTTTTTATAATTTATTAAGAATTGTGTTTTTTTTAGAGTAATTTTTGTTAAAGTTATGTTTATGAAAAAAGATGAGAATTAAGTAGTTGGAAGTAGTTGGAAGTAGTTGAATTGTTAGTTTTAATGTTATATTAGAAAAAGAATTGAATAAATTGTGGTTATTTTTAATAATAAATTGTGGTTATTGTTATTAATAAATTGTATTGTTATTAAAATTATTTGTATTATTTTTAATAAGTTGTAGTTATTTTTAATAAATTGTAGTTATTCTTAATAAGTTGTAATTATTTTTAATAAATTGCATTATTATTATTATAATTATTTGTTAAATTTTATAAAAAGTTTAGTTTCTCTTTATAAAATTAGAATTTAGTTTTTATTTTTGAAAATATTATCAAGGTTAATAAGAAAATCATTTAAAGAATGAAAAAAATAAAGAATGAAAAAAATAGTGAAAAGATTATTTAAAGAAAAGATTATTTAAATAATGAAAAAAAATAATTTTTTAAATTATATTAATTAATTTTTTTCTTTTTTTTTAGTTTAATGCTATTTTTTTGTATGCCTTATTTTTGTATTATTATTTAATATATATATATATATGCTTTTTTATGAATTTTTAAAATTATCTGTATCTTCATAGTTTAATATTTCAGAATCAGTGCTCTTCTTCATAACTTTCAAGTATATAGGTGTATCTATAGATTTTTGATTTTCTAAAGCATGACGTCCTTCATTTATAAGATGTTTTGTAAGTTTAAGTGCTTTTTTTAAAGAGTTTGTAAAAAATAAAGAGTTATCTATAAATTTTTGAAAATTTGTTATAGAAGAACTTGAATTTTGAGATAATTGAGAACAAGTGTCATTTTCTTCAGAATTTGATGTAGAATCTGTAGTTGAACTTGTAATAGATATATTATCTGGAATAATTTTTTTACGTAAAGCTTTAATTTCAGACATTTGACGACGAGATTGTTTCTCTAATGTATTATTTAGAGCAATCAATGATGTATTAGAGATTTCTAGATCAAGTATCTAAAATAATAAGAGATAAATGCCAATTTTCAAAGAATATTTACTTTTCTATTTGTACGAGCAAATTTTGTATAATCTGATTCTTCTGTCAATGCATGACCTAATGGAATTTTTGAAGTTTTAGAAATATTTTGAGGTGATTTCTCTATTTCGTTATTTATAGGAAATGTGTCATTTATATACTGAATATTTGAAAGATTTTTTATATTTGTACTCTTTATTTCTCTTTTTGACGGAGATCCTAATGGAGTTTTATTTCTTGATGAAATAATAGATGATTCATCATAGTTATCTTTTGATATTGGTTGAATCGATTTCGAAGAAACAGGTAAATTTGAATTTGGTGATAATAAATAATGATCCTGTGATATATGGCTTTCATTTGCATAAAAATATTTTGGAAGCTGCTGCTTTTCTGGAGATGTATTTTTATGTTGAGATAATTGTGGAGAGACTTTTGAATCTTTTGTAAAACATATTTCAGATAAACTTTTTTGCTGTCTAAATTCATTTGCATAAAAAAATTTACTTTCTTTTCTAGTGTGATATATTTGTCTTTCAAACTCTGTTGAAATATTTTCTTTTACAGGATATTGATCTAAATGAAAATTTTGTCTAATATTTAAATTCGAACGAATCTCTTGACATCCGGAAAATATTCCCTGTTCATTTAATTCATCATTATTATATATATCCTGTTCATTTTGAAAAAATGATTGAACCCGTTTTCGAGGCGATTGAGATGCTGATTGTAGCAAGTTATTAGATACTTGTGCACAATAATTTTCTACTTTTCTAGAGTCTTTTATTTGGCTATTTAAAGACTTGTCTTGTGTTTCTGTTTGCTTTATATCTTTATTAATATTTTTTAATCTTAATAGGCTCATAATTAATATCAATTGTGCCCGTTTTTACTGCTTTTTAATCCCGGAAAAAACGAAATTACCAAAATATATGTCCATTATTCAATAAAAAGCACTGTAAAGAAGCTTTTATGGGCTCTTTTATGCCTATTTTGCCCTTCTTTTCTTACACTTTACCATATTAACTTTTTTTGACGTTGCAGGTTGCTATGGCAATGACAACCAGATAATATGGTAAAATGTATATATTTTTAAAATTTTTCAAATATTATGCAGAAATGTATGTTATTCCATGTTTTTTTGTCAATTTATGAATGGATTTTATGTTTTCCTCTTTTTTTCCAGGATTTTATATAAAACCGTCTTTTTTTTTGGATACAAAAGATGTTTTCTGAGCAAGTTATTTTATACAGTAAAATATTAAAATAATATGGAAAATATGTATTTTATCTAGAAAATATTCTATTTAATAATCGTTTATATCCGTATTTTTTAAAATTATCCATAGAAAATATATCCGGATTTTTAATAAACTTGTCTTTAATATTATTTAATAGGTTTTTTACATAAAAAAAGAGATATTCATGGACATTTGTCAAAGACTTTTATTCTTATAGCTTTATTGGTATTTATTTTTGAAGATGAATAGAATGGATGAAGTCAATATATCTAAAAAAACAGAAAATATTGCTTTAAAATGTCTAAAAAAGAGTTTTGAAGATCAGTTTGGGAGTGTTTGTAAGTTTTTTGAAGTAAAAAGTGAAGAAAAAAAATTGTGTCAAGTGCCAAAATTATCAGAAAAAATACAAGACAATGTTATAAAACAAAGTTGCTATCTTCAGTTTTGTATATTTCTATGAATAATGTGTATTTAGATGGAAATTCTGAGGAATTTCCTGAAGTTATTAATTTTATTGAGAAAAAGGCAAAATCAAGTAAAAATACAGAATTTCATTCTTTTATGGTAAAATATGAGCTTTTTTTATGAGGAACTATGTTTATAAATATGGTATAGTCGTCTAAATTGCCAAATTTTTATGAAAAAAGAAAGTCTATTAAAGAAGTAGATAAAAGGCAGGATTTGGATTATAAACAATTAAAAAATGATATTGCTTTACAAAGATTATTAAGGGAATGTCATTTGTTAAAGAAGGGATCAGATAGTTCTACATTTTCTCTTGAACCTGTTGGAAAACAAAGACATAAAATTATTGAAAATAGAATTAAATTATTAGGTGGCAAAGAAATTAAAGAAAAAATTCCTTTCAAAATAAGATTAGGGATGAAACTTAAAGCAAAAATTAGAAGTGATATTGCTAAGAAAAAAGCTAAAGAATCTGGTCTTGTTAGAGCACTTCCTGCACCTAAATCTAAAGCGAAACATAAACGAAATTATGGGTTAAATGAAATTAGGATTGGGAAATATCATAAAGGAATGATTACATTAAGTGAGAAGGATATAAGGAAAACTATATCTACACCTGTACTTAATAAAAAAAATAAGAAGCGTGGAAATAATAGGAAATTTGTTTAATATTATAGGAGGGTTTTATTGATATTTTTTGTAATGTTTTTTGATTTATATTAAACTAATTATTAGTTAATGTTTAAAGTATGGATACTTAGATACAACTAAATAAATGAAACTGCAAAATTAACTTATAATAAAACAATAATGGGTAGTATTATCTAAAAATAAAATAGAATTTAGTATTAATATACAAAAAATTATAAAATGGGTTATCTAGCTTAATAATGGTGTTGTTATTTGTTCAAATAATTAATAACTAAAATAATATTTGTTCAGGTTTTATTCCTCAGATTTGTTTTTTTCTGATAATAATACATTGTTACTATTGTTAAAAATGGGTTAAGTTTTTTTCATGTGAAAATTTTAGTTCATGTCTTGATCTTGTGTGCCTTTTAATATTGTTGAAGAATATTTATCTGAAACATCTTCAGCGTAACCATTTGCATTTTCTTTTTTATTAGAATTACTTGATTTCTGCATATTTTTCTCCTTTTTCTTACTAATGACTTTTTCTATATATGTATAACTAAATTCCTTAATCTTCTTTTTTTTCGTGCTGCTTAATTCATAAACATTTCTTATTTCATGACCTGGTCTCATTTCTTTTTTGACCAATATTTCTACAATCTATTACAAATAAGATATTTATGTTTTGATTTTATTTTTTTTTCATACTTCTTTAGCTCGTTTCTTAATTTCGTCTTTTCCAAGTTCATCCTGAAATTTTGTAATTACATTTGGTACATACTTAGCAAACTAAAGTTCTCATTAATTTCATTGCATATTTAAATATAATCAATTTTACCGTTTTTATAAGTATTTTTTCTAAAGGAATTTTTTCTTTTTTATTTATATTTGATGAATGCTTGTGATCTTTTCTTTTGCTTGCATTGTTTTTATTGCTCCTAGGATCATGTTTAGAAGCATTGTTTTGTCGTCCCATTAATTTTGCATTAGCTTCATCAATAATTTTTTGTAAATCAAGAGAACTGTTATTAAATGACACTACAGGTGGTGGAGGTGGTGGAGGTGGTGGTGGTGGTGCAGCCTCAAGTGGAAATTCCCATTGTACTTTGTCTCCGCAATAATAATATGGTTTATCATCTTGAGTTTTCGCAACTGACCATCCTGGAGGTAAAATACGGGCATTTTCTTCAACATTGCGAGGTCCTCTTAATTTATGCCCTCGAGGATCTGGATCATCAGAGAAACGTGAATCAGGCCTCCAAAACCTTTCTCCTCGAAATGATTGTGCCTTATTTGTAGCATAGTTATCATAATTTTTAGATCTAGAAAAACGAGAATATCGTTCATTAGAAATTGGGCTGCCTTGAGAGCCTGGTGATTGATACAATCTTGAACCACTATCGCTAGTATCTGAATCAGAGTAAATCGTTTCTGTTTGTTGTACTTTCTGCAAAACTTAGTTAACAATCTTATGAAAAAAATATACTCATACAGGTTTTTTTGGAATCCGATATGCCATTGATAAATTTCCCCATTCTTTAATAAGCTAATCATAATGGTTAAGATATTTAATAATGATAATAAATATATTACTTGTTGAGCTGTCTTTCTCAATTCTTCATTTTCATGAGATGCTAAAATCTGAATAGTTGTTTCTATTTTTGAACTAGAAATCTTATTTTTTGTAATTCTCGGCCATCTTAAAAAAATATTAAGAATCTAAATTTATAAAAAAATTGAATTTGAAATATATAATAGTTTAAACCATGTTAGAAATATCAAAATCTTCTTTCCAGTCACGAAGAACAGAACCGAGAATTTGATATCCATGCATCTTCATTACTCTTCTTTGAACACTGAGATCATTACTTGACTATAGATGATTAGAAAATATTGATAAATTGAACTAATACATACATGGATTCTTAATAGAAGTCTATTTATAATCCATCGTTCTTTGCATTGAAGCAAAGCACTCATTATCTTTGTCACTCCGTTTTCATCTACTGGAGTAGATTGCATAGAACTGTAATATTCTTCGTCTGTTTCTCCTTTCTTTTTCTTTCGAATTTTTTTTGCTGATGAAAAATCCCAGAAATCTAAGTTTTCAAATCCCAAAGCTAAGAAAATTAATCAATCAATCATTATCTCTTTTTTATCAATTTTTCCATACCTTTCAGTATATTTTGAGGTATTTTTGAATGAAATTCTGTCTGAGTCTTTCCCCCAATGATCCCGATACATCCAGGTTCTTCGCAATAACATGGTTGTGCTATAGTTCTGAAATAATTATCAATCAATGAAAAATAAGGTTTATAAATTATACCCATATCGATCAACATTATAATCAAATGTCAATTCTTCTCCTTTTATTATATTACGCTTACAAAAAATACCTATGCGTAACTTTGTTCCTACAACCCACTTGTCCACATAACAATTGGGAGAACATGAGTGATTTAAAAATCTCGAAAGTCCTCCTTTTCTTGTAGCATCAATATACTCTCCTCTTTGTAACATCATAAAATAAAAATGTTTTATATTTTCTTCTGAATATATTTTCATTCTTCTTCGAAACTTCCTTTCATCTATAACCTCTCCTATATATTCACATACAAATTGACCTGATTCTAAATCAGAATTCGCCCTAATACCATACCCCTTCTTCTTTGTCTTAATCACATCTATATCCGAATATTGTCTTAATTTAAATCTTCGATTTTGACAATCTTCCCCACAATTACAATCATCCGTACATTCAACTGATGTCAATCTGTTAATACAATCAGAATTTTTGTCGCATGCTAAATTTTTTGTTCCATCTTGATATTTTCGTTAAAAAAAAAATATACAACATTCCACTAACCCCATTCTGATTTACACTCACATGTCATAATCTCTTCTTGTCCTGACTCCCCTAGGTCTTTAGAATGATATATATTACAAAAATGCTCCTCAAATGATAAAAGTGCCTCTTCTTTTGCCGATGGAAGATCATTATATAATTTCACCATCTTCTGTTGTTTCTTTGCGTCCATTGGCTTACCATATCCGCCTCCATTATTCTTATCATATCCTTGTGCGTATTCTACTTGAGATTCCGTCATATTTTCTACTCCCTCTTCAAATCCTCCAAATGTATCTTTATTATCCTTCTTCTTCGTAGACATTGTATAAATATCTTCATGTTTAAGACTTCTCCTCCTCTTATTTCTCTATTTACCTGGAACTCCATATTCCTGTTCTTCCCATTCATCTTGCCCCCAAATATCTTCTATCAGCTGATCTTCTGACATTCTATCCTGTCCATATGAATGTTCATAATCATATGAATAAGCCGTCATTTCTTTTAATCCTCTTTAAAATATATTAAATATTATTGATTTCACTATTTATTAATAGTTAGTTTTTGTTCAAAAAAATTATGAAAATACATATAAAAAACAAGTCTATACTGTATTATTCTGTGATAAATCCTTATAATTCATCTGTATAGACAAGTTCTGACTTGTTAATAAGTTATTAAGATTTTTCTAATTTTTAGTAGTCGTCAAAAATTGGCTCGTAGTGTGTGTCGAAGGTGGTTGGTGGTGGTGATATATATATAGAGGGGGGTAAAATAGAATAATTAAGTATTAATAGATGCAAGAAAAGAAGGTCGGGGTATATGAATAGATCAAGAATAAAGTGTGTAATAAGTTGATTAAATGATATATCGTTGTCGTAAATGTTGTTGGTTTTCAGGGAGAAGGGTTGACATAATATTATCCCAATTGCCTAGTATTGCTTTATATCCTCTTAAAATCTGTAAAAGTTAATAGATAGGGATAGAAAGGATGTATAAAAGAAACCTTTGAAAACATGTCGTTAAGTTCGGGGGAAGGTTTTTGAAATCTAGCAATAGCAGACATGAAATCGGGAAGAACATCAGTCATAGCTTCAGGATTTCTAGAGATGGATGCACATAAACCTCGAAAAGCAGAATCCTTTTCTTCGTTATCATGTACATTCATTAAAGCAGCACACCATGGTTTAGCGAAATTTCGAAGATTTGGAGCTACTGAATCAGGGCATACTAAACTTAGTCTACCTATGGCTATAGCGCAATTTTCGAGAACGCTTGGCAGTGAATTAGGTTCTTTGAGTAATTTAATTAACCGATTTAATAATGGATTTGCGTAAGGCAACATTTCGAGACCTATTTTAATGAATGATGAATATTTTAGTTATAAAGAATGAAAAAAACTAACCCATTTTTAAAGATATTTCTCCAGAAGACCATGCTGCATTGCTATAAACACCGAACGATTCATGCTGTAAGTCCAATTGTCCAATTAGTTCTGACATGAGGGGTGCTATATATGGTTTAATATGGTGAAAACAAAAAATTGATAAATCTCCAAGCAATGCATATGATGATTGTCTAACTTCTGGTGATGGATCTGTAATGCAAATTGATAATAGTTGTACAAGAGGAGGCTCAGCCTGCATAATTAAGTATTCAAAATTGGTGCCGAGGCCTTCTACAAGGCCACTTAATAAATCAAGAGATGTTACAAGAAAATTTTTATCAGGTATATCGAGTCTTGGATCCTGGTTATATGCATTTAGTTGTATTAAGGTTTTATGTATAATGGATATGCAGCGAGAAAATACTGGTTGTGCAAATGGCATAAATCCATCACCTAAAGCGACAGTAACAGATGATAAACACTAAATAATTAATCAATATTTTTTAAAATATCTAAGTCAAATTAACCTCTAGTAAAGGGAAAAGATTTCGATCATCGTCAGCAAGAGAATCCCATTTTTCAATAAGAGGTGGCATCAAAAGATCAATATATTCTTTTTTGTTTAAAGCTTGGCCTACAGAATTTGTAAGGGTTTGCAGTGCGTCATATAATATAAGAAGATTTCTTTGTTGATATTTTTGAAATGCCATAACCAAAGCATGAAGAATGGGATTAAGATAAGGGATAAGAATTGGTCCAGTTTGTTCTTCAAGATTAGCTAAAGCGCTACATCCAGCCTTTTGAACACTTTTATTGTTATCTAGTACCATACGCAGCAACTATATAAAGATTAGGAAGAGAATGTTTAATAATGAAAATGTAACCCCTTCTAAAAGAGTAACAAAATATTTTTGTCTTTCTTCTTCAGATGGTAAAAAAGCTGCCCATCTAGCATATCTTCCTAGTGTCCAGCATGTCATTTGTCGCATTAAAGGCTAAATTATGTTAGAAAAATAGTTAAAAATTAAATATTACTTTAGGATCATTTAATAATGATATAAGATAAGGAAATAGTTCTGGCAAAAATTTTTCCATATCTTTAAAACAGCCTAGATGCATTTAGAAGATAAATAAATAATAAACGAATACCTTCTGCGAGAGCTCCTAAAGAAAGTACACCTGCTTCCCTTATTTTCCAATCTTCATTAAAAATATTTTGCCTTAAATATGGCATAGAAATTTCTAAAAGTTTATTATGGTATACTGTGGAAAGAACATCAAAAGCTGCAGCAGAACATTTTCTCAAATTCCATTGAGAGTAGGCTTCATCATCGCTTTCATCATAATCATAATCGCTTTGATCGAAATTATTATCATCATCAAGTCTTGGAATTTTTTGAGAAGATTCATCGTATATGTGCTGGTTTTCATGAACTTTTGCTTTTGCATATTGAGGCTTAATATCTTCCGGTTTATCCGCAATATGAGTATCATCTTCATCTCCTCCTAATGTTAAAATATCTAATTCTGAATATACCATCCCCTTCAACAAAATAGGCACAATTCGATCAAGATATTGTTCTAATGGTACTTGAAGCTCCGGTTGCTCCGCAACAGCTAACCAAAATTCACATGCCTCCAATGCAACATTTTCATCTGAATCTGATGTACAATAAAGCATGTATTCAACAATGCTATTAAACGATGGAAGAATTTTGTCCGACTTTATATCAAGTAACATAACCAAAGCTTGACATACATTTTTTCTTACATCTGGTGTACTATCTGTCGCTGATTGAAAAAGCTTTGTAAGAAACATATCTATATGAGCAAAAAGCGATTGAGATTTAGTCAAAATAAACTGATTAAGACAGAAAAACGCATCCGCCCTAATCTTCGGATTCTTCGAATCCGTATATGAAAGAAATTTAGGAATCATAAAATTTAATGGACGTTCCCCATTATATTCTTGATCTAGTTCTCGAGACGAATCTTCACATATTTTCGTCATAGCACTAAATGCCCCCTACAAAAAAAAATACATATAAAACTTGTTTCCTCTTCGAATTAATCAATCTATTACCTCCTGTGTTAAAACATCCGGGCTTTCCATCATTTGCATAAGTTTGGGCAGAATCTCCGGGCAATTTATAATACCCCCCTTCCTAATAATAGTCGTAATTAAATTCCCCGCAATACTACGGATAAGTTGTTGCTGATCTGAAAGCCCATTGATAGACGCTTCTTTAAGATATATTAAATCATCCACTGGTATTTGTGAAAAAAACATATTGACATTATTCTTAAGAAGTAATCCTGCTGTAGATCTAACTGAAATATCCGATCCATCTGCTTCCAGGAAAATATTAGCTAAATATTTATTAAAATCCGGGATTTTTTGTGCTTCTTCTAGATGCTATATAAACATTAGAAATTTCCCCCCTCAAAAAACCCCTCAAAACCCCCTTCCCCTACCATCATCGCCTCATTTCTACATACTGAATCCTCTGAAATAGAGTTCTTAAGAACTCGTATAAGCTGAGAATTTATTTCTATCCGTGGTTTCCATGAACTCGCCATTTCTTCTCTGCCTTTTTACCCCTTAAAATACCTCAATTATACTCCCTTTTTTCTCTATAATTTGCTTGTTATTTCTCTTTTTTTTTGTCTCTTTTTATTGATTTTTTGATTTCTGGTTTTTAAGCTTAAAAATTTGCTCGAAAACGCCCTTCAAATTTCTATCTGCCAGACCTCTTATTAAAAAAACATGCACAATATAAACCCAGATGTTACCCAATAGCTTTGATATTTATTAGGGATTTATTGGTTAATTATGGTTTTTTATCTGGCTGATAAGCTATTGTCAGTGTATTTTTAATGGGATTGAATAAATATGTATATATGGGGATTGGATAAGGGAATTTAGGGTGTTATAAGGTTCTTGAATAGCTGTATAATTTTATTTGAAGATAAGCAATTAGCTAGAGATATTTAATTTTTAGGGTGCTCGTTTACGCTTGATCGATGGGTTTCCGAGTGGTTGATAAGGAATAGGAAGTATTGACGAATCAGTAAGGTTATTATTAGAGAAAGAAGAAGCAGAAGAAGCAGAAGAATTGTCTTGTTTTGTTTTATATCCAGATGAAACCGCTATTAATTAGATGAATGAGAAATTTGAAGTGATATAGTAGGATGAACTAACCTTTTCGTCTGGAATAATTAGCTGATTCTGATCATTAATTTGTGTTTGTTATTAACTTACATACGCATTCCGAGATTTAAAAGGGACATTTGTGTATCTTTTGTCGATATTGGTTTATCACTTGTTTCGCCATATAATTCTTCTTTTCCGGGTATTATTTGTTTTTTAGGACCTTTTGACAGTATTTCTCTACTCATTCTATTTATTTTTATGTATAGTCACTGTCAACTTTATTGTTTTTTCTGGAAAAAAACAAAAATTATGCCAATTTTATAGGGAAAAAAGCTTATTGTGCAGATTGATTTTTTGACTCTGTTTATCACTTTGGTTTCTCTTTTTTCTCTGTTTTTTACTCTTCTAAACGAATTGGACCTTTCTATGGGTGATATTTTATATCGTTAAATTTGCCAGCAAATTTAACGACATTTTTTTGTAGATTTTTTTGGTGCCATTTGATTAGGCGAAACTCAGGCAGAACTGAGCAAATATGAGGAGTACGTCTATATATGGAGCTGCCAGTCTGTTATGTTTTTTGTTTTTGTCTTTAAATCGTTTAATAATACCGGTAAATGGGGTAATTCTTGCTATTGATTATGGGAAGGAGTGGATTAAAGGAGCCATTATTAACCATGGAATCCCTATAGAAATAGTTCTTACGAGAGAATCTAAACGTAAGGATCAGAGTGTTATTGGTTTTAATGGTGATGAACGGGTTTATGGGACATATGCAGCAGATTTAGTGAGTTATTGAGGGGCAGAGATGTTTTTGAACAGGGATTAAGTGTTTCGTAGTTGTTTAGGAACCAGTCGTTAGTTTTTCCGTCATTAAAGTCGTTAATTGGAAAGCCTTATGATTCTCGAGAAGTTAGGGAATATATGTCATTATATAGGAATATTGAGCTTATTCCTAGTAATAATGGATCAGGAGTAGCATTTGTTCATAATGATAGAACATTTACGGTTGAGGAGTTAACAGCAATGATTTTTGAAAATTATAAGAATATGGCGGAGGATGTTGTGGGGGAAAAAATAACAGATGTTGTTATAACAGTTCCATCATTTTTTACAGAGATTGAGCGACATGCAGTATTAGATGCAGCGGAAATAGCAGGATTGAAAGTTATTTCTCTTGTAAATGAAGGATATGCAAGTATATAAGATTTATAGTGAAAAGGTTTATTTGTAATAAGGGTTATTAGTTGCGATTAATTATGCTATGACTCGTATATTTAGTAATGAATCTCAATATCATATTTTCTATGATATGGGTGCAGGGAGTACAACAGCTACATATGTTTCATTTAAAACGCTTACTCTTCTGAATAATAAAACTCTTACGCTTTTGAAAGTGATAGGCGTTGGATATAATAGGTATTTTGGGGGTGATACAATCACATGGAAGCTTTTAGAGTATTTAATACAAGAATTTGAGTTATCGAAAAGGCCGCTTATGAAGGATTCTATAAGATCAAATCCAAAGGCAATTACCAAGTTATTTCATGAGTCATCACGAATCAAACAAATTCTTAGTATAAATTCTGAAGCCCATTTAATGGTACAAATAATGAAGATTATTATTATTATATATATATATATTAACTTGTGTGTTAAAGATTGAGAATCTCCATGAGGGTATTGATTATAGTATTAAAGTGAGTCGAGAAATATTTGAAGGATTGTTGCGAGGATTAGTTGATGACATAAAAAAACCGATCACTGATGCTGTTTCAATGACTTCAAAGCCTATTCGATTTGTAAATTCAGTTGTATTAGCTGGAGGTGGTGCAAGAGTTCCTTTTGTTCAGAAAGAAATAGAAGCTTTGGTCGGATCCAAAAAAGTTGCAAGAAGTGTAAATGCAGATGAGGCCGCAGTATTGGGTAAAGATATTTGATATTTTATATTTTTTCTTACTTCAATTAAGGTGCTGTTTTTCGAGGAGCTGGTTTGTCAGGACAGTTTCGTGTAAAAAATATTAAATCGACTGATATTACTATGAATTCTGTTTTTATAAGTTATCCTGATCTACATGATAGTAAGTTTTATGGCTGAAAATACAGGAAAATTTAATATGTTAGGTTCCAAAGTTGTTACACATTCTTTATTTTTAAAAGGGATGGAATTAAATAAAGACAAGACTGTTAATTTTGCTCTTTTAAGCGAATTTAATATTATTTTTTCGCATGTTGTAGGTTTTAGACTTCCAGGAACTGAGTTTGCTACTGTCAAAATAAGTGGATTTAATGACTCTGTTGATTATTTGAAAAATCAACACGATAATCAGAGTTATTGCGAAAATCTTGCTACATCTGTTACGTTTAGACTCAATTTTTCAGGCTTGATTACTGTGAAAAGTGCTTTTGTAGAGTGCAGATCTAAAGTCATGTCCACATTAAGTATTTTAATTTATTTATTAAAAAATTCTAAAGCTCCTATTAGATTTTTACGAAAAGTCTCATAAAGAATATGAACGCAAATTATTTGTATTATTTCCTATTAATGTTATTATTTATATAAGCTAATTGAAAAAATAGGAAGAATATAATTATGTTGAATATTACGATTCTTTAGAATCTAATGATGATGATGATGATGATGATGATGATAAACTAAAAAGAAAAAATACAACAAGACCTTTGGATTTTGAAATTTCATATACGAATTTAAATCCTCAAGATAAAAACTTTAAAATGGCTTCTAGGAATATGTAAATAATTTTAAATTGTTTTTATTTTTTTTAATTTTATTAAGGTTACTTAATTTAAAGGAAATAGATAAGAAAAGAGCTGCTCGTGATGAAGCAAGGAACCTTCTTGAGGCTTATATTTATAACGTTCAGGAGCTTCTTGAAATTGACGAATTTATAGCTGTTAGTAATCAAGAGCAACGTGAAGAATTGTCAAATGTTGTTAAAAGTGTAAGTGAATGGCTTGAAAAGAATGGAGATGTGTCAACATTGGAAGAATTGACTGAACGTAAAAATATTATTAAGTATGTTTTTGTATGTTATATTTGTTATTAATTTTTTAGAGCTTTAGAAAGCCCTATTTCAGAAAGAAGAGTTGATGCTCGTGAGCGATCTTTTAGAATTGATGAGTTAAGAAGACGAATAGATGGCTTTATGCGCTTTTTAAACAGCCTTCCTATTGAGAAAATACGAGAGCCATTAGATGACTCTGATGGTGATAAAAAAATACCCTATAAAAAGATTTTAGATGAAGCTGGCTTTGGTTCAGGAATGAAAGAAACTATGCGTGATGTTGAAGAACCTGGTTTTAGACCTGAAGATGTTGAAGCTTATAGAACAAATGCTATAAAAGTTGAAAAATGGCTTGATGAAAGCATAACTGCCCAAGATGCCTTAAAACCTTGGGAAAATCCTGTGCTTAAAGTCAAAGATATAATGTCAAAAATATGGGAATTGGAACAAACTAAAGAAAATATTCGTGTTATGGAACAGATTTATTTAAGATCTCGGGAATATTTCAAAAAAAATGCTGAGAAAGAAAGACAATCTGTTAATGAATCTAACCCTTCTGTTTCCATAGAACAAAATTCTACAAATGCTACAATGGAGTTACCTGTAAACACTACTCTTGCAGAGTCTGTTATATATACTGATATTTGATAAATTTGATGTAGATAATAATAATGTATATAGTATTATAGTATTTATTAGTTTCTAACGTGATAAAAAAGTTATTTCGGTTTTTTTTCATATATTACTGTATTTTTTCATGAATATGAATTATATAATATCAAATGAGTTATTTTTAAAAACATATATTAAATTGTTTTGATTTTGCTTTTATTAAATATGGAATGATATTATTTGTCCTGAAATAATAGTCAAATGATATTTATGTGTATTTGATTATTAGTTATATTTAAGAAAAATCATGTAAGAAATCGTTGGAGAGGTTCTCCAAGATATGATTCTATAGTTATAATAAGTTTTTGTGTAGAATATTCAATTTTCTCATTTTTGTCTTCTAATGCTTCTGAAATGAATGGTATAGTTTGTGGAAGTGTTGCAAGCCATTCTCCTTTAAGTTTAGTATAAAGTTCTTTTTGAGTTTCTAAAGCAGCAAGACGTACTGCTGTATTATCAGAATTCATGTGATTGAGAATTAGAGTATTAATCGTTTTATAATGTTCATCTGAAATCGTGACTGATGCTAACTGTGCTATAGAAGGAATTAAATACTTTTCTATTTTGTATCTAGGAGCAAAAGATAAATAAGATATAAGTGCAGGTGCAATTTTTGAAAATCGTATAGAATCTTGCCAAAATTCTGTATATATTAAGATTAAATATGGTATAATGTAAGCACTACCTTCTGTATCATGCAAAAGGCTTTGATAAATTGAATTTATAATTGCCTCCCACAGATCTGAATTTAAAGAAAAGGTTCCTTCTTGTTCTTTTTTAAGTAATTCAATAGTATCATCAAAAATATGAGAAAAATAATTTGTTACAATTGACTATTAGAAGTGAGAATTAATGTTTATTTCTGCTAATTTATTACTTTAAATCGTCCCAAAAATATTCCAAGAAATTTATAAAAAATCAATAAACGAGGTTTTGGATCAATTTCTATATTTTCTTTATAAAAATCTTTAAAAGCCCATTGACGAAAATTAAGAAACAAAGGTCTAAATGCTATATCGTTTAATTTCATAATTACTTGTATAAATACTTCGAGTGCCTTTTCTTTTATAGTTATTATAATCTAACATAAGCCTTAATTCCAAATAATTAAAAGGAGCTTACTTTAGTATCTAATTGATTATCATGTATCATATCAAATATTTCAAGAAAAAAATTAAATAATTTCAATGAAATCTTTTCTATATCTTCTTTCTTGGAATTCTTTATAGTTATTTCTAATAAATCAAGACTAATTATAATAGTCTAAAAGATGTTAGTTAAATATATGATTAATGAAAAGTATACAGTTTTGTCTAAAGTAATGATATACTTCCAAGATTGTGAAATTGACGAAAATATTGTTTTTAAAGGAAATTTATTTGCTATAGCATTATTTAACGAATTTTTTATTATAATTAATTCCTCATTTTCTGTAGGATTTTTATATAAGTATGCTTCAAGCATTAGTTTTGTATAGGATAGCATAAATGAAGGAATAGAATTAATAAGTGCTTCCATAAGAGAACATACTGTTATTTCAAAAATATCTAACATCTATTAGATAATATAATGGAATAAATATAAGTTTACCATCATGTGACTCTTTAAGCTTCTCTAAAATATAAGGAACAAAGCTTGGAAGTTTTGGGACCAAACGAGGCCCTAGGCATTCACTAAAATGAAGTTAATTTATAATAATATTTTAAAATGTATACCTTAGAATTGTTATAGAAATACATGATAATATTTGAAGATCTTTGCTTTCGTTTTTAAGTCCAACTTCAATTATATTTTCAAGTATTTGAAAAAACTTTGCAGGATTATTTTTCCCATATCTTTTTGCTATAACATTAATGCAGATAAGAGCTGAATATGTTAATTCGAGACCTTTTTTAAATGTATTTTCAATAATATCAGGAAGAAGATCTATTGCTGCTAATTCTGTATTGGTATTTTCTAATGATTCTGTCTCAATTTTATCTTTTAGAATAACACAAGCATTTAAACGAAGCTATTAAAACGTAAACAGTGTAAAAATATAATAATTGATATAATTACCCTGAGATTTTTTGATGTTAACATTTTTTTGATGGTAATAGTGAATGATTTTATAGGTAAAAGTATAAGAGTTTCTTTTAATACATATTGTAAAGAGTCTTCAAGAGCTAATTTAATTAGTATTAGTTTAAGTTAAAATAAAGATATAGTCCTACTTTTATAAACTACAAATATTTCTTTCATTTCAATTAGTATTTCTATAATTTTATAAATACTAGAATATACGTTACTATCATCAGAGATAGTTTTGTGTATAGTCAGAAATAATTTTTTAAAGTGTTTTGAAGCAAAAACATTGCCAATAATCTTAATAAGTTGAGAACGTAAACTATTCAATCTATCGTCATCAAATTCTGAAGTATCTATCAAGATGGAATCATCTGGAATGTCTAATGTATTTATAGTTAATGATTTTGCAAAATCTAAAAGTTTCCAAAAAGACTATAATAGATTTAAATTTAAAAAAGTTGAATAAAGAATATTTACCAATAGCTGTACTTCTATGTCAAATGATGTAGATAAAGATAAACAAAAGCTTGCAATTGTTTTAGCCTCTGTATTTTTTCCTTTTTCTTCAAGATTATATTTCATGTTTAAAAGTAAAACAAGGAAGGCATATAAAAAATCATTAGGGCCTAAGGTTTTGATAAGAATAATAAATAGTCTATAATTATATTAAAATCATTGTTTAATGTAGATATAGAATATTTTACTTGAGTTTACGATGATCTGGTATATGAGTAAATGCATTTACAAAACTCGTTAATATTGTGGAAAAATTCACTACTATATCGGCTTTTTTATCTCCATTGTTAGAAATAAGAGCCGGAATAACTTTTTGAATAGTCTTAAGATGTTAAAAGAAAATTAGCAGCAAACTATTGAAATATATACCTGTTCAATAATATATTCAGAAAAATCATTATCTTGATGCAGAATATTTGTTCCCATAAATGTGAAAATAGGCATAATATTATGAAGAATTAATTCAGGTGCTGTTTTAGCAATTGTTGTAATAAGTAATAAAGCGCGGTTATGAACATGAGGAGTCGGTGATGAGCATATGCAGTTTATTAAGAGGTCCATACGAATTGTTTTAGAATCGAAACTGGTAGACTAACATGATTCGTAAGCAAAAGAAACTTTTTAGAAATAAAATAAATACAGTGTTACTTGTTATTTTCTGAAGGCATGTAAGAATAATTTGTTCTGGATATGCCATTGATATTCTTGTATTTGTTTCTAAAGTAATTAAGAAATTTAATGAAGTAAAAAGAGGTGTAATTAATTGTTGTTTTGTTTCAGGATTGTTTTTTTCTAATAGTTCCAAAAATATCGTAATATATTGTAACTCTTTTTCTATTTCCCTATTTTGAGAATCTCTGTCTTTTTGAGATTTAGTTAATAATGATGAAAGAAGATCTTTTAAATTTAAGCTAGAAAATAAAGAAATAAAAACTTCTTCAGGGATCTCAATATCATTAAGCATTTTTGTAATTATTAAAGATGTTGACTAAACTTATTAATCTTTATTTAAATAAATTTAAATACTTACATTATTTCTATTTTGACTATGATCAATAAATATTTTGCAAATATCAAACATAATACTATGTTCGATAGAATTCCATAATTCTGAAAGCCGTTCACATGCCCCAATAACAAATTCCGTATGATCAGACTGTGCAATTTCTAATAGCAATTTTATACCAAGACCATTTTCACCTTCTACGACAATTTTGCAGAGTTCTTTAATAATTAAAAACTTATTTCTTGCTTCCATTTTCATATTTTGATAACGTTTTAATTTTGGAAGAAGAATTTTTGTTTTATGAATGTTTTTTTCAGTAGAATTATTAATTATTTGCAGTAATTTAAACCAAACATCCTGAAGAGGACAATAAATAATATGAGAACATATAAATTTTAAAATAGAACGACCAAAACTAAAGAAACTTTAGATGGTTACAATTTCTTGGATAGTTAAGTACCTGATATCTTTTTTGTCATTTGACTCGAAAACTTCAGTAAGTATCTTACATATATAATTTTTATCGAGGATGCATTCTTGAATATTAGGCATTAATATTTTTTTAAGAAATCTTTTTTCATCTTTTCTTGAAAGCCAGATAAGTTTGGAAGACTTTTTGCCATATATGTTATTAAAACCACATATTATAGAATCTTCTGTTGAAGAAATTCTCAATTTTTCTATTAAAAGAGGAATTACTTTTGATGTAGCCTCCCTTATTTCTAATGATTCACTATTTAGAGGGATCAAAAGATATGGTATAAAAAATTGGTAATCGATATTTTCATTTTCATTTGATAAAATTACTCGACATTGTTCTAAAGAAGTTATTATAGAGCTTTTTATATTAATATCATCTAAGTTTTGGCATGTCCATATTTGAGATAAAAAGTAAAGTTTAAATGATGTATCCTGGAAGATAGAGTTCGAAAAAAGTATATTAATTCCTTCTGGATGTTTGCATGCTATATGGAAAGCTTTGTAAAATAATTGTTGATTAGAATCTACAAAAATTAAGTTTTCTGAAATAACATTTTGAATGTTATTAATTAAATGTGTAAATTCTTCTGTTTCTGTATTTTCTTCAATTATATTTGTATGTTCTACTACAATATTTTCCAAAACAGATGGAGGTGATGGTTCCTAAAGAATTCTTAGGATTTAAAAAAATACATAAAAAACTTACTATAGTTATTTGTAGAATATTTTGTATTTCAGTTATATCGTTTTTAAATATTTTTGTTAGGTCTTCTAGAATAGGCTTAAATTGTATATCTTCTTTAAACTTCTTGACAATATTAGAAATATAATTTCTGGCTTCAACTGGTAAATCTTTTGAATGTATAATTTGAAGGAATAAAGAATGTATAATTGCTTTGAATTCATCTTTTGAGAAATATATTTTTGAAAAAAATAGTTCCAACTCTTCGAATAAAGAAAAATCATTGTTTTTCATTTTATCTTCTATTAAGCATTGAATATAGCCAACAATTAATTTATCTGAGCGATATTTTTCACCAACCATGATAAACTCTTTGTTAATATTCTCAATTTTTAATAATGATTTAAATACGGGAATAGGTAGAGGTTTACATCCTTCTCTCGTTTGTGCAAGTTGTGCCAAACAAATAAGTCCTGCATTTATTGTAACTTTGTTTAATGTTCTGCTTACTAAAGTTAATGCAGTAATTAATGACTTTTCCGATAATGAATAATTAGAACTAATAGTAACTAATACTATGTAGCATGCAATCTATATGTTATATAAATACTTTTTTATTAGATGTTTTGTATTGATACCTGATATTCTGATGATTGTGATAATAGTCCTTCTAAAACATTTGGAAGAGTTTTTGAAATAATTTTTTCTTCATTTTCTTGATTTTTCCTCATAATATAAATAGTTTCTGCAACACATGTAGCCCAAAATTTTAAAAGAATTTGATAATCTTTTTTTTCCTTAACTTTAGACTGAACATATTCCATAAATAATGAAAAAAGAACTTCATTATTTGATAATGACTTGGAAATTATATAATGTGTTGGATTTATTCTGTTATTTTTGAAAGGAAGAAGAAATGACCATGTCGGTAAAGGTATGTCTATAATTGATAAAACTTTCACAAAAAAAGGATGCATATGATATGGAAGAATTGAAAGTAAAAGAGAATTCTGATTCATCTTATGTATCCTATTTAAAAAATAAATCATCTTCCAAATATATATATATATATACTTGAATCTACGTATTAACCATTCCAATACTTTTATAGAAGGTTTCAGCAAAAAATATGGTGCTAGAATAGATAAAAATGCATCAATAGAACTGTCAAGATAATCATTTTCTGATTTCGTCTATTTAAATCAATATTCATGATAAAACATGTTAAGATTTATACTTGTGTAAAACGATCTATGTATTTAGATTCTTCTGAGAAAAGCGTCCTTGAAAAACGCTTAAATTTAGGTTCAATATTCGATAACTCTATAAATCCATTGTTTGCAATAGAAAATACTGAATCTAGATCTTGATCTGCTGCTTCTACTGGATCAAAAAGAAGCGACGATATTTTTTTTTCTTTATCCCATGATTCTAAATGATTTTTATGAATCTCTTTTAACTGACAGGCAAGAGTTGTCATTTCTGAAAAGTATAAGTCTCTTAATAAATATTAAGAATTCTATCTTTTCTAAACTCCCGCTTCTATTGCTAATATAAAAAGGTTACGTCGTATACAATTAAAAAAGGATTTTTATATTAAAATAAATATACAACAAAATTTTTATTTTTAATATTGAAATTATTAAATAGAAAGGATTATCTAGTAAAAATATCCAATAATTTTTCCAGCTACATGTTTTCTTCGAGCTTCGTCATGATCCATAATACCAGCACTTGTTGTTAAAACTATAAATCCAAATTGTCTAGAAGGTAGTAGCCGAGTAACCCATTTCTCAATATCTATAAGGCGAACATTAAATCTGGGTGAAATCACCCCACATTTATTTAAACGTCCATTTAATTGAACAACGATTTTACCATTACGATGGTCATCAATTTCTTCGAATTCTCCAATATAACCTAAACCATTTTAATTAGTATTTATTTTCCTTGATAGATAATATTAAAAAAATATTAATTTCTATCTCATTTGTTTATAAAATAGCTTCAAAGCTTATATTTATAAATCCATTTTAACCATCCAATTCTTTTTTTTTAGAAAAAAAAAAAAAAACATATTCATCATGTCTCCCTTATTCTTTTTTTCATATAACAGGAATTTCATACCATGTTTCTGCATAACAGTCAAAAATTTTAAAATAACTTTACTCGATGGTCGAATAAGAACTTGTCGTTTTCCTCGCTTTTCCTAAATACCATTCATTTCTTTTTTCTATTTATAAATATAAAAACATACTGCATTCATAATCCCATTCAAACAATCATTTAATACCGATATACGAACCATTTCTATAATTATTCTACTCTTTAAAATATTAATATCTCTTAATCTATTATTTTATTTCTTACCCTAATAAAGACACAAAACTAATTGCTAAATATGATTTTTTTTTATTTATAAATGTTTTTTTTAATGATTTTTAACCTTTTTTTTTATTGGAATATTTTATTTCTTGACTTTAAGTTCGTCTCGTTTAAAAATGTGACTGAATAAAGTCCTAACCCGGAACCCTAACCCTATAGCTATACCTAACCCTATACCTCACTCTACTCTTAGCTTAATCCTTAACCTTTTCTATTAATTACTCCGCATAAATCTTAACCCTAACCCTGGCCCTGTCCCTATTATTAATGTTGATCGTACTTACCCTGACCCTAAGTGTTACTTAACCCTGGCCTTTCTTTACCTTCAATTAAAACACTACGCCTTAACTTGTATGTAATCCTAATGTTAAACCCTAACCCTAACCCTTGACTTTATTATTAAACCCTAACTCTTGTACTTGTATTTAAGCGTATTCCTTAACTAATCCCTAACCCTGACCCTTCTCCTCTTCTACCTAACCCTTGCCCTGCTCTCAGCCCTAACCCTCTACTCCGCCCTAACCCTCTCCTCCTCTTAATCCTAACTTCTCTTTACCCTTCTTACCCTTCGTCTTTACCTTTAACCTTTATACTAACTCTTACTCTTACCCCTAACCCTAGCCCCTTAACTTCTGCCCTAACTCCTAACCCTATTCCTAATAACCCTAGCTCCTACTTAACCCTGCTCCCGCCCTAACCCTACTCCTGTTTAACCCTATTTTACCCCTCTATAATTAGGTCTAACCCTACTCATTTGATATTACACAGCTTAACTACATATATTTATAGAGATTTGGATGAGCCTAAAAATAAGGCATCAGCTCTTTAAACGGATGTTTTCTCTCTCTAAATAAAGGGAAAAAACAGTAAAAACAATGCGAACAATACTGGCTAACAGATATTGTAAACGCTTGGTTACAGTTAGACCTATTGTACGATGTTGGTCAAAGATAAGCAGTGGACAGTCTAGAATATTATCTATTTTATATGGTTCTAGACGGTTTATTGGGTCTAAAGAGGGGTTCAATGGGTTATGGGGGAAGGGTGTTGATGAACGATGGAATTATACCAAGATTCAATGGTATTCGATACCTCTTACGGTTGGTATAGTGTATGTAGTTTTTGTGCACTATAGAAATGTGAGGAAGAAGTATAAGACAGAGGATGTATTAGAGGAGAATGATAGGAGGGTTTCAGATGATATTCATGTATGTGGTTTTTGGCAGGTGGGGTGGGGTATAGTGTATGAAGGGTCCTGATTCAACAGTTTTATATTTTAAGGTCACTTCCTTTGAAAGCGCTTTCTAGGATATGGGGAAAATGTAGTGAAATTACGCTTCCGATTTGGATGAGAGTTCCTGCATTTAAATTTTATGCATGGGTATTTGGATGTAATCTTTATGAGATGGCAGAACAAGATCTTAGAAAAGTTAAGAATTTTTCGGAATTTTTTTATAGAGAATTGAAGCCAGGAGTACGTGAAATTGATAATGATGCATTGATTGTTTCACCGGCAGATGGAAAAGTGCTTCATTTTGGGTTAGTTGAAGGACGAAGGATTGAACAGGTTAAAGGATTATCGTATTCTTTAGATGCATTGATTGGTGATTCTTCAACTTTATCTAATAATGAGATTGTCTTTGATAAAAATTTTGTTAAAGCTTTAGAAGAAGAAATGCATTTTTCAGGAACGAATGGGATTTCACATTCACATATGCTTTATAACGAAAATGGGAAAAAATATGGAATTCATGTAAATATTGATAGTATGCTTATTTTTTATACAAGGATGCAAATTTAATACATATTAGATGCTAATAAAATTGGAAAGGATATTATACTTGGATATGACATTATGGATAGGTTAAAAGAAGGGAATAGTTTGTATTTTGCTGTTATATATCTTTCTCCTGGCGATTATCATCGTTTTCATTCTCCTACAAATTGGGTTGTAGAAAAACGGCGTTATTTTTCAGGTATTAAATAAATATTATGTTTTATTTTATAAAAAAATTAGGGGAACTTTATAGTGTTTCTCCATATTTTGCTAAAAGAATAACCAATCTTTTTATTTTGAATGAAAGAGTTGTACTTCTTGGACAGTATCGCTATGGATTTATGAGTATGATACCTGTCGGTGCTACAAATGTTGGTAGTATTCGTATAGATTTCGATAAAGATTTCAAAACCAATGTTGTGGAAAAGAATGCTCCAAAAGGAACTTATACAGAAACAACATATTCTACATTTTCGGATTTCTTAAAAGGTTATCCTTTACGAATAGGTCAACAGATGGGAGGATTTAATTTTGGCAGTACGATTATTTTGATTTTTGAGGCTCCTCAAGATTTTGAATTTTTAGTTTCTGAAGGAAGTAGGATTCTTATGGGTCAATGCTTAGGAAGAGTTAATAATAGTAAAGTTTATTAAGTATATTTTGTAAAAATTTTGGTTTTATTAGTCTTAAAAATATGTTTCATCACTCTAGATGCTACAAAATACATACAAGTAAAAAAATTAATCTTTAAATATTTTTTAACATGTCAAAACTATTAATTACATCGTTTTCATTCAGTTTGATCCTGTTAAACGATGTACTCAATAAGTTTAATCATTTTCTTACTCTTATATTATTATTTCATACACTGCATTTTAATTCTTTAAGGAATTTTTTGCAGGATGAAATTAACAGAGTTTAGATTTAATATTTCGAAGTTCAACTCTTAAAAAATTTGTAATTTTTAAAAATAATACAAATAAAATATAACTTTAAATTATTTTTTATAATCTTGTCTTTTAAAAGAAGCTTGTAATTAAATTTGTATAGAAATACAAATTTTGAATTTTAATGTGGTTATATATATATATTATATAGGATTAATATTCTATGATAGTTTTATTTTATTATATTTAAAGAGTTGTTATTTGTTATAAAAATAAATATTTGATATTATAGAATGTTGTAATCTAAATATTTTTAAATTACAAATTAATGCTATATTAATTGATTGTTTAAGATAACATTTTTTAAATAACAAAGAGTTTATAGATTTTTGTTATATTTGAAAGCTATTTTATGGGAAAATTGTATTTTTAAGCTTTATTTTAAATTATATTTAAAATTATTTTTTTAATATTAATGAATTTCATAAAAAATGCAGAATATTAAGCCAAATTAGTTTTAAATAGTAGTGAATTATTATAAATGTAGTTTATGATAAGAAATATAATAAATTATAATAATTATGTTTAACAAAATGTCTTTTATATTATAGAAATGTATTGAATTTGGTAATATTCAAAATTTTAAGTTATGTAAAACAGTCTAATTATTTTAAAAATATATAAAATACTTTAATACACCATTTTTGAATCAAATATTAATATTTATAATCAGTCCATCTTCTATTTTGAGATTGATAAAGACATATAATATAGTAGATGTTTTGTTTAATCAATATGTTGTAATTCATATTTCTTTCCACGAAATCCTGATATATATGCATTAGTTTGAATCATATCTCTTGGATTCAAAATTGAAACATCCCATTTAATGCTTTTAAATCTATTTTCTATAGGTTTTAAGAGTATATCATACTCATTTTCATATTTTTTTTTAAGAAAGTCAATATCCTGTTGAATACTTTCTAGTGAATAACCTGTCATAAAGATTACACATTGAGTTTCTAATAAATATTTTATCGTTTTGTCCCAAGTTGAAGGATATGTGATCCCTATTGCAGGATTTGGAAGATAAAAAATGTCAAAACATGGATCAAATGATCCAAATTCGCCCTGTTCATGTAATTCATGGTAATATTTTGAGTACGTGCTAAAAATTAAATTTGGACTAAAGTTTTCAACTATTGAATCTGAATTGGAATCACGTTTTGACTTATTAGATATATTAGAAGCTTCTGGGCCAATAAAATAAATATGAAATAAAATATTTGGAAATAAATTAGCACCTCCTTGCATCCATAGAAATCTTGGTAAAGTACTTTCTGCTCTTGCTCCTAAGACGAATATTCTTAATGATCTATTCATATTTAAAAAGGCGCCAGAATCCATATGCATATTCCCTGGATGTGCATGCAAAGTAGACCTGATTGCTTATAAAACATAAGTAAATAATTTATTAATATTTTTGAAAAACCTAGTAGAGATTTAAGCCCTTCTATTGTTAATCCGTTTTTTAAATTGTATGGTGAACCTTCATGAATAACAGATAAAATAGTAATTGGATATGTAAGCAATTTTGAAAGATGTCTAACTGATCTTGATGAATTAATTGTTTTAAATGAGCGTGTATGAAAAAATGAATGCCAACTATAAAAATTTACAGTTGCATCTTGAAATTGAGAAACAGGTAGTGAAAATTCATGCATTTCTCTTCCACTGTGCAAATCATGTTCATCTTCATTTATTTCTCTTAATTTTTTACAAAATCTTTCATGTTGATCATCCATTTTCCATTCAACCTCTGAATAATGTGAAGGATATCCACAATTTGGGCATTCAAAAAAAACAGGCTTACCAGAAAGTGGACATTTTGCATATTGCTTAATCATTTTTGCTTTTTTTCGAATATTTTCAATAGGTGATTCTGAAAGACGATGAAAAAGATTATCTTCAGATAGTATTTGTCTGTTTTCTACCCTTTTAAATGTATCCTTCTTCTTAAAAAATGTAAAAATATAACGTTTAAATTCATAACATTGTATCTTTCTGTTTATTACTGAATAATGTTTTGTATAAAAATATAACATATATCTAATTTTCGACATTTATAATACACCTATCATTCAAAATATCCCTTTTCTGATCTTTATATGTTTTTCTCTTAAAATTATTTGTTGATTGTTTTCTACAGTATTATATATTAAATTTAACGTCCTGCTATTAAATTTTTGTTTTTTCTTAATTTCACTTCAGATTATCATTTTATAAAAAAATCTTTGATAGAATATTCATTTCATACAAAATTTTTCTCTGTTTCTTAATTATATGTTTAACTTATGTTTCAATTTTTGTGTTTCTAATGTATTATATAAACCCTCCTTTAAAAATTAAATACTCAATATATGATAAACTTTTATAATAATAATAATAATAATATAAACTAGTTTTGGTTTTTTTTAAATCAAATTGTAGTTATATTTTTTATTATAGGGTAAACGAGGATTTTTTGTAAACGATGAGAAATGAAGTGAAGAGTCTTGTTTATGGATATTTTTAATAAAGATCTGGAATATGCATAGTATTAATGATGATAAGGAGGAGGTATTTTGCAAGGTGAGGGTTCGGATCAAGTGTTCAGTTGTTCCATATTTGAGTGAATTTACTATTGAAATAAACAAAAATTCGACAGTAGAAGTATTGAAAAGTCGGATTAATAGTCTATTTAAAGGATATATTAATACATTTGATTATCGGCTTATATTTGATGATTATATTGTTGGGAATGATCAGAGTATTAGCCAGTTTATTAAAGAGGTATATTTTTTGTGTAATAGATATGGGGTATAATTTTTGTAGGGTTCAGATGAGGTTATATTTCATTTGATTATGGTTTCTAAGATGCTTTCGTCATCATCAGGGTCTCAGGATATGTCTATGGCATTTAATGCATTTTCTAATGATATATTTAATCATGGTTCTTCTGGAACAGAGAAAGCAGAACAAAATGTATTTAATGAAGGAAATGGGTCTAGTTCTAGTCATGGATGCCATGTACGGTTACCAGTTTATTATCAGGCAGCAGTTGTTGAGTAATTTATAAAATTTATGTTTTATTTTTTTTGAATTGGATTTAGTAATAAACCATGTCTTTTCAAGGTTTCAAGTTATCCTAACATACCTGTTTTGAATAATGGCTCTATTTTTTCTATAGGGGGTGATAATTCATATCAGATTTTATTAATGTCATCTGAAAATTCATCACAATATTTAAATCAAAATGTACAAAATGATTCACAGTTTTCAAGAACTACTATTAATCCAGATCTACATCCACAGGATCATAATGCAAACAATGAACGCTTACGTATGGCGTTTGTTCATTTATGGTTATTTATAAGATTGGCTTTTTTTGTTGGTCTTTTTTCCGTAAACAGTTCATGGATACGATTTTGTACATTGGTTTTTATTGCACTTCAGTTTTTTTGTATGTTCATTTCTTTTTTTCTTTTTTTCTTTTTTTTTTTTAAGATTAACATTATTAGTTTGGCATACAGGACATTTAATAAGTTTAAGGCTCTTTTTTCAAAGAATAATTAATCGAGGTAAAATAAAATTTATTTATTTCTTCTATCCTCTAATGCTTTGAATTTAGACAGAGATCGAAACTCGTCACGAAATGAGCAGTCTTCTCTCAATTCAGAGCATGGATTGTCTCAATCTACTTCTTATGATCAAGAAGATGCTAATGAGCCTGTTGAATTCAATTGGAGAAGAAATTTAGGCCACAAAATTCTTACATTTATTATTAGTTTATTTCCTTTGACGGAATAATATCGAATTTAATAAAGGATCTTTTTCCTTCCTTTTTCATAATTTCAACATGAATATTTACATTGAATTATGGGGCCTTTTGTTAATCAGCTAATAATTATTTAAATATACATATCATTCAGAGAGTTTTTTTCTTAGATTCATTAAATACGTTTTAGATTTTTTTCCGAAATAATTGAAAATGTATCTTACCAATGGGTGCAAAATATTGATACTATTAATAAGCATCTACACATGTTTTAATATAACCCTTTCTTCTTTGAATCTAAAGATGTATATAATTATTACTAAATTCTTTAATGCTAATATTGTTTTTATTCCCATTCAAATTGTGTTTATTTTTTAATAAATATAATTTATTTTATGTCTTAATTGACTTCTACAATCTAAGTTAAACACTTGTTAATATATAACAATATTATATGATACCCTCGATAGTTAGGGTTTAACCTTATATTCACCTAATTTTCTTATTTTATACGATTTTTATATGTATTTCCAGTCTTAAGAGAAATAGAGATTAATTTGTGTTTATATTTTTTGGTAGACAATTAATAATTCGTTTTTTAACTGTTTTTATTTGTATATAAGTCGTTTTCTCTATTTAAAATGGCAGCAATTATGCCGAATATGTTCTTATATTCATTGTCATTACTTCCTCCATCGGGTATTAGTCTAACAGTTGTTGGGCAATTTTCAGGTCAAAAGCAACAGGAAATAGTTGTTGCTCGTGGGTCTCGTCTGGAACTTCTTAAACCGGATCCTAATTTGGGAAAAATAAAAACATTGTTATCACATGATGTATATGGGATAATACGTTCATTGATAGGGTTTCGTTTGGCAGGAACTAATAAAGGTGGATTTTATTATTGGAAATGGGACTATGAATCTTATGTATAAATAGATCATTTAATAGTTGGGTCGGATTCTGGTCGTATTACAATTTTAGAATATAAACCTGATATAAATGTTTTTTCGAAAGTTCATCAGGAAACATATGGGAAATCGGGTGTAAGAAGAGTTGTTCCTGGTCAGTATCTTGCAGTTGATCCTAAAGGAAGGGCCACTATGATAGCATCTATTGAAAAAAATAAGCTTGTATATGTATTAAACAGGGATTCTGCTACGAATCTTACTATTAGTTCGCCATTAGAAGCTCATAAAAGTTGTTCTTTGGTTTTTTGTCTTGTTGGATTGGATGTAGGGTATGAAAATCCCGTATTTGCTGCTTTAGAAGTGGATTATACAGAAGCTGAACTAGATCCTTCTGGAAAAGCATATCGTGACACACAGAAAGTAAGTTTTATTTTTTTTTTTTATTATTCTCATTTTAGGTCCTTACGTATTATGAACTTGATCTTGGGTTAAATCATGTTGTCAGAAAGTGGACTGATCCCGTTGATCGAAAAGCTAATCTTCTTATTGCGGTTCCTGGTGGTACTGATGGTCCGTCAGGAACTCTTGTTTGTACAGAGAATTCTATATTTTATAAACATAAAGGAAAAAAAGTTCATAGAATACCCATTCCAACACGCATGGGTCCATTGGCTAATCCTAAAGCGAATCAGATTGTTGTATCATATGTTGTTCACAAAATGAGGGTATGTGCATATGTTTATTTATTTTTTTTTGAATGCTTTTAGGGTGCTTTTTTTTTCCTCATTCAGAATGAGGACGGTGATTTATTTAAAGTAACTATTGATCTAAATGATAATGAAGTAAAATGTTTAAGAATAAAATATTTTGATACAGTACCAGTCTCTACAGGACTCTCTATTTTAAAATCTGGGTTTTTGTTTGTAGGAAGTGAATATGGAAATCAGTATGTTTTAATAGTGATTTTTGTTATTTATTCATTAATTCTAGTCATTTATATCAATTTGAGAAACTCGGTGATGATAATAATGAGATCGAATTTTCTAGTGTTAATTTTCCTGTTTTGGATTTAAATGAAACATATGAACCTTCATACTTTCGTCCTCGACCTTTGGAAAATTTACTTCTTGTAGACGATATGAATAGCATGAATCCTTTAATGGATTCTAAGGTTATTAGTATTTTCATAAATAGGAAAATGTTAATGTATTAAGATATTAAATCTTACAGATGAGGATGCACCGCAAATATATGCTCTTTGTGGTCGAGGTGCAAGATCTACTTTTAGAATTTTAAGGCATGGTTTGGAAGTTAATGAAATAGTTGCAAGCGGGCTTCCTGGATCACCTACAGCTGTTTGGACCACAAAACTTATTTCAACTGACCAATATGATGCATATATTGTGCTTTCATTTGTTAATGGAACTTTGGTTTTATCAATTGGTGAAACTGTTGAAGAAATTTCTGATACAGGTTTTCTCTCTTCTAGTCCAACGTTAGCAGTGCAGCAACTTGGTGATGATGCACTAATTCAAGTTCATCCTAAAGGAATAAGACATATTCAGGCTGATAAGCGTGTTAATGAATGGAAAACCCCTGCACATCGAAGTATTGTACAAGCAACTACAAATCAGAGACAAGTTGTTATTGGTTTGTCAAATGGGGAAATTGTTTATTTTGAGCTGGATGACGAGGGAAATCTAAACGAGTATCAAGATAAAAAGCAAATGACAGGTTCTATTACGAGTTTGAGTATTGGTCAAGTGCAAGAAGGACGACAACGTCATCCATTTTTGGTATTGTTTCTTATTTTAGGTTTTAAATATATTAATTATTTAGGCTGTTGGGTGTGATGATAGTACTGTAAGAATTATTTCTCTAGAACCGGATAATACTCTTGAGAACCTGAGTGTACAAGCATTAACGGCTCCTCCAAATTCCTTATGTATTATGAGTATGAAAGAAAGAAATATTGAAACTTTTTATCTTCATATTGGTTTAAATAATGGAGTATATTTAAGAAGTGTTCTTGAGACTTCTACAGGTCAGCTTAAAGATACTAGAACTCGTTTTCTTGGTTCTTCTCCAGTGAAATTGTTTTGTGTTACGATTCAGAATCAACTTAGTGTTGTTGCTTTATCTTCAAGACCCTGGTTGGTATATATCATTAATGCTTCTCTTCATCTTGTTCCGTTAATTTATGAGAGTCTTGAGTATTGTTGGGGTTTTTCAAGCGAACAATGTCCTGAAGGTATTGTAGGGATTCAAGGACAAGATTTAAGGTAAGAGGGTTATTTTATTAATGGTTTAGGACTTTTATTATGATGAATTGAATTGTAATTATTTCTTATGATTAATTTTTTCCAATTGTTCCTACTGATATTTTTTTGAATTCATATAATTCTATATTTTTATGATATTTTTTAACATATAAATAGGATTTTTACTATTGAAGGGTTGGATAACGTTCTTAAACAAGATTCTATACCATTAACATATACTCCTCGTCGATTTATTAAGCATCCAAATGAACACATATTTTACATTATTGAATCAGATCATAATGTTCTTCCTTCTAATGAACGGCAGAAACGAATGGAAGGTCTACAGAATGGTGATTCTTTTGTGCTTCCTCCTGAAGATTTTGGATTACCTAGAGGCTCAGCCGGAAACTGGGCGTCATGTATTACAGTTCTAGATCCTCTTGCTAAAAAAGTTCTTTCTAAAATTGAATTTGATGATAATGAGGCTGCATTTAGGTACTTTAAATATTTTATATGATTTTATTTGAATATTTTTTAGTATTGCTATAGTAACTTTTAAAAATCAAAATGATGAGATTTTTCTTGTAATAGGTACTGGAAAAAATGCTATTTTGTCACCTAAATCATTTTCTTCTGCTTATATTAATATTTATCGGTTTATTGATGGGGGTAAATCTGTTGAACTAGTTCATAAAGTAATTTAATGTTTTGATTTTTTGATTACTAAATTATCTATAGACTGAAGTAGATAATATTCCTTTGGCTTTACTGGGGTTTCAAGGTAGACTTTTGGCTGGGTTAGGTAAAATGTTACGAATTTATGAAATGGGAATGAAGAAGTGTCTGCGTAAATGTGAAGTCCGGGTACATTTTATTCTTATTTTATATACTGTTTTAATTGAATATAGGCTGTCCCGAATTGTATTGTTCAGCTTCATACTCAAGGAAGTAGAATTATTATTGCTGATATCCAAGAGTCTATTCATTTTGCTGTTTATAAATATCTTGAGAATCGATTAATAGTTTTTGCTGATGATATAATCCCTCGGTGGACTACAAGCTTTACAATGTTGGATTATGATACTGTAGCTGCTGGTGATAAGTTTGGAAATTTTTGGATTAATAGATGTCCTCCCGAAGTTTCTGAAAGTGCTGATGAAGATCCTTCTGGTGCTCAACTTATTCATGAAAAATCATATCTTTTTGGTGCTGCAAAAAGGCTGAAAATGTTGGCTCATTTTTATGTAGGGGATATGTTTACGTCTATGCATAAAGTTCAATTAATTGCGGGTGGACGCGATATTATTGTTTATACGGGGATGATGGGAAGTATAGGTATTTTTCTGCCTTTTGTAGGAAGAGAAGATGTGGATTTTTTTCAACAACTAGAGGCACTTATGAGAACAGAGGATCCTTCATTAATAGGTCGAGATCATTTAATATATAGAGGATATTATGTTCCTGTAAAATCTGTTATTGATGGTGATTTATGTGAGGTAGCTTTTTTTTTCTTTTTTTTTCTTTTATTTATAATTGTTTAATAGAGGTTTTTAATGCTTCCATATGACAAAAAACAAATGATAGCTAATGAGTTAGGTAGTATTAAGATGTTTTGTAGAATGTTAATTTGGTTAATATTTTTTAGATCGTGAAGTTTCTGAAATAGCAAAGAAAATTGAAGATATGCGAGTAAGAGTAGCATTTTGATTTTTAATATCTATTTGTATGATTGCACGAAGATGTTTATATTTGTTAAGGTTAAAAAATATTTAAGATTTAAATAAAAATATTTTGGATTTTATCTTTTAAATACTTTGTATATAATTGTGTTAGTATTTTTGTTCTTATGAATTGCAAAAGAATTTGGTTATGGTTTTTATAGTAATAAGTTTTTTTATGTAAATAT